ATATGCTGGGCTGGGGGGGTTAATTGACTGAAAATATAGGTTATAATGCAGTATTGTATAATAATAGAACCTTACAACAAGAAGACAATGTGTGCGATCGAAACCCACTGCAAGCCATGCGCGATCACAGAGATTCTTGACTCACTCATGCAATATTGAGTCAGCTCTGAACACAACTCCCTCTATTGGCAAGCAAACCTGTCAATCGATAGCTCTACACAAATGCATAATATAATAATGAAGTGTAGCAATTTTATATGTGAGGCTCAAACTCAAAGATAGAATAATTACGTACATATAGAAATATTAATATTGGCATATTTTTCTCATAATATTCTTATAGTTTTTACAAAACACTTGTAGAATGGTCTCATCCAGAAAGGCCGGCTAACATTTAACTATTCTCGTGTTCCTCATCTCAAATGTTATATGTCTGTGATTCATTAGATAGTCGTGTCGCTTCGTTATGTCACATCTGTCAACTTTGCTTAGATTATTTCTTTGTCAACATTAAGTGTGAAACCAAGATTGGGAATCTCTCGGCACATATTTATTTAGATAATAACTATTTAAAGAAAAAGAAACCACCCCGACCTATACACCAAAAAACAAGCCCACCGTTAATCCCTCATCACCAACTTACGCCTGAACATCGACTATCAACTGCAACACACCCACCTCAACACACCGTACCACCTCTACCTTTTTCCCTGGCACACCAGCGCCAGCTCAGACACTCGGACTCAGGTCTCAAACCCATCAAACAGGAGGACAGACTCTCTTCCACCCCCCCTCCCACAGCCACCCCTCCAAAGAGTAAGCGCGGTACCCAATACCTGTAACACGAATACTGACCATAAACAAGAATCTCAAGTGATTACAGGAGCACTCTTATTTACGCGCACGTCTTATCATGCGTCGTCCCCTCGTCCTACTACTGCCTATGCTCTCGCGCCTGGACAGCTCCTCGTCTCCCTCTCTGGTCGGGTGCCGTCAGCCCCTGTGGGTACAATTCTATATAAGTTGAAGTTCTGGATTGTTTGTTGTAAGAGGGAAACTCCCCTGTGTTGCGGTCGGGAATTGTTGTTGATGGGCTTCGGCTTTTTGGCACTAGTGTTTAGTTCTCAATTAACGGTCTTGGGCTTCGCTGGTGTCAAGGGCAGGGTTGTTTTGGGGGTTTTCGTGTTGATTGGGGCATAAGAAGTGGTGATCTGGGTAGAGTAACTTGGGTATCGAAGAGTCCTATACCTTTCGCCATTTCAATAAAATATCAGTGCATTGTGATTTACCATCCTTTTTGCGGAAAAACTAACCGAATGACAAAAAAGAGCAAGCAGCGCATGTGTATTACTATTTTAATTATAAGAATCCACCCAATTAACAGCAATTAATTGTGAGTGGTATAGAGACTGACAAAGTTAATCCCAATAGGGTCCTTATGTGGAATGAATATTTCTATACAGTTAGTACCATTGATAAATTTATGGGACGCTCCAAGTTAATCATCAACGAATTTTAAGACCTAGAACCCTTTGAACACGCAAAGCGAAGACATGCAGGCTAACAAAGGGGGTGTTAACGCTGCAAGCTTACGTGCCTCAGTTGTGATTGAGGTAGTGAGCCTCTTTGCATTTTAAGGTGCCCGAGTTTGGTAGGGGTCTGGGGGCACACTACCTTGCTACGGTGTGAAACACATACAGAGTCGATCCCAAGTGCTCAACAATATTTTGTGTGAGAACTAGTGAGGACACAGAAAACATAACATATTGCCCAATCTTAACTTGTTCGTGTGCTTCTCTCTAAGGAGTCTACGTACAATGATTTTAACAAGTAAACAAATAATAGGAACAAACCGAAGAGATTGCACGTGAAACATTAGGGCCTTTTACTATAATCGTGGTGAAGCATTTGATAAAAAATAGATTCATGTCTCCACCCGCGCAGCTCGTGACTACACATAAATTCATGCATAATCAGAAATTGATCCACTACCTCCCATTTAGCATGCTCTGATATATTCCTTACTTGTCTTTCTCTCACTGAAGGTGCCTAGGACAATACGTGACGTGCTCCCCATGAGTTGCCAAACGGGGTGAGGCGTGCCCGAAAATGTTGGAAAAATCACTGTGGATCACCCCAATCGTCACCATTGCCCTACAGTTCCGTGCACTTAAGGGCCCAGCTTTAGGAGTGTGCCTGTCATGGTATAAACTGAAAACTCAAGCAATTGAGGTGCTCCTGATCCTTCATTGACAACATCACAATCATGAGTCTATTTAAAGGACAAGCTAGCTTCCTAGCCAGTGTCAAACGTGTTGGCCTTTGAAAATAATTACTATAAGTAAAGACTCATCTCTGCTTCTTTTAAAGCATATTTGAAAAGCAATCCATGGTCTGTTTTAAAAACTGCTGTCAAAAGGTCCCTACTTTTAAATAAGCGGGATTTTTATCTTTTATCCAATACCGTAAAACTGCTACTATTAAGTTCGACGCTAGATTTTTGCGCACCAACAAAAAGCAATCACCCAACAACCTGCGTTGCTAAAGTTTGAACTTACCTCATTTTCTTCACTAGACCTTAGATTCTAACCCCTTTAATATATGTCTCTTTAGATATTACTTATCATTACATAGAACAAAATAATATAACAAAACTAGAAGTAATCCTTAAACTAATCACAAAGTGGAACGGTGCTAACTTTAATCATACTCCACTACAAAGAAAAATACAAGTAAAAGATAGGTTATGAACATATAATCAAGTCATTGACGTGTAAATTGTGCTGTTCAACCGTTCAGTAAGTATGCTAGCTGAGTGCTTTAAATGTGAAACCATTGAATTCAGAACGTTCAATTGATGGCTAGGATCTTAGGCTGAGGTATGAGTGTTTGTATGTTGCCATGTGTCGCTTATCTCATAGGATAGAGGTTTGATGTAGCTTGATCTGAGTAAGTCGAGGACATATTCCTTAGTATCCTATGCCGTTGCCATAAGCTGTACTATTGAATGCTGGCAGTCAGCTTGTATATTTTTTTGGATGTGTGCGTGTTGCAGTATGGAATTAACAACGTGAGTTACAGTCATCTCACCACATTTTATTCTATCTATCCTTCTTCATCTGCTCATAACGTGAAAGCAACCGCTTGTTGTGCATTTGATTTCTTCTCTACTCGCTGTAGCTCTCGGTTCTAACAATCCCAATCTAAGGTAGAGTAATAGTTCTGCGATGTCACAAAGAACTGTCCAATGGCTAGACTCACTGATCACAAGCAAAGTCAAGTCAAACACTCGAAGAAAAGCAGGTCACGGAAATAACAAGCACGTGGTGCACTGTAGCTAATGATACAATAACCCTACCATGCTGAATCTCTGACACTGATAAAAAAAAAAAAAGAAAACAAATTCCCGTAACTAAGTCCTATTAGAAGCAATATGCTTGTCGTACCCGCCAAGTCCAATGTTCTAAGACCAGTGGACTACCGCACACTACTGTGTGACTGAGAAGCAGAGGGAGTGTGAGAGAGAGGAGGAGAAGTACGAGATGAGATAAGACACATTTATGCTCTCTCTAGGAAATATTTGAAACGAAAGTCCAAGTCTTCTCTTCAGTTCCTTCACCGTTTGGGTTACACTACATAATAATAATTAGGGATAGAGATTTGCATGAGAAGCTTCCTTTCGTTAACGTGGGCATTTTCGTTTGGTTATAAGTCAGGACAGTCACGAATTACCCCATATTGTGTGGGTAAAAATATAGGAAAATAACGACCCGATGAACGAATGAGCTCAAAAATGCTATAAAGCTCACAGCGACAAACTATTAGACACACTGAGAACAAAATGACAGCGCAAACGTACAAACGAATCCGCTGTATATAATTACATACCACACCATAAAACGGCGGCAATACACAACGCCTCACACACTCAATACTCGTGTAAATTACACCCAAACACTCAATGGGCAAGAAAGTAATGGAATAATCAATAGTAAATGCAAGAAGGCCACTGTTCGACAGGTGATGGCAGCTGATTGTTGGCTAGGTGTGATGTTATTTTGTGTGTTGTGTGTATGGAATGTTCCACTGGAGGGGCGTGGTTTACTGAGAAAGATGAGAGGACGAAGAAGGAGGGATACGACCCCATAAATTGCTCGTCGATGCGGGATGAGAAACCCGATGGGATGAACCGGGTAGTGTCGGTGAGGACGGCGTCCTATATCAACAGAACTGGTAGTTTACCGTGCGACAGGCGAATTGGTAGGTGTGCTTGGTACAGATGACATTCCAAAGCAGTTGGCACTAACTTGTAATCTGAAGACACAATCCTAAAAAGCAGAACAGAGCTTGGCGAACCATGCCAATCTATGGTGGTTCGTATATTGGGTTTGCATTCTATTACGTGCATTAAATGGGCGTATCTTGTCTAGACGCTGGATGACACGGCATCTGCCCAATTAAGGAATGGAAATTTCTAAAAGAAGAAGGTGTACCTGGAGCTCCCGTGCTACCTATATTGAGTATCCTGGGCCCACTGTCTGGCAGACCGAGCGTTGCTGGATCCTGGACACAAACAAATTATGTGTCACAACATACGTCGTCCTGTTCGCTCAAAGTACTGCACTCACTCTATCTTAACAGTGCTGAAAAATAGACAGAAAAGTTAAAGAATGAAGTAACCAAATCCTGAAATCCTTATTTCTGTGCCAAACATTAGTGTATGGATTATTTAGATTTAAATCTTGTCACCATCAGAATATCATAACGAAGTTTGACCAAAACCTGACCTTAATTTCGATCACAGAATGGAATCGGTCAATGTTATGTTTTTGCAGCTTGTTCATTGAGCTTTGCCATAACAGTATCCAGGTCATCCTCTTTCTCCATAGATTCTAATTTCCTTCTCCTTTGTACTAAATCACCACAGTACATTCCAAAATAAAAAAAATAAATGAATTTAAAGCTTCTCAAATAGCAAATTTCTAAATCATTATACTTACCAATACGGTTTTCCATTTCACGCCGTTTTTTTCTTCTCATCCTGTACAATTCTGATAATCCCCTCCTAAAAAATATATTATGATATTCTGCATAAGTGAAGGAATTGCATGCCTAACCGAACTTAGTTAATAAAAGATTGAAGACTATACCGATGTTCTTGTCCCTCTTCCCCCCCCAAAAAAAAACAAAAACACGTACAAGAAAGATTAAATTATAGGCAGTATTACTGTATAGGTTATTAATAATAACATTAATGTGATTACCCTCTGTTTCTGAAGTTTAGCTGCTTCCTCTTCTGCTTGTCTTTCTTCAATCTGAAGCGATCTAATGCTTTCCTGTAAAGCAGTAACATATTCTTGAAGCTCCATTCTTTTGGATTTCAGTGACTCAACTTCCCCAGTCTCCAAACCTGAAAGTGAGAATTGAGACCTCAAAGTTTTACCAGTGAAATTTTTGGATTGTGTTAATAGATAAAAAAAAGGTTAGTAGAAAGATACCACACAAAAATAGTTGAGAACGTTTCACTGGTTCTACGCTTCCAGAAACATGACCACCGTATCTAGATACTGACCACCGATAGTGATTCTCTGGAGTCCAAAAATCTAATATCCCCAACTTTGAAACCTTATCAGCCTTCTGATCAGTTTCCTTGGACCCAATATACTGAGAAAAAAAAAAAAGGAAAGAAACACAAAAACATACATACTTTTGTTTGAGAAAATATGCGTGTATATATACAGAGACATACAAGTTAAGTCAAAATACTAAGTACTAACTGACAATTTCAACTTCCTAACATCATAGGGTTGACCTTAGGGGTCGTAATTGGTGTTAAGGTGCTGTGTCATTTCATGTTTGTGCAGTAGACTACCAGTAAATCCTAATGCTACCTGTTTAATTAATGTGTCAAATTACTCAACATTAACCCACCCAAAAGTTACCTCAATTTCTAACCAAACCAATCACTTATAAATAAGTTAAAGAATAAAACCCAATAATCATGATAGTAATAAGGGTTAATTTCAGTTTGGTACCCTGAAGTTGTACCCTTAAGGCATGTTTGTCCATGGACATTCAATTTTAACAATGCAGTGCCCCGGTATTGAAAATTTGTTGCAATGTGGTTCTGTCGTTAAATTGACTGTTAAAAAATATGTTAAGTGCTGACATGGCACAATTGGAACCCAGTTTTTTGTTTAATTGAAATAAAATACTATTAAAAATAAAAAAAAACTATAATTAAATTTAATAAATAATTATTAAGTAATAAAAAAAAAAAAAACTGACTGACTGAAACGGCCAGCCATCCAAAAAAAAAAAAAAAAAAAAAAAAAAAAAAAAAAAAAAAACTATCATCTCTCTCTCTCTCTCTCTGTGGGAAAAACTCAACTGCTCAAACTCCATTGCTGCTGCCCAGCTCCTCCCCCCATGCCCTTTTTAATCTCTCTACCCCCCCACCCCCCCCAAGCCTACCACCCAAATCCTCCCCCTCGCGGCACTGCACAACTCCTCCACCAAATCCACCATTCTCTCTTACACCGTGTCTGAAGTGGCCATGGAAACATATCGGGAGGGCTAGCCAGCCGACACCACGCTCCTCACTCTCCTCGACAACCATCACCGAACCGTAGCATCGGCCCCACTCTCACGGCCTTGGACTCGTGTCCCAAACCTCTAAAAATCATCAAGCTCGGCTCCAGAACCGGTCTCATCAAAATCGCCGCAGCCGTCACGCTGGGCCTTGGTGAGTGAGTGAGAGAGAGAGAGAGAGAGAGAGAGAGAATGGTGGATTTGGACGTGGGGGAGGAACTAGGCAGTGGCAATGGAATTTGAGCGACATATTTTTGCCCAGAGAAAGAGTTGCAGAGAGAAAGTGAGAGTGCGATGAATTTTTTTTTCGTTGCCTTTTTTCAGTTTTTTAATATTGAATCATTATTAATTAAATATTTAATTAAAGTTTTTTAATAATATTTTTTTTCAATTAAACAAAAAAATGGGTCCCACATGCGCGACGTTATCACTTAACATATTTTTTTAAACAATCAATTTAACAACAGAACCACATTGCAACAAATTTTCAATACCGATACCCGGGTACTGCATTGTTAAAATTGAAAGTGCGTGGACAAACATGCCTTAGAGCAACTCCACCCACTTGCCCTTAGCCATGGCAAGGGGGGAGCTAGGGCAGCCACTATTCACGTGAATAGTGGTTGCCCTTGCAAATAGTATTTTGTGTTTCCACCCGTTGCCATGGCTAAGGGTAGTTACTATTCATTTTTTTGTTTTATTCACAAATTTTTTCACCTCAATAATTAATTTCGATAATATTTTCGGATAAGATTTCCGGGTTCCTACGTGTCAAGACTATTCATAATCGGATAAAATTTCCGGATAAGATTTTTGGGTTCAAATTTCAGATGAATTTCAAATTTCAAATTTCAAATAAATTTTTGGGTTCAAATTCCATTTTCCCAACTCTTTATTGAGAATTTTCCACCTACTCGACAATGCCATTTCCGTACGAGTCGACCTCAGAATTTTTTCGCAAAATTCAGCTTGAATTTTTTTCCACATATGGAAAAATTTCATCTCAGTGCCTGTCACGGGACAATGACAAACTTGGAGCCAAGCCTCACACAAAGAAACATCTTCCATTTTGCTCCACGCCCCTCCGGTTTCGATAGAATAAGCCATAAAAATAAGAAATAAAAATACAAGGTGAAAGAGAGGAAAATGTTGAGTAATAGTAGAAGTAGAATAAAATGTATGAGAATTGGTGTTGAAATGAAGGGTATTGATAGGTATTTATAGGAAAAAAAAATCAGAATTTTTCAGTATTTTTTAAAAAAAATTTCAATTTTTTTTCATAATTTTATTGCTAGAAAAACGCCAGCCGTTGGATGAGGATTGGAGAAGCAAATCGGAGCACTAGGGGCGTGACACATGGCTTCCAACCGTTGGAGCCTGCATTGCGCTGATGTCAGCGCACGCTGGTTTAAATTTTTTTTACCGTTGGCGCGTGCATTGCAGGCGCCAACGGTAAAAAAAATTTAATCCGCCCACTGACGTCAGCGCAACGTCGCAATGACGTCACAACCCTCGACTTGGACCTCGGGCCAGACCGAGTTCGTGGGACCCACCCACCCCCGGGGCCTGGGCTCACTGCTGGAAACAGCTTCTTTTTTTTTCCCCAGCCTTGGGCTCAGCTCCTTGCTGGAGTTGCTCTTAAGGGTACAACTTCATGTACCAAACTGAAATTAACCCTAGTAATAAACCAATAGAAATTATCCGATATAAAACGACCCATACAACACATATGCTTATCATGGCAAATTCGATCTCCTCATGTTTGACACTAACCCAACCTGTTTACTATTTGTGTTACCCAATCATGCCATATAGGCATTTGTGTCCAGTAAGGGTGAACCCAAACCCATTAACTTCTTGTCAGGTTCGACTCATGTTACAAGGTTGTGTCCAAAACTTCCATCCTAGCTAAAATGACCAATTGCCCGTATGTTTAACACATTATTTGTAGATTTTATAATTTTTTTGCCAATATACAAGGAAAGAGTAAGCTTGGGATGCATACCGATCTATCCAAACCGAATTGGCTAGTCAAAACCTCCTTCACAGCAGTAGGAGCACCAAAAACTTGGTCAAGCCGTGAATAAATGCCCAGTGCACTCATCTGCTTAAGAGAATAAAAGAAAACAAAAATAAAATAAAATACTAAGCCTAGTTCAAATATTATATGAAATACGGCACCGGGGGCACATACCTCCTCAGAAATTTGAAAGGCTTCTGTCTGACAACCTCCATGTCCCACATAATTTAAAACCGGAACATCAAATGGCTTCAGATTTTTTACCAAAAAGTCACGATCACGAGAATCTTGAGTTATGAAAGACTACGGAACAAGAAAAATAAGATCAACAAATAAGGATTTTCAAGCTAATGAGTAAATAAGTGTTAACGTAATATGAGGTACTATTTTATCAAAAAAAACATAGCACCACCCACTATCAAGTGCTTATCCGAATTACAATTGCACAAGTTACCGGCACATAAAAGGTGAAATCCAGCCACAAACGGCTAGGGAGCAGGATGCATGTCCACCAATGTATACAGAAACACACACATGGGGATATATTATATATATATATATATATAGAGAGAGAGAGAGAGAGAGAGGAGAGAGAGAGAGAGAGAGTAAAAAAGTATGAAGAATTGACTAAATTCTGATAGGAGATACCACTGCCCAAACTTAGGGAAGGAGTTAGTTCATGTATAAAGTTAATCTATGGCTTCATAGTCTTTTTTTTGTCGATAATGGAATAATAGGTCTGAGCAGTGCAAAGTTAAGGTTTAATTCCTGGTTAGAAGAAGCGTTGGGGAAAAGGTTTTAGCACAAATGCATCCAGACTCATCTATGAGGTCTCATCAGGTGAATATGGCATGTCAATAGATTGCAAAACTATGCATTAGTTAAGTTAGATTAGCATCTCCCCCTCAAATTTTTAAAAATTGTATACAAAACTTTCCAGCTATTGTATCGTGTTCTTTCTACGTCCCTCCATCTACTTTCCCTTGTGTACAGACCCTTCTCGAGCACTTGAGGTCTCCAGATTTACAAAACAAAAACGTTGGTCAGATACCTGGTATAAACCTTATACCAAACAAACTTGAAAATGCTTAATTATCTAGGAGTCCAGAAGCCTGATATTTGATGTTAGGCAAAACATTTTTGTTAGTAAATGTTAGGGAAGAAATTAACATGGCTTGGTGCATTCCTAAAGATTGTTTGGCTTTGCTTTCAGCCAATTTTGATGCGCTGGCAAGGGGAAGAAAGCCAAAATCCTTTGGGGTTGCCTGGTGCAGGCAATGCTATGGAGTATTTGGATGAAGCGTAATAGAAGAATTTTCGATGTTTACAAGGGGGGTGGGGACGACCAAGTTATGGAACAGAGTGAAGTTTTGGGCAGCTTTGTGGGCCTCTGTGACTCCTGTCTTTAAGGATGGGGCGTATGCTTCCATTAAGGAGAGACTTGAAAGCAGCTATTATGTGATTTGAATCTAAGGCTTCTATTGTTCTCTGTTTTTTCTGTGTTTTTGCTGTTCGCTGTCTGTTTCTCTTTTAAAGCTCTTGTTTGTGTTGTTCTAGGCCTTGTGGATTTCTTATCCACTTGTACATTCCCTGTTCTTATTTGAACATATGAAGTTTCTTTTCAAAAATAAAAAATAAAAAATAAGCAAAATATAAAATAGTGAATATAAAATAACAGAAATATAATTACCTTCCAGATGTAATATGGAACATGACCATCTAAGTAGTCAGCGTGAAGCCGATCTGACACATTAACCTGAATTTGCACCCAGAAGAGCATTATCCATAATTTGTTAAATCACATTCATCAGTAAACACAACATTCTTATGTTTTTAAATACATACCTCAAGCACACTGGGCCATATACCTCCTTATTGAATTCATGACGGTGTTCTTGCAGCCAATTATAAGCATCAAATATCTTATCTGCTCCTGAATTTCGTAGAGTCCGTAAGAGTTTACTATTTTTATTTTCCATCTCCTTCAGCCTGAAAACGGTACAGTAAAAGATATTCAAAGGAACAGTATAAAGGCAATTGTACATCATTTAACCTTGAGGCAGATTTTACTTGTCCGAGCAGTTGATTAGGTGAAGATTCTTTTGATTTAAAAGTTTTTCCTTCTCTGATTTCTGATTCCTCTTTTCATTTGCAGAAACTTCTAACTCCACGATTTGAGCACGTAATCTCATCTGATCAGGAATATTAACTCAGTCACGGGAGGGAAGAACTCAAGCAAATCAAAAGTTTGATAACCCCACAAAAACGGTACAGCATGTTAGTTAAATTTTTTTAAATAAAATAAAATAGATGTTAAATGATTGTTCTGAAGTAATAAGTGTGCTACATTGTAAACTAGATACTATTTGCACCAAGAAAACTTGACACCCCAAAGAAAGGGAATCACAACCACTTAAAACTGGTTCACCTAAAACCAGTTTCATTTGTGTCAACTGGTGAAATTTGATCCATGTATATTAGTCATACATACCAAGGACTGCCTGAAAATATTGACATTCTGACATTCAATTCGGAACTTACAATTTCATCCGTAGGAGGTTCATAAGGAGTCAGATTTTCAAGTTCTAGCTCAGCAGCAGCTAGATCCTCTTTTGCTTTTAAAATTCTTTGTTGACGAGATTCTTCTTGCTTCCTCAAGTCTTCCATTTCTTTGTATTTTTCTTGTACTAGCACCCCCTACCAATATGATACAAAAATTGGAGAACAAAAGAAATTCAATTATCATTCTAATACTAGATAAACCTAAAACACCAATAAAAGGAATCCAGTAGCATTTTAACATACCAAACGGTTTTCTTTCTCCAAAATTTTCATGCGTTTGTTTGCATTCTCAGTAATCATTTTGCCTACTTTTTTACTCTTAGATTCCAATGTCACTCTCTCTTGCTTTTGTTTCCTGCAACCAATAAAATAATAAGTATACCGCACCTAAAATAGGAACATCATTGCAATGATATGGGCTGTATGTATGATCATGTGTGCACACCCCCATGTCCTTGCAGAAGAAAATTAAGGGAGGAACAACTTCTTAAACTCAACATTTTCCACAGGTTAAAAATACCATCATAGTTCATATCAATTAAAACTGGCAAGCACAACTTAGTGGTCGAGATAACAAAAGATAGTCTTGTAAGAATTAAATGACCAAAAATGAAGAAATGAAATACAACAAGGATACGCCTGTAGGATCTACATGTTTTTGGGGGGGGGGGGGGAGAGAGAAGAAAACATAAAATAACAGAAATTTAAAATCCAATAAAAGAACACCTAAAAATGGGAACGCACATTGTTACATAAGCATTTTGATGTAGGGAGATACAGCAATACAATCAAATTCGGAACAAAGTTAGTAGAGTCCAGTGAAAGAAATCCAAGAGAAACTCTATAATCCGATTTTCTGGGATTATATTGATAAAAACTGAATACAAAAATCCTAAGAGACTATTTATATTAGGTTACAACAGCCCTGGTATTCTAACCCTTTATTATTATGATACCTAATACATCCTAGCCCAATTAGAACTACTCAAGTAATATACAACATAAAATCAAAGATGACAAATAAGAAGATAATAAAATAACTAGTCCCCAAGTTAACTAGGACCCTAGCCTAGTTGGCTAGCGAGCCCAATCAGTCTTGAAAAGCCTTGTAGATGCTCCAGCATCACATTTGTTCTGAGAGCGTAAGATTTTTGAGCTGCTAATAATGTTAAACATGAGCTCCTCATTGGAGGGGCAATGTCTAAAAAAGATAAGATTACATCATTCTAATATCCATATGCAAAAAGCTAAAATCAAGATCTAGCATATGGGATGAAACTCGGGCCTTTCCCATACAAAAACCAAAAATTAAAAAGTTGTCCACACACCCAAACCCAAAAGAGTAAAGAAAATATTAAAAACTAACTTCACATTGTGAAAAAAGTTATAAGATTAAGCACTAGTACTCATGTAGGAACTGAGTACACCACTACATCTCATGAAGAGCATATAATCAAATAACAGGATTTTTAGTACTTCAAAAAAATGTATGGCAAGCTTAATTATGTCAAGTATCACAAAAATCTGTAACACAAACCTCAATAAATCAATAAATGACTCTAAAACCAAAAAAAAAATGTTGTTTCAATGCACGAACATATTATGCATGACTATAATCAACTAAATGAAGTCACCATACTCAATAGGTTCTCTAAGATCATTTAGAGTTCTTGCAGCTTTATCCAACTTCTTAGTTGCATCCTTTTCCTGCTTCATAGCTTCCATGTATTCGGCCTTCTTCATGTCATACTTTAGCCATGGCAATTTCTTTCTCATGGTCTCAGCCTATAGATGACATCACCAAAGAAAACTTAATTTTGGTTGAGTTTGTGAGAAGCAGAAGGTTTTTAGTCTTTTTTTTTTGTTTTTTTGTTGGGGGGACGGTGGTGGGTAGGGACACGGGTTAGGAAGGACCGATTTTTTAGAACCAAGGGGAATGGGAGGAGAGTTTATGGCATAAAGTGGGTGTCCGTTTAACCTGCATTTAAGGATCAATCTTTCCATTTATTATGCTCTTAGGGGGTAGCAGCAACCAGCCAGGAATGTGCTAGATTTATCTTTGTGTTTGTTTTTGAATCGGTAACTTATTAGGTTACTTTTCTTTAGCTGTTACAGTTTTTGAGGTCAGTCCTGTTTTCTGGCTGGTGAATTAGATTGTGTATTTGTACTGGCCCTCAGTGGATTTGTCCACTGCATTTTGTAAGTTTGACAAATCTTTTTTATAAGAGTTTGTAACTTATCAGAAAATCAAATTGCCATTGAGTGCATGTATGATGATCAACAAAACCGAAAGGCAAACCTTTGCTAGAAGTTCTTCTCTTTGGCGGACACGCTCAACATCTTTCTCTTGTTCAGCATTGAGTGCCTTCATCTGATTCAAAGTTTCTCCATTTTTTTCTACAGCCTAATCAGAAAAGTCAAAAGTCTACATAACAGGATAAAGTTTTATAAAATTGTATTACAGCGAATATTAGAGACTCACTTGCTCTATTCTCTTCCATTTCTTGCTTTGCTCAATAAGCGCACGATGTTGGATTGGCAGTTGAGGATCACCTACAGCCTTTTCAGTCTCTTCTAGAAGTTGCACTGGAGTTAATTTGGCAAACTCACAGACACGGTCTTGTGGTAAAAACTACACCCACCCAACCAAAAAAAAAGGATAAAGAGAGGAAAAATGGTCAAAGAGAAGAAAAAGACAAAAACACAGGCCAAAATTCATAATTTAGCTACAAACTTGTTAGCAACAGATTCAAAAGTATCATAAATACAAGTTAAAACCACAACATCCGAAAGAAGAAAAATAACAGGAAATGTAATCAACAGAATGATGTAGCGGCAAACAACTCAACAATAAGATAATCATTATATTTACATCCCTAGGCAACCTTTATTACTTCAATACATTTTTACCCATTCTTTTCAACAGAAATTAACTAGAAAAATTTCAAATGATTGAGAATCTTCAATGCAGATGGAATATAAAAAAAAATTCCCCAAGTATAACCAATACAAGTAAGCACACACTCCAATCAAAATTAAAAGAGTGGCATTTGCTAACAGGACACAAGACAAAAGTAACTCTTAATGTAACTAGAACTGTGAAACACAAACAATGGGATGAAGATAAACTTAAAGATGAGGTCTCTTTTAAGTGGTCCTCTGCCTGATAGTTGAGTTATTAGACTAAATCAGTGCAACTTTATATTAATATAAGCACACACTCCCCATCTTCTCAACTCTTGTAAGAATAAACTTTGTATCATTCCCATAATATTAAAGACCAAGGCACCAAAAAAAATTAAAGAAATAAAGCATCAATGATGCAGAAGCATCTACGAAGCTCTCTAAGATTACTTAGGCCCGTCAGTCAATTGGGCTAGGGTTCTATTTACTTTAAATTATTAGTTACTTCTTTTGTTTTCCTATTCTTACTAGGATTTGGTTTAATTTCCTGTTTAGGTTTTTACCTTCTTGTGTCAATTAGGTTTTCCATATTCTAGTATAAATAGGCTATTAAGAGACTCTTGTATTTAGTTTTTGTTGATGAATATAATTTCAGACTTTAGTCTATAGAGTTTCTATTGGGATTTTGCCCTAGAACTCAGTTATCTTCGTTCCAACTTCGATTCTACTGCTTTATCCTTCTATCCTCGGTATTTTGGGTATGTTTGGGTCGCTGGACAGCAGCTTATAGCAGCTGCCCTGCATCAAATTGGTATTAGAGCCTAGGTTAATCCTTGTTCCACACCATGGTTGGACGTGCTAGAGGTCGTGGACGAGGGAACCAAGCCCAACACACAGAGATGGCTGAGATGTGGCGTATGATGGAAGAGTTGTCGAGAGCGGTGCAAGCCCTCCAACAACAAGAACGCGCGGATGCCTATATGGAGATTCCGGAACGCAACCGCGAACCCTTAGACATACCGGAAGGTGGTCGTAAGGATGACTTTGAAGAAAAGGTAAACCCCTTTCATGAAGCTGGAGGCCATGATGATGGTGATAGAGGGGGATTGGAAGGAGCGGTTCGCTCTGATTCTCCAGTTAGTTCCCTAGATTTAGATATTCCCCCCATATTTGATCGTTGTATGGAAGACGACTATGAAATTTGTTTGAGGTGGAGAGAAGTTTTGATTTTGACAATGTATATGGTGAGAATAAGCAAGATGAATCTAGTGTGATCTTGAAGGTGGTGGATCAAGAAAAGGTTGGGTCTGAACTTTTGAAGGAACACAATCCATACAAGTTTGCAGGCAAGGTGACACAAGAAAGTCTTGAAGGAACCATTAGAGATGAGATGACTTCTTGTGATACTTCTGAGTATGTTGATTTTCTTGGGGTTGATGCTTTTGATTTGAAGATTGCCAAGAACTTCGTTGATCATATCAATCTAATGGCTTTTGGATTGAAGAGTTTCTGGGCTGCGAGGTTGTATACAGTAGATAACTTGAATTGTTCTAGAAGGATTAAATATTCTAAGTATCTATTTCTTTGGAGTGGGAAGGTTCAATTTCAAGGCCAAAGTTCTATAGACAATTTATGTAAGTGGAGGTTGTGATTGGGCAGTTTTCAGCAAAAGGTTGGAATTCAAGGACGAATTCTTCACAATCTGGTGGAATTGATGCAAGAATTTGGAATTCATGGATGAATTCTTCACAATCTGGTGGAATTGATGCAAGAAAATAAACATAAGTATTCATGAGTAGTTCGATATTCAAAATATCTCTTTGTTTGGAAAGGAAGAATTCAGTTTCAAGCTTCTCATGGAGTATATTCAAAATACCTCTTTGTTTGGAAAGGAAGAATTCAATTTCAAGTTTCTTATGGACTCTTCGTTGATAACAGTGTAGACTCAAGGACGAGTCTCTTCCAACCTAGGGAGTTTGATGCAGGAGCATCTACGAAGCTCTCAAAGATTACTTAGGCCCGTCAGTCAATTGGGTTAGGGTTATATTTACTTTAAATTATTAGTTACTTCTTTTGTTTTCCTATTCTTACTAGGATTTGGTTTAATTTCCTGTTTAGGTTTTTGCTTTCCTGTGTCAATTAGGTTTTCTATATTCTATAGGCTATTAAGAGACTCTTGTATTTAGTTTTTGTTGATGAATATAATTTCAGACTTTAGTCTATAGAGTTTCTATTGGAATTTTGCCCTAGAACTCAGTTATCTTCGTTCCAACTTCGATTCTACTGCTTTATCCTCCTATCCTCTGTATTTTGGGTATGTTTGGGTCGCTGGACAGCAGCTTAATGCCGCTGCCCTGCATCAATCAATCTTTTAAGGATATCAAATATAGAAGTTTCTACCATCTATTGCTATTCTCCCTAAGTAATTATTCGTCCAACATATACATTGCCTCTCTACTGTACCAAGAAATTTGCATAAGAAGGGGCCACTCTATACAAGGTATGAGGAACTGTTATTCATAATCCAAAAAAGTCATCTTGCACACTTTTTATATAAACTTAATGAATGAGTGAGTGAACTATGAGGAGTGCAATATGACTTTTTTGGAGTGTGCAACAGTTCCCCAAGTATAACCTTCAAAATGGTGCCTTTTGAAATATTTATTTTCTGTCTCTGAAAATCAAAGGCAACAAAGAATACTTATCAAGCTAAAAAGTTTGACACACTAATGTACAAGAGTCCAGCAGCTTCGAAAGGAATTTAACCAACAAAGACATGTATGTGTATATGTATATCAAAAGTAAAACTGCATTCAAACATAAAAGATTACAAAATTCATACATGCAATGCTGAGATTGTAATTTTAGAAAAACTCACTTGAGTTAAATTGTTGACTTGGATATTAAACCTTTGAATGATTTCAGCTACATCTTTTTAGGCACCACTTTTCCTGAAATACAAATAATGATAAAATAGAAGTCAAAGACTTCAGATTATTCCTCTGTCTTCTCAATAAAAACAATGGATAAACAACGCCTCTTAATATGGGTAGATAGCTTGTTTCCTCAATAATATAGGATGAGAGAGAGAGAGAGAGAGAGAGAGAGAGAGCTGGACCAATTTTGTACTTTCTTCTTTCTAGATCAAGCATATCATCCAATTTCCTACTTTATTGCATGATAATGGCAAGAAACTTTAAACAAAAATTCAGAAAATGGAAAAACAAGCACATGTAACATCAGGTAAAAGGAATGCTAAGTAAAGACACAGTATGGAAGCACAAATGTTGAAATGGAAATTAATGTATAAGATAGATTACAGAAACTACTAAAACCCAAGTCATAGCAATAACTATAAAATCATAATTCTATAAAGGAGGGAGCGGGACAAGCCTATGGAGCAAATGATCCTCCTTTTTCTGGGAAAATGTAGGGAATTCTTATTCATGATACTTTTAAGGGGTTAATAGTAACAAGTATGCTAACATTTTTCTTCATGACTAGAAACTACCTCAGGTTTCTTGCTCAAAAATAGAAAAAAAAATAAACTACCTCACGTTTCAGCCTTGAGACATCACTATGTTTTGGTTCAAGAAAAATTGTAGACAAAATGGTTGAAGACTATAATCACTTTTGAGAATTATTCCATGTATTAAACTCCTTACCATTGTATAACCATTCAGATTTGTTACGTGTATCAATCTTACGTATAATAACAATATCCTCCTCTTTAGAATTCCCTCTCAAGGTAATTTTAATATAACCGGATGCCTCCCCACGCTTCACATATGCTCCAACACTGGTCGCCCTCCCAAGTAACTGCACTTAACAAATTCCCCATTTTTATATACTCTTACAAAAACTTATGAAATGTAATAACATCTGTTACCAGATATTAACTAACCTGAGGCTCACCACCCAGACCCAGTGCTATTGCACACACGAGAGAGCTCTTTCCAGAACCATTTGGTCCAATTACAAGGTTTAAACGAGACCCCGGTTTGCATTTTAAGTCATCAAAGGTCATAAAATTATGGAGCTCAATCTCAGTTATACTTCCCGGCATATAGTCATCTTCACCCCTGTAAGAAAGAGAAGATAATCGTTAAATATTCATGTAGTTGCTGATCAAAACAAGAAAACAAACGAGATAAAGTTTCACTTTCATCTTTTATATAGATATATAAATGGAAATTGAGTATACAGTATATATCCTTGATTTCAAGACACGGAAGTCAATTCAACATAACCACATAGATGTCTTGTTGTTTCTGCGTAGACTTAGGGTCTCTAAAAGGTCCCAAATGACAAAATTTTAAATCTTTACTACTGTACTACATTTTTTTTAAAACCACACATAAGCATTTAACATTGTAGGGGTGATTTCCCTAATCCTCAGCTTAATTGCTTAACATAATAAGAAAAGACAAGGAAAATAATCAAATGTTTATTTAAAATAAATCATTATTGAAAAAGACAAAATTAAAAAAGCAAACATTAATTTTTTTGGTAACCAAACAGATAGTCAAAGAACAAATGCAGTGAAAACGAAAAATCCTAATGCTAAACAAGATTGACAAACAGAGTACCCAAAGGAAACGTTAAAAATGTCAATGTTGAACAAATCTCCGTACCTTGTAATCTTGGGGCGCTTTGCGCGAGGCTCGGCCATTGTCGAATGTTGCCGCGCTACTTTCTGATGCTTTTGAGGTCTATCTGAATTCTGAAACCCTAGGTTCTAATCGATTTAGGACATCGGAGTAAAAGCTAGGGCTTGGAAGTGAGAGAAGAAATGGCGCCAAAAGAGAAAAAGTGGGTCTATGACTATTTATGTAATGGAGAACTTCACTCGGATACGTGAGGTTTGCTCTTATTCCAACCTTACCTCACATGTTTGATTTATTCCAATAACACCCCTTTCTTTTATAGTTTTTCTATTTAAACCCCACACTTTTCTTTCTTCACCACAATACTTAAATCATTGGGACATTTTGGAAAATGCCAAAGGAGAGAGAAATATTTTTAAAAGAAACCAAAATTGACAAAAATGCCGTTATTTATTTTTGGATTTCCTAAGGAATATTTTACATTTGCATGTCTTTGATTTGAAAATTGAGAGGTTTTTCTTTTTTTTTGGAAAAGTTTTGGCTTTTTCCAAAAGTGAAAGTTTTTTTATGACTAAAACCTAAATTTACTTAAATGATTAAGCTCTTAAGTTTTATTATTATGTAAAAAGATAAAATAAAATAAAAAAGTCATCTAACTTAGTACTTAACCCTAATACATTTATACACACCCCCCCACTCTTCATGTTAAGTTTTATAAAAACACAAACATATGGGCACTTGTAACCACTGGAGGAACCTCTTGAGCTTGGTCTCTTCTAGTGAGCTGGCCATTGTAGTATATGCCACTATGAGAATTGATTGGTTTTTTAAGAGAGAGAGAGAGAGAGAGAGAGAGAGAGAGAGAGAGCAAAGGGATTTTAACAGGTAATAGCTTCAAGTGTTTCTATGCTCTCAAAAAGAAAGCACCAAAGCCGTTGCCTAAACTTTTCTTTGCATACTGGATTTTAATGTTGGTAATGAAAGAAATGGGGCAATTGAGAAAGAAAAAAATTATACATTTTTCACTTCTAACCAGGCACAACCCTCATCATCCACTGCTTCTTCATCCCCAATTAATCAAATTCCAGTTACATTCACCCCAAATAAATAAACAAAAAAATATGAAAACATATTGAATATACAAAACAAATTCGGTTGATTTTATTTTATATAAGAATTTGGGAAAGTGTTTTGAACCCTAGCAAACCCTGGCACCCCTCCCATGCCAATTTAACTGTCAACATTTCTCTATCAAAACCTCCTAGTTCATTCTCAAATTTTTAAACAAAACAAAATAAATAATAATAATAATAAAATAATACTGCTGCACATTTGACAACAATGTTTTTATCTCTTTAAGTAATGTGAGGTTTAGGTGAACTTATAGTGGTGAGGGGCCAAATAGTGGGGTGGGGTGGGGTTGATGTTTTTTTTTTTTTTTTTTGTTTTTTTTTTGTATTTAGAGTGTAAATTTAGGAAGTTTATAGTAGATAGGGTGGGTTTTTTAGAAATTGTGAAATTTTGAATTAGAAGTCGGGTGAACTTAGAATATGGGGTGAACAAAGAGAAATGCTGGGTTTAAACAGAAGAACTCTATTTTTATCTTGTTTGGTATTGGATTATTTGAGCTAAAAAGTGATTTCTTCCAAATTTTTTGAAGTCCATCCCGTTTTGTAATACATAGGTCCTGTTTGTTACACCTCCCAAGCTTGAACTAGCTTGGACTGACTTTTTATCCCATGGGGGCATAATTGATTTTATTTTATTTATTATTATTATTATTATTATTGAGTCAAAAGGCGATAGCATTTTATTCGAGGAAAAGGATGGAACAAGTATAAAAATCGGGCTATGTCTTAGAGGATTAGGCGAGTGTCTTTACATCCGATGAGCGTTTTGGCCTTCCGCTACGAAGTAGCCTACTCTCTCAACTGCAAACGGGAGAAGGAACCTTAAAATTTTTTAAATCATAGTCTGTTTGGTAAGAAAAAAAATTCACTTATTGTGAATAATTGCAGTGAAGAAATGAGAGATTATAGAATACTACAATAATACGGTCATGTGGTACATCTTGATTCTTGTATACGTATTATAATATAAGTGGATATTTATAGATACTATTCCCAAAAGAGGGGGGGTGTGGAGAGGGGGGAATAAACCATGTTGACCGTACTATCGTAATATTCTATCATTTCTCGTGAAGAAAGCAATTAAGGACAACTGGTAATGAAGTGCTTTCATTTTTTAATTATGCAGCAATCAATTTTGGAGATGCGCTAAAGTTTAATAAAAAATTCAAAATTTTTAAGAATAACCCCATATGTTGTCACGCTCGCATCTCTCTTCTCCTCTACTTCCCCATCATTCATCTTCATGCCATCTCTTCCACGTTCCTCACTCCATAGCTCACTCTTCTCCTTCTCTTCCATTTGTTCATTTGACATAAATGGAAGTTAAGAACAAAGTTGGACCAAACTGAATTTCGTGTAGAACCCATTGAGAAAAAAAGTAATTAATCCATTTTTTATTTATAATTTTATTGGAATTGAAAGCCATTAAATGTAATGGTTATAATAAAGGCGTTATAATCCTAAATGCTGGAAAATTGAATCAATGTATTGGAAAAAGAAGGAAAAAAAGACAGTGACTCAGTGATTGATATTCAATGACGTCCACAGAAACCAAATCCCCTCTCTCCCTCCAGAAGCCTTGTCTCGCTCCCACATGGCAAAAGCACAAATATCTCTCAGGAAATAAATTAAAAAAAATAAAAAAATCTCCAACTTCCTGCCACTGCTAAAAATGAAAAGTCCTTTACCTCACTCACTCACAGTTCACTCTACTCTGTATGGCCATCACCACCAGCATTTGTTCATCACCAAACCAACCACCAATTCTCCCACCACTTTCACTCCCAACCATCCCATTCACACCACTCAAAACCCACCACCCTCTCCAACTCCACTTGCCTTTTCCCTCTTCTTCCTCCAAATTTGGTGGCAATTTAGTCTCCAATGACGCATTGGCCATTGCAGCAGCGGCCGAGGCACTGGTGCTGGCCCGGGCTGCGGTGGAGGCGGCCATAGACGCTGTGGCGGTGACGGAAGAGATTGGTGAGGTTTGGAGTTGCAGGGAGAATGGGAATGAGAGTAGTGGACTGGTGGCGAGGAGGAAGATGAGGAGGAAAAGGAGAAAACGGTTGGAGGCTTTGGATGAGGAGATGAATAGGGATGTTGAAGATGGAATGGTGTCATTTGGGTTTGTGAGATATGAACATCTGAGCCCAAGAGAAGAAGCAGAATGCTGTCTGAGTCTCAAGGTATTCTTATTTTGTAATGATTCTGTTTTTACTTTTAACTATTACTTGTTGAACCCACTTATCAGAATTACACATATGAATTTGGTTTTGTATAGCTGATGGGTATTTTTCTATTTCTATTTAGATTTCTATTTTTAACAGAGTCTGCAATATTTGAAGTGTATTCCAGATTGCTCTGCTTAGATGACATTAACTATAGTGTTTCATACAATGTACCTTTCAATGTTTAAAGGTATATGGTCATTGATCGCTACAATTAGTAACTTTCATTGTTCTCTAGTTTGAATTTTCTTCAAATATTGCTCATTGTACGTGACGGAACCAAGAGGACTTAATTGGTGCTGTTGCAGAAATCTTATCTGTTCCTCTAAAAAAAAACCTTTTCTATTGTTTAGTTTCTACTAATTTTTATGCATGCTTTTGGTTCACATGCTTTTCCTTTTACTTTTAAGTAGTAGTGTATGTTGTTTTAGGACAGTTCTCAAATCACTTTTCGCAGGGTTTTCTAATGCTAAAAAAGTAACTTCAGCCCTCCATGTGTGAAGGGTCTTTGCTCCTCAAATTAAGAATAGTTTTTTTCTTTCTTTCTGATAATTAACCTTTTAATGACACAGGAGGGAGCAAGACTAGAATCAGAAAGGTTCAGAGTTGTAGAAGCTCAAGAGCATGAGCCAACCTCAAAACAGTTGGCCAAGGCAATGGGAATGAAGATGAGAAGTATAGATAAGGTGCTTTGTAAGAGAAGAGAGTCACAAGAAAAGATCATCAGGAGCTACCGGGGACTTGTTGTCTCTGTTGCCAGCAGTTATCAAGGGAAAGGATTAAGCTTTCAAGACCTCATTCAGGTTCCTACACCGTCCACTCCTATTTTTCCCAAGTTGTTGTAAGAAACTAAGCATCTATTTTAGCAGGAAGGGAGCATTGGTCTTCTTCGAGGGGCAGAGAAGTTTGATCATGAGCGAAAATGGAAGTTATCAACATATGTGTACTGGTGGATTAGGCAAGCTATTATCAGAGCCATAGAAAACAAGTCTAGAATAATCAGATTACCAGTAAGAAGCTGACTTAATTAACTATTGTTCCGAAACAGTTGTTTATTTTGTTATTGTACTTCTTTATCTTGGCCTAATCACTGAGTTTATATAATTTTTCAGTCCTAAGTAGAATTTGTGCCTTTCCTTTTCTCTTGCCTACTGAATACATCATCTGGTGCTTTGAAACCGTTGTATGTCTGAGCAGCAAAAGTTAGTTGAAGCTATACATATATGATGAACTATGCTGTTGTGCTTTGTTTGCATTTTTTCACCAATTTCCGTTACAAAAACTCATGGGCAGCTGCTCAGTGGAGAAGATGAATTTCAAAATTGTTCTAGATATTTGTCAAAGATGAATTTAATTGAATTCAGATGCCAGGGTTAGTGGAGAAGTTGATTGGCTTTCAGGTTGAGATGGTCTTTTCCATATAGATGGTTTCAAAATCTGTTGGGGATGGTCTAATTAGTAAATTTAATGATTTCCTTTCCCTTCACATATTTAAGTTATCTTTTATACATCTCCTGGGCGGTAACTGGTAAAAATACATTGAACGAAAGATTACAGAAGTATGGTTAGTTTATTTGTATAGGGACATGTGTGCGGCATGATGGCAAAAATCACAAAAGCTCAAAATTCCTTGAACCAAAGATTTCAGCGGCTGCCTAGCCATGATGAAATTGCTGAAGTGATCAAAGTGAATGCTTCAACCATAAAGCTTGTTTGTGAGAGGAGCAGACCCCCAATTTCATTGGATAGAGTGGCAACTGTTCGAGGTTCCATGACACTGCAGGTTTGTGTCTTGAATCTTGTTTTCATGATTTCTTTCACATCTTCTATTAGCATCTCAAATGAGAGAGATGATTTTGTTAATTCATATATTTTTCTAATTTTTAATCTCAGATGTAAACTGTAAGTAGGGGTTCTATGGTCCTCATTTATGACTCATCAAATTTTGCTAAAGCTCTTGAGTTTCATGTTTCGATATTGGACTCGGAAATTGCGAATCTCCACTTTGATTTTGCTCCTAGAAAGGGCTATAACTTGATTAGCTGCATAAGTACATGGTTCAGCGTTTGTATAACTGAATTAAAGATTGCTTGACAAGTCAGGGAACTAAATGCATAAGCTTAGCCCCAAAGCTGGAAAAGAAAAAGAAAAACTTCATTAGACTAAAGGTTTTACAAGCTTTAAAGGAATATTTTAAGTTTTAACTGTGCCATTCAGCATAAGGAAAAGTCATAAACTAGCTTTAGTTGAGAATCGAGACTTTATACCACTGACGAGCCTGATGGATATGGTCACTGGAAATTGCTCTGTATAAAGTAGCAAATTTTGATTTCTTTGTACCCTGTTTATTTAATCTTCCTTCGTGAGGAGAACTTCATGAAAATATGAAGATCAGGCAAAATGTGTCTGTTACGATCCATTAATCAGTCTTAATTTATTAGTTCACATTATGTTGCAGGAGATCATACAAGGGCCAGAGGAGATGATGCCAGAAAAGATGCTTATAAGGCAGCTAATGAAGCAAGAGGTCGAGAAGCTTCTGAAGACGCTGAGTGATAGAGAAGCAAATGTATTGAGATTACACTTTGGACTCAATGGAGAGAGCCCTCAGTCGTTTGAAGAGATAGGAAGACTGTTAAAGCTTTCACGGGAGAGGGTTCGACAGATAAATGGAATTGCATTATCAAAATTAAGGCAGACTAGTACTTTGGACAATCTAAAATTGTATATTGTATAGTTTTTCTATCATGTTATGAACAGATAAAGGAAATAGAGAAAGGTAAATAGCATGACGAGAAAAAAGAATATACCTTTTTTAATTGCATCAGTTGTTTGATTAGGTATTGAAGAAAAAGAAAGAAGATCAAGGGTTTTCTATAATTCTGGGATTGCTGTAATCCTCTTTTTTGACCAACCATGTGGATTGCTCTTTGAAACTTGGGATCCAGCATGGTTCAAAACTCCATCAATTGCTGATATTGAAACCAAAATTTAGCTATAAACTCTAATTATTGTTCTTGATAAAGGATTCATTTGCACAATTGCAGTTCTGTTGCAGTTCTACAGGCCTCATATTAACTTAGTTGTCACACTGTTTCTACCTAACCTTTAAACCGATAAATGTTGGAACTGTAGATCAAATTATACACTCATACCACATCGGATAAATCACCATCTCACATTGGGGAAATCTCTTTAAGTTGCATATGACATTTCGAGATAAAATCACAAACCTGAACTCTACAAGGTGGTTAATTTGGGACAAATTGTTGCAAGATAGTCTATCTCGAGACCTTCAAGCTTGAAGATAATCATAAGATCTTAGGAGTTGGGATTTGATCTCCTTAAGTTGCACACATTCAACATGAAGGGTCAGGCCAATGATAGAACTCAAGCATTGAAAGATAAAAAATGATTGAGCTGTGATCCTTTCTTTTTTCTTTCACTTTCAGTTTTGATAATGTTTATGTTTTATAACTGTTTAAACTTGTTTCTTTTTTCCGTGCACTTCTTTGACATTGTTCTCTCAGTTGCAAACACAATGAGCTACTCAGCTCTTAGTTGGTGTCCACAGTAGCCCTCCTTATCAAGATCATTTGAAACGCTCCACAAGTGAAATTTTATTGGAGGGTTAATCGTTTTATTAGTCCCCCAACTTGGACCGAATTTGCATTTGAGTACCTCAATTTCCAAAATGGTACTTGTGGTCCTTTAACTTTAGTTTCGTTTGGACAACTAGTCTCACCGTTACTTCTGTCAATTTTTTCGTTAAATTTAAGGGTAGATGGGTCTTTTCAATTGGTTTTATTATCCTCCTTGGGTTAATCGTTTTATTAGTCCCCCAACTTGGACCGAATTTGCATTTGAGTACATCAATTTCCAAAATGGTACATGTGGTCCTTTAACTTTAGTTTCGTTTGGACAACTAGTCCCACTATTACTTCTGTCAATTTTTTCGTTAAATTTAAGGGTAGATGGGTCTTTTTAGTTGGTTTTATTATCCTCCTTCTGCAACTTGCCTTCCCTCTGAAATAGACCTTGGAGGTATACTAATCCACCCTGCCTTAAATAGTTGAAGCAACTTCTTCCCTTGGCTTGGTCCCACAATCCCCTTACCACCCTCAAGCTTATCTTCAGTGTCGACTCTATCTGTTTTTGTGACACAAATTTCGACACAGCCGTACTCTGGCTCCACCAAAACCACCCCAAGACATCGTTCAACACCTTTCTTGGATCCACAATGACGGCGGATGATCGGGTTATATCCGTGGCTGTGTTTCTTGGTGTGGTTCATGAGTCCCTTCGCGTACTCACCGGCATTGACGCCTTTCCTGGCCCAGCTACCAACATCGTCCGCCACTCCGATGGTCTGGGCATCATGGCAGATGAAGTGGGCATCTTCGCCCAAGGGTTTTCCTGGTTTTCTCAGAAAATATAAAAGAGTAAAAATCTCTTTTGTCTCTTAAAACCAACCTGAAAAGACTCATCTACCCTTAAATTTAACGAAAAAATTGACAGAAGTAACAGTGAGACTAGTTGTCTAAAGGAAACTAAAGTTAAAGGACCAGATGTATCATTTTGGAAATTGAGGTACTCAAATGCAAATCTGGTCCAAGTTGGGGGACTAATAAAACGATTAACCCAAATCTAAAAGAGTAAAAGTCTTTTTTGTCCCTTAAAACCAACCTGAAAAGACCCATCTACCCTTAAATTTAACGAAAAAATTGACAGAAGTAACGGTGGGACTAGTTGTCTAAACAAAACTAAAGTTAAAGGACCACAGGTACCATTTTGGAAATTGAGGTACTCAAATGCAAATCCGGTCCAAGTTGGGGGACTAATAAAACAATTAACCCTTTATTGGAAGATGTATATTCACTTGAATGTGTAAGCTAACTGTTGGCGAGATATCCTAGTCCTATTATGATATTTCTTTCTTATTCTATTGAGATTTTATTTATTCCTTTTTTGTATAGATATTATGTAATTAGGACTTTTCTTATTTCCTAGTATAACCCTACTAGGGTTTGTAACCTTGTATTATAAATACCTCCTTTCGGAAAATGAAATATATCTTAAAATATTCTACCCATATTGTTTGACTTAGCATTAGAGCTAACTTTCTAGTGACCTGTGTGTGTTGTGCCTACTCGTGTTCTACTGTGTGTCATAATTTCTTTTAGGGTTCTTGTGCCCATGCTTGTGCTGTGTTTGTTATATCTGCTTCGTGTTGTGTTTTCTTTGCTGCTATAATGGGTGATGATTCTAAAGTTGTGGTGCATGCTAGTGCATATGCAACAAAGGAGGAACATCCCTCGCGTGATTACTCTACCCCGATTACTTCTGACAAATTGGATGGCTCCAATTATGCCTCTTGATCTCGTGGTGCGCGTATTACAATTACTAGTCGTCGTATGGCAAGTTGGATCAATGGGAAGAAGCATGCTCAGTCTTCAGATTCCGATGTCTATGCTGAATGGGAAGAAGATAATTGCTTGGTGCAGTCATGGCTTCTCAATTCCATGACTAAGCTAGTTCGTGCCTTGTTTGAACATGGTGATGCTGCTTTTGATATATGGGAGGCCGCCCGGAAGACCTATACTGTGACTCAGAATAGTTCTCGGTTGTTTCAACTCAGATGGTAGTCCATACTTACATGTCAGAATGGTGAATCTGTCAAAGTGTTCTATGAAAAACTTCATGATATCTAGCAGGAGATTGATTGTCTGTGTCCACATGAGTTTAGTTGTGCTGATGATGGGGCTCGTCTTCTGAAAGAAATTGAAGTCGATCGAGTTTATGATTTTCTCGGAGGACTTGATCCACTGTATGATGGTGTCCATAGCCATATTCTTGCTTTTAGTCCTGTCCCGCCCCCTCTCGAAGCCTATGCCATGGCCATGGAGGAAGACACCCATCAATCCGCTATGTCTGGAGGAGGTTCAATGGCCCTTAAAGTTGACCCAGCACGTCAACGACCGGTCGCACAACACAACATGACTGGTTGCTCCTTATCCAGAAAATTTTATTCTTCTGTTGGGTCTCGTCCTTCTGGCTTTACCCCTGCCTCTCTTGACGGTCCTCCTAAGTGTCGTCATTGTAATGTGAATCATTACTCTAAGAAGTGTTTTAAGGAGCATGGTTATCCCGATTTGTTTGTTGACTACAAAGCTCGTATGTACGGTCCTAAGGAAACTTATATATATATATATATATTATTTGTTAGTTTTGTGAATTAAAGTTAAGTTGAAAAACTGTTTTCTCTTAACAAATTGAGAATCGGTTTCTTAGGAAGTACTTATACTTTCTTTTGCAAATCCTTACATCATGGAATCCTTACTTGATCAATTTCTTGCAAATTGAAACACTTACTGGATCAAACTTCAAAAGATGGAAGTTTGATTTTTTGAAGTTATTCTTGGAATGAATGAAATCGATTATGATCTCACTCATGATTATAAGCTAGCCGTTTCGTTTATGTATCTTATAGTATGACTCCAAAAGCTTAGGAAAAAGGAGACGCATTTGGCGTTTAATAGGTACTACTCGTGTTAACTTATCATGAATGGAATTCTAGTAAAGAATATAATGGAGCTAATTAAGAAATGGAACGAAGATGAATTGGAGCAAAAAAAGGTTGAGGTGTATCGATGAAGTTGACTTTATAGAGAACTTACAAGGAGGTACACTACTACAAGGGACAATCTTAGGATTGTCGTAAAGTTTTGGATGTTCATATGGAATGGAGAGCAAGTAGATGTAGAAGCCATTGGAGTAGTTAACCTAAAGTTGGATTCATAGTTTATTTTAGAATAGGATGATGTAGTTTTAGTACCCTAAATGAAGAGGAATTTAATTTATGTTTCAAGATTATCGAGACTTGGTTTTGTTATTAAAATTCCAATGTTCTTGCCACTGGTTTTCTCTCAAATGGATTATATTGCCTCATTTACAATAAAGATGGTGAAGTTTTAATAGTTGAATCGAGTGAGAAAAGGATTAGAAGTGAGACAACATCCGCTAGGTTATGACATAGACATTTAGGGCACATTTCAAAAGAAAGAATGAAAATTCTTGTTAAAGAATAAGTCATGCTGCCACTAACTTTTAGTGATGATGAGATTTGTATTGAATGTGTTAAAGGAAAACTCATTAAGACTAAAAGAAATCTGCAACTCGCAGTACTGATGTTTTAGAGATCATCCACATAGATATTTTTGGACCATTCCCTCATCAAACAATTGATAGAAATCGATATTTCATCAATTTTAGAGATGACCATTCTCCTATACCCCATAACAGAAAAATCTCAAGCTTTTGAGATGTTAAAAAAATTTCAAACTAAGTTGGAAGGCAACTTGAGAAAAAAGATCAAAATTACAAGGTCATACAAAGAGGTTGAATATTATGGACATTTTGATGAAGATGGAAGACGCGCTGGACCTTTTTTTCATAAGATATCTACAAGATAATGACATAGTTTCTCTGTACACAACAACATGAACTCCACAATAGAATGGTGTGGTTGAGAGAAGAAATCGAACCTTGAAGGACATGGTTCGTAGCATGATTTCCAGAACTGATTTGCCTAAGCATCTTTGGGGAAATGCGATCAAAACATCAAACTACATACTTAATAAAGTGCCCAGCAAATTTATGCCTAAGACACCTTTTGAAATTTGGACTACAAGAAAGCCTAGCTTGCGACATCTTTATGTACGGGGTTGCAAGGCTAAAGCTAAAATCTATAACCCTCAAGAGAAGAAGCTTGATCTAAAAATGATTAGCTGCCATTTTATTGGTTATCGTGCAAGGTCAAAGGGTTTTAGATTTTACTGTCCAAATTATGGTATCCAGATCATTGAGACTGGTTGTGCAAAGTTTATAGAGCATGAGGAAAATGCCACTGGGAATGAAGATTTTATTTTTGAAGAAAAATGTGATGTAGATGTGATCGAGAATGATGAACAAGATGTTACACCCTTGATTCATTTAAGTGAAACTGTATTGGAACCTCCTCAGTTTGAAGAATGAGTTGGTCAACAACAACAGGAACAAGCTACTGAAAATCCTGAGCCAAATACCGAGGAAATCTAACAAACAAAGAAAACCTACATCAAATTCAGATTATGTGTATTTATAGGAAGCAGATTTTGACATTAGAGATGAAGTTGATCTAACAAGTTTTAAAAAAGCTATGGAGAGTCATAATACAGAAAAATGGAGGGAAGCAATGTTAAATGAACTCGAAAGCATGAAGAATAATCAAGTATGGGAATTAGTTGAACCTCACAAGAGCATTGGTAGGCTTGAAATGGGTATTTAAAACAAAGAAGGATAAAGATGGAAAAATCGAAAGATTAAGGCTAGATTGGTAGCAAAAGATTTACTCAAAAGGAGGGAATTGACTACATATACGTTTTCTCTAGTTTCCACCAATGATTCTTTCCACATAATTATGGCATTGGTGGAGCATTATGACTTGCTTTTACATTAAATGGATGTACTGCCTTCCTGAATGGTGAACTTGAAGAAGCAAATTTTATGAGGCAACTTGAAGGGTTTGTAAAGGAGGGAAAAGAGCATATGGTTTTCAAACTTGACAAGGTGATTTATGGACTAAAGAAAACAAGCATGAGGTGGTATTTAAAATTCCATCAAACTGTCTCATCCTATGGTTTTGAAGAGAACATAGCAGATCAATGCATTTATCTGAAGAAGTGTGAGAGCCTATTTATTTTTCTAATGTTGTATGTCGATGATATACTTTTGGCTATAAATGATCACAATTTATTGAAGGACACTACAGAGCTACTTTCAAACAATTTTGAGATGAAGGATTTGGGAGAAGCTGCTTTTGTGTTAGGCATTGAAATTCAAAGAGACCGAGCTCAAGGTCTCTTAGGCTTGTTGCAAAAAAATACATTGAAAGGGTACTCAAATATTTTGACATGAGTATGTGTTCTGGACAGAAAGTTCCGTTAGCTAAAAAAGGTTTAAAGAATGAGCATTGCCTCAAGAATAAAGAAGAATAAGCTGAGATGAGGAACAAGTCATATGCTTCTCTAGTTGGAAGCATTATGTACGCACAAGTATGTACGAGGCTAGACCTAGCCTTGTGCATTAGCCAGATGGGGAGACTTCAATCAAATACGGGAATGCAATGTTGGATAGTTGGAAAGAAGATTCTAAGGTACTTACAAAGAACAAAGGCTTACATGTTGATTTACAAACGCATAGAGATTTTGGAGCTTTTTGGGTATGCTGATGCGAATCTTGGAAAAGGAGAGGATGATTACATCTTTACTTCATGTTTTCTTTTCAAGATGGCAGGAGCAACTGTTGCTTGGAAGAGTGCTAAACAATCTGGTGTTTCGAGTTCAACTATGTTTTCAGAATACATAGCTTGCTATGATGCCACTTCTCATGCAATATGGCTAAGGAATTTTATCAAAGACATTAAGTTGGTGGACTTGATTTCAAGACTAGTATAGATATACAATGACAACATTGCAGCTGTTTTTCATTGTATGAACAACAAGATGTCGTCTGGACTTCATCACATTGACAAAAAGTATTTAATAGTGAGGGAGAAGGTAACAGACAAACTAGTCAAGTTTGATCATATCAGAACACAAGATATGATTGCAAATCCATTTACAAAAATTTTGCCTTCACATTTAAGGATGTTAATTTGGTTGATAGTTTTGATTATTGAATAATTTCTACCATTTTGACTATTTAGTTGTTTACACTTATTCTGCATTTTGTTTATGCATGTGAGTTTATGGTCTCTTTGAGATACAATTGTTTGATTAACATTGCGAATTGACTCTTGCTAAGTCATAAAAGGGTATATGTATTGAAAAGCATAAAGATTCACAATACATATCAATATATGTTAAGGTTCGCGTTTGTGGGTGCTTCATGTGTTTTGAGATTGCATTATGTGATTATATATGACCTTTAAAAAAAATAAAATAAAATAAAGGAGAGAAGTGCTTGTCTATAGTTCGTTTTGTCTAATCACTTTTTACTGTAGCTTGAAGAGAATGACTTAACTGTTTTAAACTCACGACCAATAAATATTATCAAACTTTTGTAATATAGAAGCTTAGTGTCCTAGTGCTTGATCTAGTGGGAGAATGTTATATTCCTATTTAGATCGGTGCACTAGATACTAAGTTATATAAGGTTTGATAAGAGTTTAAATTATGTTATACCTTGAGGCCCAAAACCTTTTGAATTAAGGAAAGTTTTGAAGCCAATTAAAGGGGTCATATTTATTTCCTTTTGCGTGAATCGTTGCTTGATGTTCTTGGAGTGTTAGTCAAGTTAGCCCTTGGTGATGAGTAGAGACGACTTGACCTAGCCCTATATAAGCTTAAGACTCTGCTCTCATCAACCACGTTCTCTAAACTTAATCTCATCATAAAGAGAGAGCTGAAACAGTTTTTGAGAGAGAGCAGAAGTCTTTAGCCGTTTGTGTCTTTTGCTCGTGTTGCTGCTGCTGCTGCAATTGAATGAGTTCTGAGATCGTGTACTCAAGGAAAATGGTGCTAGGTATGTCTTCTATGTATTTCAGTTTGTGTGAAAGATCACGAACACTTATATAGAAAATCTAACAAACATTACATTATCTGCTATACATAATGTGTTTGAGAGCCTTACTCTTACTTGTGTAGATTATGAAGGATGTACAAAGAAGCATAATACAGGAAAATACAGACAGAATACTCAACAGATCCAAACCAGTGGTTATCTGCACCATCTTGCTCCTCTCAAACATCTTTACCAGAAGAATCATGACAATTACATGTCCCACTTTCGTCTTGAGCTCATCGAGTGTGCTAATTTTCATCCATTAGGCCTCTCCTACAGAATCATCCAGTTATCTTGGTAATGTTGTAAATAGAAATACTAGAAGCCAAAAGTGGAAAAGTAAAAGAGGGATAAAGAAAACAAAAATGCCATCTACGCTAAGGCTTATTCATCACTAAGCAATTCAAGCTGATATTGGAGAAAATGAACAGAAAAACATGGCAGCAATAAGAATTTAAATATAGAAAGCTACGGAAAAGATTTAGCGAGTTCAACTTTTATTAAATATAATATTTTTGTGTCTCATCTGATGACACAGTGCCGATTTTGTAGACTAGTGCCTGACATTTTAGTCCAGGGATTATAAGTTAGAAGCATAGCTACTGGGATATTTATTGGAATATGTAAGGTAACTTTACATTATCCTCTATGCATAATGTGTTCGAGAGCCTTACTCTTACTTGTGTAGATTATGAAGGATGTACAGAGAAGCAGAAGAGAGGAAAATACAGACAGAATAGCTCAACAGATCCAAACCAGTAGTTATCTGCACCATCTTGCTCCTCTCAAACATCTTTACCAGAAGAATCATGACAATTACATGTCCCACTTTCGTCTTGAGTTCATCAAGTGAGCTAATTTTCATCCATTTTGGCCTCTCCTACAGAATCATCCAGTTATCTTGGTAACGTTGTAAACAGAAATACTAGAAGCCAAAAGTGGAAAAGTAAAAGAGGGAGAACGAAAACAAAAATGCCATCTATTCTAAGGCTTATCCATCACTAAGCAATTCAAGCAGATATTGGAGAAAAAGAACAGAAAAGCATGCCAGTAACAAGAATTTAAATATAGAAAGCTACAGAAAAGATTTAGCGAGTTCAACTTTTATCAAGTACAATATTTTTGTGTCTCTTCTGATGACACAGTGCAGAATTAGTAGACTAGTGATTGATATTTTAGTTGAGGGCGAAGAACCCGTCGTAAGCATGCTCAATTAGATGTTTTCCATTTAAAGGTTGCTGGTGAAGAGGAGCAGAATGACTGAGAAATAAACAGATTGTATATATGCTAGTTCTAATTCAATTAGATTATGTTACCATCTATTAATATCTGTGAAGGTTTGAGAATGTATACGCGAATGCCGCATATACATGCAAAGGAAGGAAATTAAGATTACCTTCAGAGCAAACATTCCAAACAAAGAAGAGCCCTTAAGAGCACGATCATTATTGGAAGGCACATCATGAGAGACATTACTGATAAATAATCCATATAATCCCATACCAAATATTAACATGACAGTCCCAGCAAGGTAAACATCTGCATCCCAGAGATAATCATAGATCAGTGTATCAACATAGAAGGCTATAATGATTACTATAAACATAGAAATATCAACACCTCTTCCCAAAAGGCAAAGGTGGCCACACAATGAGTTTTACCATGTTAAGAAAGGAGTGCTTTTTCCTTAAACAGAACTTTCTTTGGTACAAAAAGTCATGATATTTGAAATGTATGTTAGCATTCGAAAATCATATTCGAGAAACAAACTGAACTTAACAAAATACTTGCAGAAAAATAAAGAAAGTATACAAAGAGAATTCTGAAAATTCTACCAATAGCTTCAACTAGTCGTAGAACCATTTGTCCAGTGTGATGCCCTTTGACACAACTAGTCCAGTAAACTTTATATGCATCCATAATATAAACGCAACCCTGAAAGTTGAATGCAGTATGAGTATGCGCAGATATATTCATAAATTGTGAGTATGTACAGATACAAAGTGATTGAGAGAAATTACATTGAGAAAGCACAACAACGAACCAGCCAAGGAACCTCCAACAGCAAAGAGTGCCAAAAATCGGAAGTCAAATATTGTCTGTTCAACAATAGACATGTAAGAAACGATCAGAACAGATATTTTATATGGTAAAAAAAATTTAAACAGGTAAAGAAGAAAATGCACAATTGTCTTTCTTATTGATAAACTGACAGTTGATAAACAGAAAACAGAACATTGATTCTTTTTCAAGTCATTCATAAGACTTGACTAAGAGGGATTGACTCCAAGATTCTGAATGAAACTAGAAGTTCAGTTGCATCATTAGTAACCTAATATATTGATTCTTCTTATTGCTCAGGAGCAATCTGTCAAACATTTAATCTGCAGACTTGATGCTTAAAATGCAAATAGGAAACTAGTTCACTTTATTTGACCAATAGGATTGTTTCTAAATATTATTCATTAAACCCAAATAATTCATTTGTCACATGAACCGTACCATATGGGCCACCTAGAATATTAAAAAAATATTCTTACATAAAATGCCTATAATTTAGTATAAAGTTCTAGTTAGTCAAATTTTATAAGAATATATTCCCACAATTTTCATCTATTATCAACTGATAATAACAAAAATAAAAATAAAATAAAAATTAATTCCTCCAAACTATTCAAAAGCCTACTCTGTCACACCCAAATCCCAAAAACTCCCAATATTCCCAAATGAGCATCTGAACATATTTATACCAAATAAACAACCGTTATTAAGCAAGTATAGTGACTGATCAAGTTCTTATTCTAGTTACCCTTTCAATTGAAGACTCAGCAGAACGGGCAAACCGAACAAACGGGTTGCCGTTGGCCAGGGCGTAGTTGGAGCCAGGTGGCTCCGGCGGCCTAGAGGACGCACCGGCGTAAGGGTTTGGAGAAGTATCATTGGAGGAGGAGAGTATGGTTTGATTTGGGGTTGTTGATTTTGAATCTGGGGATGCTGGGGAGCTCAGAGAAGAAGCAATGATGGGATGAGAGAAGTGCTTCGAGCTGCTTGAAGGCCCGCAGTGGCGGATTGAGGTGGATAGGCAGAGGGTGGAGGTGGAGATGGAAGTGAAGAGAGCCATGTTGGGGAGAGAGAGAGAGAGAGAGAGTGAGAGAGGAGGGGTTTGGAAGAGGGAGATATTTTAGTTGAACTGCTGAGAATTTTCTGTGCCATTGGATGGCGGGTAGTAACGGTAATATGGGGACGGAAGTGGCGTTCACGCGTAGAAAAGGGGCGTGGCACTTTTGGGCTAATGCTGGATGGACGGCGGAAGGAGAAGTCATCCACACAAAACAGACAAACGGAGGCATGGTGATTGGCACGTGAACGTGCCAAATTTCACTTTTGATTACTGTAGTTTGCTCTACTTTGGTCCATGCATGTATTTTTTTGCAGTTGCATAACTCGTGTTCTTAATGTTTTAGATGTAATGCAGCTTGTTTTTTTCTCCCTTAGATATTTTCTAGGTGTAAAGAGAACACATGGTTGGGCTTACCCAGAAAAATACAAAGTACAAAAACAAAACCAACCCATCACAACGATTTTCAGAGGGGAGAGAGAGGAAGACAGAAAGAATGAGTATGAGTGGAGGTAGAGAAGGTGTTGAGTGTAATCAGACCGTCGGGTTACGGAGCTCTTCATGGCTGGTTTAAATCCAGTCACTGATTAATGTCAATTTACCACTTTGATATTTCTCTCATTTTAAACTACATATGTGTTCGATTTGATAAACAGCTATATATTATTCACATATTGCTTTTCTATAAATATAATCATCACATTACAAAACACCCCAAAATGAAAAATATTTTTATTCCAGTCCTGCATTAATAGTGCTTACAATCACAAGCAATTAGCAGTCATGACGCTCACGTTGTGGCAGCAACATTGACTTGGTGTCCAGGCAACTCTCCTTAATTTGAAAGTCAGTAATTAGTAGGACCAATAATGATGATGTTATATATAATAAGGATTAAGGAAAGTGCTTACTATGTTTCCAATTTGTGAATTTTATAAGAACACACATTGACTGTTGGGAACTGGTTTGGACGTTTCTTGCAATTAAATATTTATATGTTGAATTCAAATTGTTCCCATCTTTTCCTCTGGTCTTTATCCATGAAACTTCACTTTTTTTTAACTCTACTGAAGAATATGAAATTAGCTTTTAGTTTCTTACTTAGCACGCAATTGAAGATTATAAGTTGAAATCTCATCATGGTTCATGGCTTACAGTGCTTGCTTGTTGAGACTTGAGTTTATGGAAACAGTTGCAATGCTTCAAATAGTGTTATTGCTAATTCTCTCCTTTACAAAAACAGAGTTCGCTTTTAGTAGTGATGCTCGGGTTATAGGCTGCCTAGAAGCAGAGAGAGAAGCTCTTATTGACTTCAAGGATGGTCTTGAAGATCCTGAAAACCGGCTTTCATCCTGGAGAGGAAGCAACTGCTGCCAATGGTGGGGGATACACTGCAACAATACAACTTCAGCTGTTATAGAAGTTGATCTCCGTAACCCGCATCCGCTAAATACATTCGATGATTCTCCGGGCAGGTATGGATTCTGGAACCTTAGTGGCGAAATTAGACGATCACTGAAAATGCTCCAGTCCTTGAAACATTTAGACTTGAGCTTCAATACATTCAATGGAATTTCAATTCCTGCATTCTTCGGTACCCTGAAGAATTTGCAGTATCTAAACCTGTCACATGCTGGGTTTAGTGGTGGAATTCCTCCAAATTTAGGGAACCTCTCTAGCTTGCGGTATCTTGATGTGTCGTCTAATTTTGTATCTGTTGATAACCTTCAATGGGTGACTGGTATGAGATCTATGGAATATCTCAATATGAATGGAGCTGACCTTTCAATACTAGAACCAGAATGGATTGAGACCCTTAATAAACTCTCGTCCTTAACTGAATTGCATCTGTCGGGTTGTGGCTTGTCTGGTTTAATTCACTCTCCCAGAGTTATCAATTTTACTTCTCTTGCTGTAATAGAACTTGATTTTAACGGCTTCAACTCAGAGATTCCCAGTTGGCTTGTTAATATCAGTAGTCTTGAAAGTGTCAGTATAAGCTATTGTGGCTTGTATGGAAGGATTCCACTTGGTTTCAGTGAATTACCAAGTTTGAAGGTTTTTGATCTTTCCGGGAATGAAAATCTAACAGCAAGTTGCTCTCAGCTTTTCAGAGGAGGATGGAAAAAGACAGAAGTTATTTATCTAGCTTCCAATAACTTACATGGTAAACTTCCTGCTTCCTTTGGCAACATGACAGCTCTCACTCATTTTGATCTTTTTGGCAACAATGTCGAGGGCGAGATCCCGAGCTCCATTGGTAAACTTTGCAAGCTGAGAGATTTTCGCATATCTGGTAATAACCTAACAGGATTACCTGAAGTCCTAGTAACAGGGAACTGCAGTTCTAGGACTCCGCTGCCTAGTCTACAGTACTTTGATTTGTCAGTCAATCAATTGGTCGGTAAATTGCCCGAATGGTTGGTTCAGCTTGATAATCTTGTTGAACTAACTCTGTCCTATAACTCACTCTCTGGTCCCATCCCTTCTTCATTAGTTTCATTACCAAGCATTTCCACTCTGGATCTTGGGCATAATAAACTAAATGGGACTCTCCCAGATAGTTTGGGAAAACTTTCTCAACTGTCTTTGTTTGATGTTTCTTTTAATCATTTGACAGGTATTATAACGGAAACACATTTTTCGCAGCTCAGTAACCTGACATTCTTACATCTGTCTTCCAACTCTTTAACATTAAATGTCAGTTCAAATTGGATCCCTCCATTTCAAGTCTGGAATCTTGATCTAGGCTCATGCCATTTGGGTCCATCATTTCCTGCTTGGTTAAGATCACAAAAGGAGGTCAAGTTTCTAGATTTCTCCAATGCTAGCATTTCAGGTTCCATTCCTAACTGGTTCTGGGAAATCTCATCTAACCTTTCATTGTTAAACATTTCATTCAATCAGTTAGGAGGTCAGCTCCCAAATCTGTTAAATTTAAATCCATATGCGGATATTGACTTGAGCTCCAACTTCTTCGAAGGTCCAATGCCTCTTCCAATTGTTGGTGTTGAGTTACTAGATTTATCCAACAATGGATTTTCAGGTCATATCCCAAAGACCATTGGGGAAACCATGCCAAACTTGATCTTCCTCTCTCTTTCAGGGAACCAAATAATCGGCGAAATCCCAGCATCTATAGGCAGAGTTCTGCTTCTAGGAGCCATTGATCTTTCAAATAACATGCTAACTGGAAATATTCCACCTAGCATAGGGAACTGTTCTTATCTAAAGGCTCTAGACCTTAGCAAGAACAATCTATCTGGAAAAATTCCCAGCTCCTTAGCTCAGCTGAGAATGCTTCAGACACTGCACCTAAGTGACAACAAACTCTCTGGAGGTCTCTCACAATCTTTGCAGAATTTGTCGAGTTTGGAGACACTGGATATTGGAAACAACATGCTCACAGGAAGAATTCCACCATGGATTGGGAAAGGTTTTGAACATCTGAGAATATTGAGGTTGAGGTCAAATGTTTTTTTTGGAGAACTTCCGATCACGCTAACAAATTTAAGTTCTTTGCATGTCCTGGACCTTGCAGAAAATCAATTCAATGGAAGCATTCCAGCTAGCTTTGGAGATTTCAAAGCTATGGCTCAAACGCAAAACATGAACCGCTATCTATTCTATGGGATGTACAGGGGCAGGTACTATGATGAAAGCTTGATTGTGAACTTAAAAGGCTCGCCCCAAAAATACACCAAGACTCTCTCCCTTGTGATCAGCATAGACCTCTCTGGAAATAATTTGAGTGGAGATCTTCCTGAAGAAATAACTAAACTGTCTGGTTTGGTTGTTCTGAACTTATCCAGAAACCAAATAAGCGGTGGCATTCTGCAAGACATTTCAAAGTTGACGCAGTTGCAATCGCTTGATCTTTCTAGTAATAGGTTCTCAGGCCTTATTCCTCAAAGTTTGTCTTCACTTTCATTCCTGGGGTATCTAAATCTGTCAAACAATGACTTCTCTGGTATGATCCCATATACAGCTCATTTGACAACTTTTGATGCAGCCTCTTTTACCGGAAATCCAAGCCTTTGTGGTCCTCCGCTTGTTCTAAGCTGTCCGGGTGCTGATCCCGGCAAAGGAGGAGGAGCTGTGGAAGATAATGACAGTGGCAACAGCTTCATTGATAAGTGGTTTTATCTGAGTGTTGGATTGGGATTTGCAGCAGGTCTTCTGGTTCCTTTCTTCATTTTAGCAATCAGAAAGCCTTGGAGTGATGCCTATTTTCGCTTCGTTGACAAAGTTTTAGAGAGAATATCATGTTTGAGAAACAGAAGAGCAGTACATCACAGGACCAGGCGTCCTCACCTGAGCTAACCTGTCTTTCTTTTCTTTGAGTTTGGTGCTTCTGATTTTATACTCTTTATCTTATGTACTATTTGAAGACTTTGATTTTAAGTTTTCTTATCTGGAATTAACTTATGTAGCAAACGAAAAATGGTGAACAAGAGTGGGTTGTCTCTGAGTGCAATTCCTTGCTGCATTTCATCTATAAGGACTAGAAAAATGAAGTATTTATGTGTTGTTGGACCTTGGAAGCAGACCTGTACTTGAACCCGTATCCAAAACCTCTTGCTCATTTAGTGACAGAACCAGGAATTTGTTCTTGGATGAACTAAATAAAAATTGTGATGATCAATATTTTTCTTTCTATATACTATATTTCTACATATACATAATATTGGAATAAATAAAAAAAAAAAAAAAAAAAAAAAAAAAAAAAAAACTATCTTTTTTTATATTTTTTAATATGGTCTGATAGAAAAAAAAGAAAAGAAAAAAGGAAAAGAAAAAGAACATAGCTCAGTCAAAATGATTGGTGTTCTTTTCCTCTCTTTTTTCAGACTCCAAAACGTTGGTTGGATAGTTGGACTAATAGCTCAGCCAATATAAAAAAAACCCAGATGACGTAAAATTACCAGAAAACGATCATATAGATTTCCACAGAGAGAGAGAGAGAGAGAGAGAATGAGTGGAGCAGAGAAGGTGGTGAGTGTAACCGGAGCGTCCGGTTACATAGCTTCGTGGGTGGTGAAGCTGTTGCTGCAACGGGGGTATACCGTCAAAGCCTCGGTTCGTGACCCAAGTCAGTCATCAGTCTCACTTCACTACTTTGTTTGATAAATAGTTAAATACCCACTTCTTCTTTTTCCTTCTATTTCAATTGATTGCAATCGCATCCCTTTTCTGATTAATTTGATGATCGCTGAGCCCTTTGTGTTTATAGGAAGCTTATGATACTTTATTTGGCAAAATTCTAGTTTATTGAACAATGTATCAGGCTTGATATGTTGGGTTAGTATATTTTACTAATAATGCTTGAATATTTTCATCAAAGTTGGTAATTTTTTTGGAAAATTTGTGTGGGTTTCTGAAATTAATTAGTTTGATCACTATGATTTTGTGCGATTAGGACCTTGATAACTTGATTAGTTTAGTCACCTCAAGTAAATATTGGTAGTATCAAACTAATCCCCGAGAGTTGATATATAGATGTTTAGTAGATTGGGAATGTTTTGATTGGTATCACACGATCTTTTGTTAAGGTAGGGTTTTTATGGTTTGTGGGGTTATTCTCTTGTATATGCCACAGATGATAAGAAGAAAACAGAACACTTACTTGCGCTGGATGGAGCTAAGGAAAGGCTTCAGTTGTTCAAAGCAGACCTACTGGAAGAGGGATCTTTCAATTCCGTAGTTGAGGGTAGTGAAGGTGTTTTTCATACAGCATCCCCATTTTATCTCGATGTCAGTGATCCGCAGGTACATCCTGTATCACTTTAACTGCTCTGTTGCTTATACATTAATTATGATATGTCTGCATTTGATTTCAAGAAGTGACCGATTTCTGTTGCATTCTTGCTTTATTTACTGAAAGTTTATGATATTTTGATGTTCTATGCTGTGATTTTGTTGGGGAAGTCTGTCTTTCATAGATTTATTAGTATACAGTTATTGTTTTAAAGTTAAATTCTTTATGCTAAAAAATGTTCACCGGATGCTAACTATAAGTTCTCAGTTGCAAAAGGAGCTAAGTGCAATGGTCTGCTATTGGATACTTTGCATTCAATTACATCTTATCTGCACATTCTAAAATCAAGACCCTATAGGCTGCCGCTTTTAAAGTTTTCTTTTGTCAGGCAGAACTAATTGACCCTGCTCTGAAGGGAACGCTTAATGTCCTTAGATCGTGTGCTAAGGTGCCATCTATCAAAAGGGTGGTTATAACATCCTCTATGGCAGCAGTTGCGTTTAATGGAAAACCTCTTGCTCCTGATGTGATAATCGATGAATCTTGGTTTTCAGATCTAGCTGTTTGTGAAAAGTTAAAGGTTTGCGCACTTCTCATGCTAATTTTTTATGATGGAATATCTCTTCTATAACCTCCATGTGAAGATGTAACTGGTTTATGTATTTGAAATATCAGATGGAATTATTCCCCTGATTTTTTGGCACCTGAGATCCAGTCTTGTTCAGAAATTTGCCCCCTTACCCTTTAGGATCATGCTTTGCCTAAGATATCTCAGTTTGTTTTTTACCTTCTTAGTGAACCTACATATGAACACTTTTTGGGATTCTTTAGCCAGTAATGCCATATTAAGCGGTGGATGTAAATTGAAAGACATTTACATGTCGTGGCGCGGTTGATGCTCATATAGATTTATGTTTTTTTTGGTCTGGTTGTTAGCATACCTCTTGTAAATGACTAATTTTTATTGTGTAAGATTTAAATCTTATAGCTTTCATGCTTTAAATACATGTTCATTGTGTTTATTAAGACTTTTTCTTCATCAGCTTTGGTATATGATTTCAAAGACCTTAGCTGAGGAAGCTGCTTGGAAGTTCACTAAAGAGAACGGAATAGATATGGTTGCAATAAATCCAGGATTGGTGATTGGTCCTCTCTTGCAGCCAACTCTGAATACAAGTGTGGAGCCTGTTCTAAAGCTCATAAATGGTATTCCGAAGCCTCTGTATTATATGATTTTATTATACAATCATTCCTCATAGAAATATATGAAGTGTCATGATTTTAGAGATTTACTCTTTCTATATAAAAGATATAATCATACAAAATGTAAGGCTGAAATAAGCCACGTGTAGTGATCTTAGAATAGCTAGATGTGTGGCTGAGATTCAAGCTGTTGTATGTGAATCCAGCTAAGGCTAACAGTTATGTAGTACACGCCTTGTGTGCTCATTCAGATAGAAGAAATATACATTCTCTCTCTGCATTTTTCAGAGTGAGAGAAGCAGAGCATTTCATCATTCTGCATTTTCCTCATTCTTCTATTCTTCTCTTTTGTCTTGAGCATTTCATATCCCAGCAAGAATACTAAAACACTAACAAAGTTATAGCATACGCATGTTTACTTATCTAAACTAAGAATCCTTGAATGCTAAAGTTAATTTAAATGTCGAGTATAGAATATGTTTTTTTAAGAACACACAGAATTCTATTAATGAAAAAGGAAATTTAAATCTGTGGATAAGCAGTCCACAGCAAAAAAGATGAAACTAAAGGGGTTCCTTCTGAAAAATCCTTGTACAAAAACTACGAACACAAAAAAATTGCTTCAAAATCCAAGACACAAGGTAATGCTTCAATAATTCTCTCTTTATCTCTGTGATAACATAAAATCTACTAAGAAATTCTTATTGCTGATGTTTAACTGATGCAGGCACTGAAACATTTCCAAATATAACTTACAGATGGGTTGATGTTAGAGATGTTGCCACTGCTCATATTCTAGCCTTTGAGAATGCTTCAGCTAGTGGGAGATATTGTTTAGTTGGAAGAATAACACACTGTTCAGAGGTCATGAAGCTTTTGCGTGATCTCTTCCCTGCTCTCAAGATTCCAGAAAAGTAAGTTGCAAATATAATCAAATTATAGCATGTTACTCCTGTCCAAGATATCTGTATCAACCCTAGAGATAGAGGAGGAATTCTTTGGTCAAGTTTACCATATTGTTCTAGCCTAAGAAATCCGTGGCCATTCATATTGTTCTGTTTAACGTTGATATGATAAACAGACTCAGTAATATGATTTTTTCTTCATAAGTGCTAAATTGCGAAACATAATATTTGGACTTTAAGGTTTGAAAGTCCAAACTTCAAAAATTAATGTCTGTGTTCATGGCAGATGTGCAGATGACAAACCTTTCACACCAACTTACCAAGTTTCCAAGGAAAGAGCCCAAGCCTTGGGTGTTAAGTTTACGCCTCTGGAGGTAACATTGAAAGATACTGTGGAAAGTTTGAAGGAGAAGAACTTCTTTTAATCATGGAACTCATTCGAATTACCGTCGAGACATTAGAGCTCAGTTTATCACTTATGGAAAGTATGTTAGGCCAATTCTCAACAAAAGTCCTTGTCTAAGAGCCCTTTACATTTCTCCACCACAAAAAAAAAAAAAAAAAAAAAAAAAAAAAAAAAAAAAAAAAAAAATGAATGTTTTAATTAGTTTTTACCTAAATGTAGTAATGTGGAACTTGTTTCAACTGCCTTTTACTTATTGCGAGTTTTAAACTTTGAAGTGACTCCATTAGAAGTTCTGCTCAAACCCACGCCTTTTCCTCTCGAGGGACTTTTAGTGCGGATTGATAATCTAATTGCTGAGCTCCAAGAAAGGCAAAACTCAAAGTGACTTATTCCAGAAGAAATTTTGACAGTTTATTATTAGGTGGATGTTATCTTCTAGAGAATTAAAAAAAAAACAAAAAACAAAACAAACCATCAGATATGCTTAAATACAACTTGGACACATTTTTACTATCAAACAGACAAATAATCACCTCAGGGGAACGTTTAATTCAAATTGGGAATATTCGACCAGGGTGTACATTTCCCAATTCGAACGATGACTTCTTAGCCATGGACGAAAGTCTGTTTGTAACAAATACATTTTCCAAATCATGTTGTCCACTGTGATGTAAGTCATTAAACTAATTAAACTAATTAGAATAGTTTAATAAGTTAATTAAAGTTATGAAATTTTAGTTTTGATCCTACATGACTTAATAATTTATTGAAGTGGACCGTACATAGTTAGACATGTGTGACACATTATGAGATAAATGTAATGGACTTAGATGGCCCAAAAAGAGGCCATTGTAAGGGGGTGTGGCACATGTGGACTAATGTTCACATGTGCCACAAGGTGTGATACATGTGGCCCTATAAATAGAAAGCCATAGCTTTACAGAACTTTAGGGTTTTCAAGTTAGACATTTAAGAAGAGAGGAAACATCAAGCCTTCCTCCCTAGTCTCCCTTGGCCGGCCACTCGGAGAAGAAGAGGCTAGCACCCATCTTCTCTCCAAGCTTCCTTATTCTCCTATTATCTTCCATTCTTGGTGAAGATTCTTTTGGGAGGTGCATCCTTAGTGTGCCTATTTGGAGATCAAGTGTGGAGAATCAAAATCTAAGGGACCAATCCCTGTACTTGAACACCATCCTTAATAGTTGAATTACAGAGTCTTTGGTGCAAATTTTAATTTCATATTAGATATGCATATGCTAGATGATTTGTTCTCGTTGCGATATCTAGGTTTACCAAATTAATCAAATTTTAATGCTCGCAAGTATACGAATCAAAGATAGTATAGCTAAGTAAGCACAGATATCGTCCCACAAAGATTGATTTAATTCTTGATATTCCTACCAATTAAACTGAAACTAATTTTATATTGAGAAACTTTAATGGATGAAATTGATTTGAATTTATAATTGAGAAAAACTAAAATTAAAGAAAGCAATTAAAACTAAAGACAGAGTTGCACAACACAAGGGATTTAGGAAAACCAAGAGAGAAAGACACTAGAGCATCCGATTTCATCTTAGCCAATCCTACCCAATCCCTTAGCCTATCAATTCCAAGCAATTCCCCTTATTGATGATCAATTTCCCTAAATTATTCAATGGTCATGACATCTGGTTACATCAAAAGTATCTTTACATGCAATTCTCTATGGCATCTAGATGAATTCGACACATAAAGACCCATTAAGCTCTATCGAAATTATGTACCGATCACACAAACCCTAAGTGCATGGCATCAACAATTAGTCATTCATGGTATCAATTGCAAGAAGCATAACTCAAGTATGACATCTACTCTAACTTGCATCACACCAATTCAACTTTAGATGGTGATCAGACATCCAAACCAAATTACATTAAGCACAACAAAAGATACTCAATAAAAAGGGAAAAACTTGAAATTAATATTAACTAAGAAATTGAGTATTCATGATTAGGCTACATCGTAGCCCTAGCTAAGAAAATTAGTTCCTCATAATCATAATTGAAATCACAATAAAAAAAATAGCATAAGTTCAGAAAAACCCTAGACTTGAGCCTTTCTACCCTTGCTTTGCCATGAGCCTTCTGCAACTTTTGTCAAAAACCTTGATCTCTTCTTCTTGGAAATATTGTCCGCCCCTCCCCCCGACAATAAGGAAGTATCCCTTATATAGTCCAAGGGACTAATTGCTTTATTAGTCCCTGAATTTGGACTTGATTTGCATTTGATTACCTCAATTTCCAAAATGGTTCCCATGATCCTTTAACTCTAGTTTCGTTTGGACAAATGGTCTTGCCGTCCATCTTGTTAACTTTTTTTGTTAAATGTAGAGGCTAAATGGTATTTTAATATTAAAACTAAAAAATGAATAAAAAAAATCATATCTTTAAAATAACAATAAAAGAAAATCAAATAAAAAACCAAAAATAAAATAAATAAAGTTTGTGGGGAGTAGAAATTGGGATAGAGGGGGAGAGAGAGTTTTAATTTTAATTTTTTTAGTTTTTAAATTGTTTATTCATATTTTAATGAATTTGGGTACAAAAATACCATTTTACCCCTGCACTTAACAGAAAAGTTAACAAAATTGACGGCATGACCATTTGTCCCAACAAAACTAAAGTTAAAGGACTACGGGAACCATTTGAAAATTGAGGGACTCAAATGCATATCGGGTCTAAATTCAGGAACTAATAAAACGATTAACCCCTAGCCGACTTGGACTCGAAATCCTTAACCAAAAAGGAGATAATTCATATATAAAAATCAGTCTAACAAAAAAAGTAAGTCTTCCCACATCAGCCCTTCACACCCAGCCACTTGCATTTGGATTCCAAGCCCAGCTTCCTTCTCTTTGTTTGGGCTGCCATCCATCATCAACTTTGCCTAGGCCCATTGAGATGATTCCAGCAGAATTTCTCTATACACCCAAAACTGCACTTCTTCTTTATTTTCTATGTATTTCCGAAATTGAGATCCTATAAATCAAAACAATTAAATTTAGTGCAATTAACCAATCCAATTATACAAATCTAAGGGAAATATTTATCAAAAAGCTATATAGATATCCACACATCAGTTCTCCTATGTTATAATTGAGAATTTGAAATCCCTACTCAATATATTTTCCCTTCATCCTTTGTGAGAGTTTTATTTGTATTGTTATGGCTTGGTTTTTTCAAGTTTTATCTACTTTTGGTTGTTTTGAGTTTGCACTCTTAGTTAGGATGCCATGAACCCTATGTTGTCTTAATTTTGATGTTAGATCGCTCCGTTATTGTAATGGCCCCTTGTGACTAGTGACTTTTTTGACTGAATTATGAATGCAATCCCAAAATTTAAGAAAAGAAAAAAAAGAAAGCAAAACCATGAAATCAGTGCATATGAATGTGCATTTTTACAAAGAACTCTTAGTTAGGATGCCATGAACCCTATGTTGTCTTAATTTTGATGTTAGATCGCTCCGTTATTGTAATGGCCCCTTGTGACTAGTGACTTTTTTGACTGAATTATGAATGCAATCCCAAAATTTAAGAAAAGAAAAAAAGAAAGCAAAACCATGAAATCAGTGCATATGAATGTGCATTTTTACAAAGAGACTCTTTTTTCATAAGAAATTGGTTTGATTGAAAATTAAAACTATATCATATTTCATTAAATATCGGTAATATTCTCGATAATACTCGATATTTGTCGTTTTTAGTGAGTACCAACATTAGATAAAATGATATTTTGCTAATATCCTTAACTGTACATTTTATCCAAAATATTCATATATCAACGATTCAAATCATTTATTTTAAAGTATTTATTCAAAGGGTCATTCTTACAAAAAAAATTAGCAAAATTAGAAATCATATAGTTACCTAGTTGTGACTTATACACATAATAAATTAATAGTTTATCCTTTTCTCTTCATAATAAAATCCTATTTTTTGGTCAACACTTACTGTAAGAAATGACGGCTATTCAAAGCGAAGACTGAATTTGCCTCCAATGTGCCTAATCTTCTTTTGCTTTCGTCACGATAAAATACACGAACTGAATTTGCCTCCAATGATCCTAATCTTATTCTGAGCCTGGAGACAGACAAACAGACGCAAAGCGAGATAGGATGAGTGGAGCAACAAAGGTTGTTTGTGTAACAGGAGCCTCCGGTTACATAGCATCGTGGCTAGTTAAGCTCTTATTACAACGAGGTTATACTGTCAAAGCTACTGTTCGTGACTCAAGTTAGTCTTAGTGTTCCCTTTTTCTAAACTTGATCATATCTATGTATACCAATAATTGTCATTTTCGAATTCTGGGTTTTGTTTTTTTTTTGTATTCCAAAAGAGAACTCTAGTAATCTAGTCATTTTCTGATCTCTTCATCTGGAGTGTCAAGTCAAATGTGTTTTTGTTTGAAATGACAAAATGTGTATCCAATTTAAACTCTTTTGCGTTTTTGTTTCTGGGGGCTTTGGTGGCCTGGCTCAATTTCCAATTAAGCCCAGCAGTAACTGCAGTCAGTCTTTGCCACTTTGCCTTGTGCACATATATTCCATCTCAAGTGCTTCTTGTGTTTTTATTCAACCGAGTTCTGTTTATGTATGCCACAGATGATCCAAAGAAAACAGAGCACTTGCTCTCACTGGATGGAGCAAAAGAGAGGCTTCATTTGTTCAAAGCAGATTTGATAGAAGAAGGATCTTTTGACACTGTAGTCGATGGATGTGAAGGTGTTTTCATACAGCATCCCCTGTACAATTTTCGGCTACTGACCCACAGGTTTGTCCCTTCACTTCATACTTCAAATGTTCTACCATTCTCATAATATCTGTTGCTTACAGGGATTCTTTCACCAAATGTATGTAACATGGCATTCATGCATAATTTGTAAATTCGACTGGAGGGAACCGTACTTTGTGCATCTTGAGTCTTTAACAATAAGGAAAAAGAAAACTTGGTTGCATTAATAGTTTTCTGAGAAATGTCTGAACAAAACAAGAAATTTCATTGGCAACTTATGCAGGCAATGCTAGCCATTTCAGAATCATTAGCAGATCAGGATGAAAGGTGTGAACCAACTCATATTATTTGTTTCGTGCATCTTCTTAAGAGATTCTTTTAAGATCTTTTCCCTCACTCCCAATAGACAGCACTGATCTTTATCGTTTGCTTTCACAGTTTAGTAATTGGCTGCTTCTTTCCCATATTTTTCATCAGAGACATGGGAGTAGGACTAGATTCCTGGATAGATTAATTTGGTGTTTCCAAAAAAAGCCTATTTGAATTTGGGGTTTGATGTCTAGCTTTAACAGATAGGTTACATTTCCCTGTGTGTAGGATGCTTTTGCGGGTTTCTATATGTATTTAGAGAATCAACATACTTCTGATACTTTTTATGTCAAACCATAATGATTCTTTGTCTCCACAATTCAGGCAGAAATAGTTGACCCTGCAGTGAATGGAACACTCAATGTTCTCAAATCATGCGTGAAATTTTCTACTGTCAAGAGAGTGGTTTTAACATCTTCTATGGCTTCAGTAATGAAGAGTGGAAAACCTCTGACCTCTGATGTGGTAATTGATGAAACATGGTATTCAGATCAAGTTGTTTGTGAGAACCACAAGGTATGTATAATGTATGCATGTTATTATCCTTCTCCAAGTTTAACTTTTTATTCATTGTTAGTGTGCTATATTTCCCTGTCAATGGAAACAGGATCTAATCTTGTCACCTTAACAGGCGTCTGGATTCAATTATAAAAAAGATGACTAATGCAATACTTCTTCGTTCTTTAGATTTTCCACCGTTCTTTACTTATCCTACAAAAGCAGCTTTTAAGTTGTTGCACATCTTCCGGCGTTCAAGGTGTCTCACTGTTTGCCGCACCTCATTTGGGCATTTTTTCGTTGGAAATCTATGCTCTTTTTCATAAAATTAAGAAACTTTACAATTTTTCGGAACCAAAGCTTGCACAAGGGCATTCTAGCTATCAGCATTAAACTATATCATCTGTGTTTTTTTTTCCTCATAAAAAGCTTAATGTAAGACAAAGCAGTACATCTTGGTTTAGCATGAACTACAAGCTCAATATTATCTTCCTTTCGCATTTGTTCAGCAATGGTATATGCTCTCAAAAACTTTAGCTGAGAAGGCTGCCTGGGAATATGCTAAAGGAATTGGGATTGACTTGGTTATAATGAATCCAGGGTTTGTGATTGGTCCACTCTTACAGCCAACTCTTAATCTCTCTGTGGAGCTGATTCAGAATCTCATAAGTGGTACGCTTCAGCAACTTTCTTTTTTTTATCAGTTGAGGCAGATAACATGGAAAGTGGAGATGCTGGCCTTGTCCTAGCAAATTTACTAAATTAGAATTAGATGTGTCAAGACAGTAGCTTAAATCTATCTGAACTTATCAACCAGTTGCTTCAAGTAACAAATAAATTGAGTTGATTGTTTTTCTCTCTCTCTTTTGTGCAGGCACCCAAACAATACCTGTTTCAAATTACAGATTCATTGATGTTAGAGATGTTGCCTCTGCTCATATTCAAGCATTTGAAGTTCCTTCAGCTGCTGGAAGATATTGTTTAGTTGGCCATGTTGCAAGCGTTTCCAAGACTCTGAAGATTTTACGACAACTTCATCCCACTCTGCTTCCTGAAAAGTAAGCTATCATTGATAAAATGCCACAAATTGGTGCCCGATTGCCATTGATTCAGATTACTTTATCCCACTTAATGATCTACTCTGCTTAAATATATCAGTAATAAATTTTCTTTTTCTTCTCAGATATCTTGAGTAACTAAACCAAATGGCAATGAAAATTATTATCTTTCATATCAATCTGAAAACTTACCTTTTCAGATTTGAAGAATATCACATATAAAAACAGAGAAGAATCTAAATTACATTTGGACTTGCAAAACACCAAATCTACACCAGTTAGGAATATCCTCAAACTCACTGAATGTGGCATATTTCTAAGGGATTTTTTAAATCTATTTTTTGTTATTGGCAGATGTGAGGTGGGCACTCCTCCGGAGCCAACATATCAAGTATCCGTGGAGAAAGCAAAAGGTTTAGGAATCACTTTCCTTCCTTTGGAAGTAAGTCTTAGGGACACTGTTGAAAGCCTGAAGGAGAAAGGCTTCCTCAAGATTTAAATTATGCAATTGATAGCAATTTGTTATTTTGCTGCACAAGTTGATCGAATATTGGCAATTTGAACTTTGTTTTCTGCTGAAGTGCTCCAAAGAGATGCTGAAAATAATAATGTTCCTGTTAAGATTTTCTTAAATTAAGATAGCCAAAGAGTTGACTAGACAGATGCACACAGAAGCTGCTTTCAGATTTTTATATATTGCTCAATCTTCCTGCATGTAAATCATTTGTGAAGTTTCAAAATGAATATGAATAAAAATATAAGTTCAACTTGTTTTAAGGCACTCCTTTCTTGCAAATATTTTGAATCAGTTATCATTTCAATTTTTTTAAATTTTTTTAATACAAGCGATATTCTACTTTAATCTAATCTAAATTATAGGGAGGAGCATTCAACTCAGGTGCAAAGTGGAGAGCACATCTACTCTAGCCAATTTAGCTAAACCCATGTTTGCAAAATTCATTTAAAAAAAATTGACATATTCTAAGTTTCCAGCATGAATAATTTTACAATGTAATAAAAATGAATATTTATTGAAAAAACTAGCATGAATTCTTTCCAATTTGGTGAAGTTTTTCAATAAAAAACGCCACTTGGAAAGATTCATTGATCTTCATGTCTTCAACAAGAATCTCATGGATAATTGCAATAATTGTTTAAACATATTCGAATTTCAGATAATGATTTTATCCGAAAATGATTTTGATAATTATATATATTAATTAATAATTAACCAAATATATATATTCCAAGCCCAAACCAAGATGAGGCCCAACTTTGCCTCCACTAGGCCCATATCCTATTTAAAATTTCTAAAGTGTTGGTGTTTATAAATCATGAAAGGAAACAACTCTCTTCCAATTGGGACTTAGTGGAAATGTATTTTCCTTTACAAACTCTAACGATTTCTATGTAGAGAAGCCTGCAAGATATGAAATAACAAGATTGTGTTTCTTCTTCAATGCTTTATGCGAAAAGGTTGTAGATGTTTCCAAGCTAGATAAGTTGGAAGCATATGCAGTAATTACTCTGTGTTTGCTTGAGAAATACTTCCTGCCTTCATTATGTAGTTAGCATCTAAGTTGGTTAGGCAAATGCTCCGAAGTTGCTTTTAGATCTTTATATATGGCTTAATCTTCCTGTATGTAAAGCACATCCACCTCTTTAGTGGTGCTCTACAAGTTTATCATGTGTAAATTTTCAGAATAACTATAAATAAAAAGTTCAAGCCGGATTTGTTTTACTTCACTGTCTTCAAAGAAATCTTAGTCAAGGCACTCTTAGTATTTCTTGCAAACATTTTGAATCAGTTAAATAAGTGCTTCAGAAGTTTCCTGTCTAGAAGCTTCTAACTCAAGTAGCCGGTTAATATCATGTATCTCTTTTTGAAATCCATTTCGACTCGTTTTGTTTCAAAATTTTGGAATTCCTGGAAAAACTGATTTGTTGAATCATTCCAACTTTGAGATGTCGATTGTAAATGAAGTGTTTGAGCCAAGGAGAATATGATGATCGATCCCTTCGTAGTAAAATAATGACTGCCAACATAGTTATCCTTTTTCCTTCTCAACTTAATAATATATTTTCTTTTTTCTGGTCAATGTTAATAATAAACATTGACTGCCAACACAATCTTCACACAATAATATCTTTATTTTTATCTTTGATGAATCTTAATAATTAACAATGACTGCGATAACATAATTATTCTGAGCTGAAGACTGATGGTGACTCCATAGACCCTAATCTATCGCTGACATTTTGAAATAAAAAACACCAACTCAAGAACCAAAGCTTATTCTGAGCTTAGAGATACATAGACACAAAAAGAGAGGATGAGCAGAGGAAGGAAGCGCGTGTGTAACAGCAGCGTCTGGTTTCATAGCATCATGGCTGGTGAAGCTCTTACTACAAAGAGGTTATATACTGTCAAAGCTGTTGAAGAATATATACAGGTCTCACATCGGAAACATGACTAAATAAAATCCAACATATAATGAATGGTTCAACTACCATATCTCTGAACCATTTTGTGATAAAACTGAAAACCCTATTGGATTTTTTTTTGGGAGAATGAGAAATCCATTCATAGAATCAAAATAGCGTATATAGAGTGATACAATACAGTGACCTCATAGAATCAAAATGGAATCCATTCCTGGATGTAAACCCCACACATAGGCTTTGTAGGTGGTTAAGTTGGGAACAAACAATATCCGTATTGCTAGTACTGAGCCACCAACCCGTCTCTCTGAAATTAGTACATACAATTCTTTTTATTTTTTCATTATCAAAACTTCTAGCATATATTAAACAGCTCTTTCAATAGTGATCAAAATTCTGGGTTTTCTATATTGTTTAGTTTTCAACTGGACTAAGAACTAGTTGGTGGCCCCGACCTTCCTAACACCAAGAAAATAAATAAATTCAGTTATCAAAGAGGGTAAAATATAGTGTTGCCCTTACTATGTTATATGATTTTAGTAATTAGACCAAATCACTAGTTCTGTTTATGCATGCCACAGATTATCCAAAGAAAACAGAACAAATACTCTCACTAGAGGGAGCAAAAGAAAGGCTTCAATTGTTCAAAGCAGATTTATTAGAAGAGGATTTTTTGACGCTGTAGTTTAATCGATGTGAAGGTGTTTTTTTACACAGCATCTCCACTATTTTCATCCACTAACCCACACAAGGACAGAGCTATAATTGTAAAGTTGGGGGCCCGAAATAGAAAATACAAATATATCAAACACCTAAGAATTCAAGAGTTACATGTTAGAGCTAAATATTTCTAATTTAGTCATGCTAATTGGTTTTAGAGGGAATTTTAACTTAAATTATAAGTTGTTTATAACTAATTCTATATGTCATGTATAATATATTATGGGGTTCATTGCAGTTTGGTACCCAACAACAATTGTACCCTTAAGACATGTTTGTCCAGGCATTTCCAATTTTAATAACGTTGGGGTATATTTTAACAATGAAGTACCCTACATTGAAAATTTGTTGCAAATTATCTAACCATTATTTAAGATAAATAAATATAATTAATTAGTATTTACTAAGTAATTTATGAAATTAATTAAAATAGTTAAATACTAATTATTCATTAAATAAAAAATAATTAAAACATAAATAATAGTTAATATAACTAAATAAGGCTAGGATATTACTTAATTGCCAATATTAAACTAAACAAACTAATGTTGTATAAAAAAATAAAAAAAACAAATCCACAATAATTAATTACTATTTATTAGTAATTTATGAAATTAGTTAAATATTTAAATACTAATTATTCACCAAAGAAATAATACTTAAAACGTAATTACTCATTAAAGCAATTAAAAAGGGCAAAGATATATTACTTTATTACAAAAAAAGAACATAATTACCATTTTGTGCCGTCTAGCCGCGTGGCTATACTCTTGAAATATTAATATATTTTAAAGAGTATAGCCGCGCGTCTATACGCATTAATTATATTTGACTATTTAAGGAGTATAGCCGTGCGGCGATACCTTTTAATGTATACGAATCATTAAAAGAGTACAGCTGCGCGGCTATACTCTTGAAATATTAATATATTTAAACAATATAGTCGTTCGACTGTACTTTTAAAATATTCAAATATATTTAAATATATAACCGGGCGGCTATACTATTTAATATTAATATCAATTTGTTATCATCATGAATTAGGTTATCCTGTGAGATGCAGAGTTGAAAACGGAAGTCAATCAATAATCTTAACTCTCAACGAATAAATCAATTACATCATTAGCAAGGTTTCAATACTATATGATCTGAAGAGAAGTTAATTTAAAATCTTTTACTGAACAAATAAAAACAAGAAAAAGATAAAAATGACATGTGTTGATTGAAGTGGAAAGAAGCTTAATAGGCTGCAAATTCAATGGTAAATTACTTCGTTCTAATTTGACCTCAAGATTTTCAGAATCCGAAGCATGGTTATATGGTTAAAAAAATCAAATTTAAATATCATAGCCACGAGGCTATAAGTGTTAAATATATCGAATATTTAATGAGTATAGCCGCGCGGCTATACTGTTAAATATTCGTATATATTTAGTAGTATATCCGCGCGGCTATACTATTATAATATCATATCTTTTAAACGTATAGCCGCGCGGCTATACCATATTAATATCTTTTAAACGTATAGCCGCGTGGCTATAGTAATATTTAAATAGTATAACCGCACGGCTATACTATTTAAATATCACTTTGTTATCATCACGAATTAGGATATCCTGTGAGATGCAGAGTTGAAAAATAAAGTCAATAAATAATCTTAACATTCAGTGAATAAATCAATTACTTTATTAGCAAGGCTTCAATACTATATGATCTGAAGAGAAGTTAATCTAAAATCTTTTACTGAACAAATAAAAACAAAAAACAAGATAAAAATGACGTGCTGATCATTCAAGTAGAAAGAATAACTTGTAATATCAAACGTCAATTGAAATACTAGCTTAATAGCCGTAAATTCAATAACAAATCACTTAGTTCTAATTCAACCTCAAGATTTTCAGAATACGAATCATGGTTTTCAATGTTTGACTGACCAAATTATTTCAGATAAATAAATATAATTAATTAGTATTATTAAGTAATTTATGAAATTAATTATAATACTTAAATACTAATTATTCATTAAATAAAGAATAATTAAAACATAAATAATAGTTAATATAATTAAATAAGGCTAAAAAATGAAATATAATCCTAAAATCTATAGAAAAATTAAAATAAAATAAAAAAGCATCATAACCAACGTGCACCAACAACCCGCAGCCACCATCTTCTCCAAAATCATCTTGATTCTTGTGGTGCAAGATTCAAATGATTCTCGTGATGCAAGTTTGTTTCTAATCTATGCATCATAACCAACGTGTAACCGGTTCAAATTATTTCTCTACTGATGTTAAAGATGTTGCCTCTGCTCATGTTCAAGCATTTGAGGTTCCTTCAGCTACTGCAAGATACTGTTTAGTTGGACATGTTACACCCATGTCCAAGGCTCTCAATTAGATTTTACATGAACTTCATCCCACTCTTTGCCCACCTGAAAAGTAAGATATAATTTGCTTATAGCGCTAGCTTATTAAGTATATAGGTTGATGTTTGGCTATCACATATAAAAGTATTTTTTTAAAACCAAATGTAGTAATGAATATTATATATACATGTATTCTTCCTGTAAAACAGAAAAAGACTGCAAATTAAAACAAATTATAATGTAGCTTTTTATTTATACAAAATTAGTTAAACACCCAATTCTAGACATTAAACTATAATAATACCCTAGACTATTTAAAACATATAAACACACCCAAAATAAACCCAAAAACCAACAGCTGTCGATTTTTGGATTTATTTTCTATGTTAGATTACGGTTTTGACCTTTTGGTCTGAATTCTTTGAAACAGGCCCAAAATTCGCTAGCTAGGATAGGAATTTCTGAAAATTTACGTTGGTGACCTCATAACAGAAACCTGTTTGGCAGCCTCAGCAGATCGAATATTCCAAACGAGCTTCGTTCAGTTCTTCGAACGAAGCGAGCTTCGTTCACCTCTTCGAACGAAGCTCAGTATGATGTGGTTTCAGATCTTCTTTTTGGATTCTTCTGAGCTCAGTATGGTGTAGATTGGAGTTCTATTGCTTCAATTTTTTGTTCTTTGTTGTTTGATTTGGTAATTTTTGGATTGATATTGCGCTGCAAGAGACTCGATTGGAGCTTGGTGCGATCTGTGATCTTCGATTTTGAGGTATTCGATTTTTTCTTGTGAATTCATATTCGTTTTTTGAGGATTCGATTATATTGTAGTCTGATTTTTGGTGATTTCATGTTCGATTAATTAAGTTGCTGATTAGGTTTTCGTTTCTTTTTGTTTATAATTTGGATTGATTTCAGATTCGTTTTGATTGTGGATTTGCTCTTGTGTTTTGATTTGAGGTGTGGTGAAAATTTTGTGATATTCGATTTGGTTTTCATATTAATTGAGGTTTTTTCAGTTGAATCTGAGTATATTCGTGTTTTTTCTGTTTATGCACTATTGGTTTTTGAGTCGACTATAATTCACTGTTAATACTCGGCATCCACTGTTATTGCTAGTAGTCATTTTTGTTTTGTTTGTTGTTTTTTTTGTATAGATATGGATGATTCGAGAGTGGCAAAGTGCACCTATGGTGGTGGAACTTTAATGCTTATTTTGTCTTCAACTACTACTTTTGATTGGCTGTCCAACGAGTTGTGTAGTAGGTTCAAGCTGAAGTTAGGTCATTTTGAGTTGAGGTACTCTTTTACGGATTGCTCCAATTGTTTATTGGAATTGGATGATGATTTGAAAATCATGTTTATGGTATGTGGACTGACGAAGGATCAATTAATTCACATTGCTGTTAGGGATAAGGCTGTAGTGAATTATGTTCAAACTGTTAATACGAACATAATTGCTTCTCCTTTTTTGTTGGAGGCTGTTCCTAACAATGACAGTTTTGCACAAGATGAGGATACATGTAAATATTCAAGTCAAACTGGTAGTATTGTTGATTCAAGTGCAGCTTCTTCTTCTTGTTTGAGTATGGATTTTGATGGTATTAGCAGTGAGTATGGAAATGAATATTTAGGCAAATATGGTAGTTGTGGAGGTCGTAAGTATTTGTCTACTGATTGGGAGGGTTATATTACTCATGAGGGTCAGAAGTTTGAGGGTGGAGTTTGTGAATTCCGTGATAAGTTGGCTAAGTACTCGATTGAGAATGGTTTTAAGATGAAATATTTGAAAAATGAGCCTCGTCGTGTTACTGCTGTGTGTGCTAAGAAGGAATCAAATGGCTGTGAGTGGCATGTGCATGCTGTTAAGTCGAATGTAAATGGATTTTTTTATATTAAGAACTTAAATAATGCACACAGTTGCAGTGGTTTGATTCGTGAGAAGAGAAATAAGGCAATGGGGTCTCGTTTGGTGTCTTCAATTGTCAAAGATAAGGTTCGTAGCAATCCTTTGGTAAGGCCTATTGAGCTGATTACTGATTTGAAGGAGAATTATGGATTGGATATCCCTTATCATGTTGCGTGGTATGGGAAGGAGTCGGCTACTAAGGATTTGCATGGTGATGAGGAGTTGTCTTATGCTCACCTGCCTTGGTATGTGAATGTTTTGAAGGCCAGCAATGTCGGATCTCATTGTGTGCTTGACTGTGGCAAGGATGGTTCTCGTTTCCAGCGGATCTTTATATGTTTTAAGGCCTCCATTGATGGTTTTCGGTGGTGTAGGCCTATGTTGTTCATTGATGGTACTTTCGTCACAAACAAGTACAAGGGTACTCTTCTAGGAGCTACTGCAAAGAATGGAAATAAAGGTATGTATGTAAATGCTGTAGTTGTTGACTTCCATTGAGTGATATGAACAGTGTAGTTATGCAAATGTAAATGCTGTAGTTGTTGACTTCCATTGAGTGGTATGAACAGTTTCTATACTGTTCATACCCTGCATCTGAGTATTTTTATGCATTGTAGTTTTACTCTGCTTCATGTGGTAACACTGTTATAGTTCAAACTAACTAATATTGTTCTCTGTTTCTTGTAGAAGTATTCCCTTTTGCCTTTGCGATTGTATCCCGTGAAACTGTGGACAATTGGAGGTGGTTTCTGCAAAGGATATCTGAAGTCTTGGTGGATGAAGGTAGGCAACTTACATTCATTTTTGATAGGCATGGTGCTATTATCGATGCTGTTAGGACTGTTTTTCCTGCTTCTCCCCATGGTTTTTGTCTATATCATTTGAAAGAGAACTTGAAAAAGAAGTATCCGCATGCTGTTGGTTCCTCTTTCAAGGATCATATTTTATGGCTTTTTTGTAAGTTGTTGTATGCACCGACTGTTGAGGAATATCAAGATACGTTGAAAAAATTAAGAGATGATGGCAGTTCAAAAATAATTGATAAGTTTTTGGCTGATCTCCCTGTCCAAAATTTTGCTAATGCATTTTTTCCGGGAAAGAGGTATGGGGAGGTTAGTAATGCCTTGTCCGAGTCGTTTAATTCATGGGTTAAGGATGTGCGTAGGCTTCCAATTTATGAGATGATTGACACTGTTAGGATCAAAATGATGGAGATGATTTCTAGGAGGAAGCTTGCATCCGAGAAATGGAGTAGTGTTTTGTGTCCTGTTATTGAGGATGAGTTGAAGAATTTAGCTGCAAAGGGTCGTCATTGGAGGATATGTCGCGCGAGTGAATCTATTTTTGAAGTTCATGCTGATTTGAGTGTTATGGTCAATTTGGACGAGAGGTTTTGCTCCTGTTATCAGTGGCAATTGCTTGGGTTTCCGTGTCAGCATGCGATTCAAGTTATCCAACATTCCGGGTTATGTTTGTACAACTTTGTGGATGAGTATTACAAGGCAGACTTTTATAGGGCTACTTATGCAACCCCTATATTTCCCATACCTGATATTGAGAAGCCTCCTCCTGGAGATGTTTTTCTTCTACCTCCTCATACAAGAAAGCCTCCGGGACGACCTCCAACAAAGCGCTTCAAGTCAAGCAGTGAAACTAAAAGGCAGGTGAAGTGCAAGAGATGCGGTTCTTGTGATCGTCATAATAGGAGGACTTGCAAGGTTCCTATTTGATGTAAAGGTTCTGAGTATAAAGACTTGAATGAGAGTAGTTAGTTTTTAACTAGTTAAAGTGCTATGTGATTGATTAATGACAATCATAGTTGAAAGGAATAGAAATTGATATGCAAGTTGTTAATACGGTGAAATAGCAGTCACTGCATATGAATACACTTTGAATTTTTGGTATTAATACATAATATTTACCATTTTTGGTATTTTGCAAATTTCGGTTTTGAAGTTTGATATGAATTAAGCATTACTGCTGTTTGAATAATCTATAAATGAACGAACACTATTTAATGCTCACTGTTCATGCCATTGTTGAAATTAAAAGATAGTTCTATGACATGGTATTAACAATTTATTTCTATCAAATAGCATTAACATTGTATTGAGAGTGCGTTGTTATTTGTTGTAGTTCACCTTTTTAGTTGTTTTAGTGCTATGGAGACCATTATTTCAGGTTACATACACTGTTAATTCACGTAAATAAACTGGTTTTTGAATAAGTACATAACTTGAATTTGAAAATCACTTTACTTCAATGTTCTAAACCTACACAAGTCCTAAGAAACTACAATATAAGCAAGAATTTTGGCAAAATATTTGATTACAACTTCATTATTTTGCATTTCTCTCTTCTCTTTCTTTGATGGAAATCCAACTTCTTTCATTGCTCATAATTTTCATGAGGACTTCTTTTCTCATTTGCCAGACCTTTTCTTTGTTGAAATCTGATTCTATTTGTTGGTCTTTGGAAAGCTGCTTCATGAAGTGCATGACAAAGACGCCACAATCATTGCTGCATAATAGAGATACGCATGCAGGAGTTATTTCAGTATTTTTTTAGTTGAATAGGATGAAAGTTTCACTGTTATTGCGTAACTTACGAATTGTTTGCTTGTTGGGGAGATTCTCTATTCTCAGTCAGCTTGAAGTTAGTAGTATCATGACAAATCAGATACTTCATTGTCTGAGCATATTCTGGTGTAAGTTCGTTGCTGGCAAGTATTTTTGCTATCATTCTAGCTGAAGCTTCATTAAGCCCTCTCGGCTTCTTGGCATCAAAATCAGGAATTTGGACGAGTTTTGTTTTCAGTGATACTGCAGCACATTCCTTAAGAAGACTGATAGGATTTTTAGCACTTGCGCAAACAGGGTTAAAATCACTGAAAATACTTGCAAGAATACAAGATAATTGTAGTATAAATGCTCATGCAAGGTCGTTGTCCCTAAAGATTATTGACTAATCTGTAATTAAACTAACTCTTAATTAATAACTAAAATAGATTTTATCAAAGATTTGAAGTTTATGAATTTGTAAAGATTAAACTAACAGTAAATAAATCTGAAAGTTAGGAAATAATAATAGCAAAGAAGAAAAACGATTTATTCTTAAAGACTAACAATTTAGAGAAAACTAGGGTTTAGCCAACACCGTTGCAATCCTATGCAATTCTATCAATTACTTATGAATTTCCACATATATGCTTTGAAGGTTAGGTTTTCCTAATACATATTTTCCTTGTGATGTTCAAGCGAAATGTATATCTAACATGCAATCGTCTGTGATGTTCAGATCAAATATAAAAATGCAAGACTCATTAAGTTTTGAAAAACCATGCAACCCTTAAGAGCGTGATGTTCACCTTAAGTAAACTTACAATTACTAATCACAAGAAGCCCTCCTCAATTTCAGGGTGATGTTCCAACAGAAATTGCATCAATTACTTGTCTACATATCCTAATGGTGATCAGTCATTAAAATAGATAGATAGTTTTAAACACAGTGATTAATAATTCAAAGCAAACATGCAACCATTCATAAGCAAATTAATAAAACTACATATTCATGCTAAGGCTTACGGCCTCGCCCTAGCAAAAGGAATTAGTTACACATAATCATAATTGAAATCCAAGAAAATATCATTCGAATGAGTAAGAATGAAAACACCTGAAAGTGGCGAAAATCCAAAACCCTAGCAATTGCTCCCAAAGCCAAAAAGAAGTTCTAAAAGGATATCCCCAAAGTTCTGTGAAAAGGAGCTTAAATACCTCCTAAAACCTAGCTACCCAATCCCCACAAGGAAACTAAGTTAAAGTAAAATAAGACTAGGAAATAAAGTCCAAATTGGATTAGGAGAATCTGCCCATAATCTGCCCAGCCACGTTTTAGTCTCAAATCTCTCCCAAATCTGGCCCAAGATTGCTCGTTTTAAAGATAAAAATATTCCGAACACTTCTCCAGAAGGCCACGAACCCATCCAAGGTCATCTTGGGCTCCAAAAACGCAATAAAAGCCCAAAACGTCACTATTCCAGCATAGCGCACTGCTCCTTCATTTATTCGCCAGGAAATCATCGCTTGGTGGAAAAGTCTGATATTTTGATACGATCAAGCTAAGTGACTCACGTACGTCCTCCAACTGGAATTACTCCAAAATTCGTCCATTTGATTATGTTTTGCTCCAGAGAGAGTCGAAAGTCCTATATTGGAAATATAATTCAAAGTATCAAAATTTTCCAAAATATTAACCAAAATATACTAAGAATGAGGTTAAATATATAATATAAAATCGACTCATCAAAATACCCCCCAAACTTAGCTTTTCGCTTGTCCTCAAGCAAAATAAGACTCAAAAAAAATAAAAACTTAACAAACTAGACACTTGACCAACACTTAACCAGGACAAAATTTTCACCTTCAGGTTGTGCAATCCATAGGAAATTTTAAATACTAGAACATCTTTTCAATAGATCCAAGTAATCCCACCACAGAGTCTAAGCTATTTAGAATCAATTAGAAAAGAATTCACAAACTTCCTTCGGTGCAAAGTGAACCATCATAGTTAAGGAGACTCGACTAAAACCCTTATCTCTCATCCCTTTTATTTTTTTTTTTCTTTTTAGTAATAGTAGTGGTTGTGCAATGTTGGTTCCCTTAAGCTTTCGATCCAACCCATATAGCGAGCTTTAGGTCAATGACTCCCAAACCACTAAGGCTTTAGGGCACTAGGTGTAGAACACCCCTAAGGACTTATTAACTCAAGCTGAAAGGCTACGAAACCAACTAACCACCCTGCCTCATGCCAAAACTTTACCGTTTGCCTCGAGAATCACTGCTGATTAGGCAGGACTGGCCCGGTTACTAGCAAAGCTTCGGGTGAGGCAATTATTACTTTATAACACATACTAACTTTATTTTTTATAAAGAACAAAAATTAAAACACACTTAGACAAAAAGTAAGTATTTCAATCTCACTCCCCAAAACCATGTTGGTGTGATGTGCAAATTTCAAAGTATAATTTATGAATTAGTGTCTAAGCAACAATAAACAGAAAAGACTCTACTGTGGGATTGATTTTCACCATGTCCATTCGTTCTAATGTTTAAAATAATCTATGGATATGAACTTAAAAACGAAAATTTTAAACAAGACCCAAAAATTAAAAATCTAAATTTTTATGTGCAACTGAAGGTATGTATCTTTGTCCTCCTTTTCTTTGTTGGCTGCTTCATCTTCGCTTTGGCTTGCTCTTTTTCGGCCTTTCTTATGTGCTTCGGGGTATGTGTAATCTGGTTTCTTTGCAGGCTTTCTGTCTTTTCTGTCTTTGATTATTTTGATGCCAGAACGCAACTGCCGTGTTCCTACTTCTTTTGCTTGCATGATAACTAACTTTTCAGGAATTTTTTCATCGGCGTTCTCATCTTCATCATTAGGAGATTCTTGCATCTCCAATTCACTTTCTTTTGCTATTCTCTCATCTTTTTTCTCCTTATCAGCTTGTTCTTTCATCGGAATTTCTCATTGTTCACCTTGTTTGAATTTTTCCCCATCACATGTTGCAAAGAGGTAATAACAGTGTCTTTTTATTTCATGCTCTCAATGCAGGACAACTTTTCCCCTTCAAGTAGTTCATGTTGTTCCTGTAGCTGTCTCCTATTTGATTTGAGTGCATGAAGTTCCCCTTGTAATTTTGCACCTTTTTTTTTCTCTTGCTCAAGCTGCTTTTTCAGTATTTCAATTTGTTGAATGAATGAATTTTTCTTTATGCAGGATTCTATAGCAGTCAGCATCATATCCCTTCGAGTATCTGCCTTTTCAATCCAATAGTCGACTGCTTCTTTCAGCTGCTGGATTTTCTCATGGGTAGGGGCTATTTCATGCTTGTAGTACTCTGGGATTGACCCCACTATGTCCACAAAAATGGCGTCGAAGTCTTCTTCCTGGCTGTCAAGTTCTGGGTTATGTTGCTGGAAATTAACAGTGTCCTCCTCCGTCATTGAGTCTGCACTAAGGTCAACTGCTTGTTCTTCAATTTCATCATCTGCTTCGCATTCCAATGATTGTGCTGGTGGTTCTTCAATTTTATCATCTGCTTTGCATCCCAATGATTGTGCATTGTCTTCATTTTGCTCATGTTGTGGAGTTTTTGTCTGGGTTGCACTTTGGTCCACATTTTCATGGAAGCTGAAGTTCTGTTTCTGGGTAATAACAGTCTGCTTTTTTTCCTTTTTGTGTTTGACTCTTTAACTGTCACAAATATTAGAAAGGAAAAAAAAGTATTAGCAAATTTATATACATGTATATGTGTTTGTACACTATCAATTCAGTTTTGAAATATAAATGTTGGATCATTGTAGGTTATCTTACCCAATCTTTAAGTGTGATAACAAAGTCATCATCCTCTTCATTTTCTTCTTGTTCTTCATGGTCTGCATGATCAGTCTTTGTTGTTTCTTCTTTTTCATTGTCAACAGCTTTTATCTGTTGAATTATTGGAGTTAGTAGTAATTATGGTGTACTAACATTATATATGTTTATGGAAGTAAGAAAAATGCCTTAATGTTTTCATATGTTGCAATATTCAGCTTGATATTGATCTCCCGAAGGCTCCATTTGACAGCCGCTGGTTTGTGATCTTCTCTTCCAGGAATTGGACTGATCAGGTTAGTTCTTTCACACAGCCAATACTGCAAACATGTTTTTCAATATAAAGTGTTAATGCACATGAAAACAAATAATATAACAGGATTAACAAATGGATGTAGTTTCTTACCAGGATTAGCACAAGGCAACCACTGACACTTGGTTGATTTGTCTTGTCCTTTTTATTTTTTATGGCTTGGTTCAGTCCATAATGCATGTAATCTAAGACTCCTTGTGCCCAATTGTAGCTGTTCATAGCTTCTAATGTGTCGATCATAGTCAAAAAGGTTCAAGCCATTGTCGCCCCAGAGTTGCAAAAGAGATTTGTGATGAAGAGCTCTAGGATTAACAACCTGACAACATCCATTGCATTCTTCTTTCTGTCATCTGCTATTGCTGTGTTCAGACACCTATCAATCTCAGTTTTTGTAATTTTTTTTGACTTCTTGAAGTACTTCTTTTCGAAGGCCAAATTTGTTCTTGTGGAAGTTGTTGTGCTTGGCAACTTGTTTCTTTGTTTGGCAATCCAAAGATGTCACACACATCATTGCTTGTAATTTCATGCTCGTTGCCTTCACTGAATTTGAATTTTTTGGTTGTGGGGTTGTAGAGTCTGATTAGTTTAATTATTTGATAATTAGACTTCTGGCATTCTATCTTGGTTAACTGACCTTCCATGTAAGCCTTGATGATGCTCCAGAATGGCGTTTTTTGTAGGATCTTGAGGACATCCTTTCTTGCTGCAAGCTTGTCTTTTACCGTTTGCAATGTGTTGTCAAATGTGAGCATGTTGCTCTTGATTTGCACATAATCTGGGTTATTGCGTTTGTTTGGTTGAGGTTTTTGTGTTTGGGATTGTGTTTTTTTTGTCTTCGTTGTTTTCTTTGGTTTCAGTGTGTTTGCGGATTTGGGTGTGGATAGTTTGGCTTGTGCTGTTGTTGGTGGTGTGCCTTGTGTGTTTCTTGATGCTGTTTTGTGCTTTTGCGGGCTTGTGATCCTTTTGTATTCTTTTTTTTTAATTTCAACCCGGTTACCTTTTTCCATATGACCACCTGCAAAGTGAAACAAATAGGTTACTTTAACTAAACAAAAGAAAGATGAAACATAAGTATTAATACTTCTATGACATGGTATTAACCATTTACTTCTATGCATTTGAACCTCATGCTTCTCTTTTTTAGTGCACTACGATTTTTTTTCATATACATTTCTAGTGCATGTTGCACTAGAAGAGCAAGATGCATAGAAGTCCCAGATTTTGATTAACAAAGGATGCTACATATTTTGGTCTTCAAGTGCACTGCAAAGCAGTGCACTAAAAGAGAAAGATGCATAGCAGTCACAGATTTTGATTAACAGTCTAATAGCACTAGAAGAGCAAGATGCATGGTATTAACAATTGTGACATGGTATCAACAGTTCAAGTTCTATGACATAGTATGAACAGTTGTGAAACATATACATTTGCAGTCAAAACATGCGTCTTTTCAAAACATTGCTATTGGACTTTGAAGTTAAGAGATTTTGTAATACCTGGGAGTCTGATAGTGATGCTTTGTCAGCCATTTGTGAAGAATCTTGAGTGTTTGTTTATGTCATTGTTGGACCTTTTCGTTGGTTACCTGTATTAAACGTGGTACTCTTGCATTAGTTAGTAGAATCTTAAGACGAAAGTGGAAAGTGAGTGTGGGTTTTTGAGATTGTACCTTTCTGTCGATGTTTATGGAAGAAATTTTCTTCCTTTTTTCCTAGTTGTACTTGTGCTCAATTGCTTTTTGTAGTGTCGATTTTGAAGACTTTTGGTTATGGCAGAATATAAATTCGATTCGCCAGCTTTCTCGTTATGGAGTTTGTCGTTGATTGGTGGTTATGGAGGTTGTCTCCTGCCTGGTGGTTATGGAGGTTTTCGCCTGCTTTTGGAGTGGGTCGGGTCGCAAAGATCGGAGTGAGAGGTGAGTGGGTTTTTCGATTTTTGAGTGCGTGCGTGTACTATGTGTTGAGATATTTTCTTTTTTTTCAATGGGCTTAGTGAAATTGGGCTTTATTGGCTTGTTGAGTTTTCTGGGCTCTTTTTTTAGTTTGTTTGGGCTTTTTTTTAATCAAATTAGACTGGGCCTTTTTTTATGTATTTTTCTATGGCTTGCTTGATTTGTTTTAGGCTTTATTTCGTTTCTGACCTTGATTTTCTCAACTTGGGCTGGGCTTTTTGAAAGTCACTGTTAATACACATTTTGAACACTGTTAATGTGCAGTTTGAAATATAGAAGAAGCTACAGAGTAACAATTTTTTACATTCGAATCTCACTACACAGTAACTATTTGACATTTGAAAGTTAAGAAGCATCAAAAGATTTTGGTTAGAAGCTATATATTAACATTTGACATTTGGAAGTTAGAAGCCGAACATTTACTATTTTATAGTTCTAAAATTTGTGAAATGCATGCTTTCATCCTTCATTCTCTTTTGTGAAATACCAACTTTTTTCACTTTCCATTGTCTTCAGTAAAACTTTTTTTCTCATTTCCCACACATGCTCTGTACTCAAGCTTTCTTCAATTTGTTTTCCTTGTGACAACTTCTGCATGTAGTACATGACAAATACTCCACAATCGTTTCTGTAAATTCACACACACACACACATATATATATGCAACATTTAGTGAATCATAGTTTAATTTGAATTGGGGGAAGAAAAGTGTTATTGTGAAACTTAGGACTTTTCAGGTTGTTGGGCGCATTCCATGTCCTCCTTAAAGTTGAATTTGGTGGGATCATGTTTCATCAGACATTGTATTGTTTGAGCAATTGCTGGTGTAACTTTTAGGTTTCAAGAAGTTTTGCAATCTCGTCGGTCAATTCTTCATTGTAGATGGGAAGCTGTTTTTTTCTAAAATTGTCAGAGCACATTTCTTGACACTATTGAGGAAGACATTTGTTGCGTCTGCGTGCATTGTAGGCAAGTATGTTGTTAGCTTCACTGATTAATTGCTTTGTTCATGCCTTGTATTAACAGTTCATAGTAGGAGTCTGTCTTACCAAAATTATTGCTTTTTTGTTGTAGTATTCTATGGTTTGCTCAGTTTCCCCCTCAATGAGTTGTAGTGCGTCCATTGCAATGAATTGGTGTCAAAGACAAGCAGGGTGTGGTGTCCGCCATCCGTTATTGGTATGAACACCTTTGAAGTTTTCCCTATGCATTCAAGGAGTTTGACAAAATATTCATCGAATGTTCTTGGGTGCATTTTATCTGTGAGATACCTCTGCAAAATTAATAGTTTCGACATGAGAGAATGTGAAAAGTATAGGAAGATGAATAATTTGTGATTTTTACTAGAAGTAATGGAATAGCTATGATCTTACGTATGCGTAGCACGTGATGTATGCCTTTTGTTGTCTTTTAGGGTCCTTCTTTTCATCATGATGAAGTATCTGGCATACGCATCTATGATTTGTCCACAAATTTCAGTATCTCTTAATAAGCCTTGTATGTCATCTTTGAACAAATGCTTGTCCCTTGCCAAAAAGCAGTGTTGTAACAGTATTTGTAGTTAGAAAAAATGGCAATAAAATTGAAAGAACTGTTCAATAAAGTTTCAGTATAGGGTAATAATACTGCTTGTTTCCTAAAAAACTTTTTTCTAATGCATGTCTACCATTTTAAAGTTCCAGTATAGGGTAATAACACTGCTTGTATCCTATGAAATCTTATATCTAATGCATGTCTATCACTGCAAAGTTCCAATATAGGGTAATAACACTGCTAGATTCCTCTGAAATCCTATAACTAATGCATGTCTACCCCCTGTAAAGTTCAAGTATAGGGTAATAACACATTGAAATCCTATTTTCTAATGCATGTTCAATAATAGCATCTTGCATTGAAAATGAATGAAACACATTGCCTTACCCATCAACTGAATTTTTCCAGTAATTTCTCAGCTTTTCTTGTGAGAGTTAATCCAGCATGTTGTAGACCTGATATGTATTCCATTGCAGAAATGAACCTTTGGCCCTCTTCTTTGATTTGGCTGGGTTTTTTTGTGCCTTTCTCTTTTGTGCTCTCTTCTCTGCTTTAGGGAATGAGGAATCTGGTTTTCTTGATTTTATCTTTTCTGCTTCACCTTCTTTCTTTTCTTTTTATCCTCTTCACTCTGCAGTTCTTGCGCTAATTTTTGATCTCTCAACGAGACAATAACAGCTTCCTTTTCATTAATAATGTCCAAGTAGGAAATCTTCTCTGCAAGAAGTTGATCATTTTCTAGCTGCAGCTTTGTCATGTAGGATTTTTCCTGATGAACATCTAATTGTATGACTTTCTTGTGATCTGCTGCTTCCTTAACCATCTTTTGCAATTGCTGCTGATGCTTCAATAATTCTTCTTTTTCATTGTACAGCATCTGAATCAATTTATTCTTTTTAATGCAAGATGCTATTCATCATGGATCTTTTGATGCTCTCCTTTCTTTGTCCAATGTTCAGCAGCATTATTGATCGCCATCATATACTCTTTTGTAAGCTGTATTTCATCCTCCTTGTATTCTGGAACTGATCTAACAATTTCCTCAAACAACGTTGAATTCTGGTATTCTGGGATTTCATTTTGGAGGTCTTCTTGTACCTGGTGGTGTTGCTGGACTTGATGTTCAGCACATCATCATGGTCTCCATTCACTTCAGCATCCTCCTCCTCTTCATTTTCTTCTTCAGCAGCATCACCATGCTCTTCATTCACCTCTTCAGCAGCATCATCCTTGTCTTCACTCACTTCTTCAGCAGCATCATCATCATGCTCTTCATTCACTTCTTCAGCAGCATCATCCTCCTCTTCATTCTCTTCTTCAGAATCATCATCATCTCTTCATTCTCTTCTTCAGAATCATCATCCGGCTCTTGAGCTTTAGTGCTTTTTATCTGTTTGTTGAGTAGAGTTAGTATTAAGAGTGCACTTCTATGACATGGTATTAAGAGTGTAATTCTATGACATGGTTTTAATAGTTTACTTCTATAAAATGGTATTCATAGTTTACCTCTGTGACATGGTATTCATAGTTTACTTCTATGACATGGTATTAAAAAGTATGTATATGACATGTTATTAACAATGTTGTCATATCAGTTGCTGATTATTTGAAAGGAAAGAGTACCTTTATCTGGTTGTTCTTTAGATAATGAAGCTTCGCGCTAAGTTCTTGAAGACTCCATTTGACAGCAGCTTGTGTCATTTGTTCTCTTCCAGGAATTGGAGTGAGCAGGTTAGATCTTTGACACAGCCAATAATGCACAATATTTTTTTGAAATATCACGTGTCAATTCATATCATTAGAATAATGCTACGAATTTGCAGTTTGGAGATTTGTGTTCTTACTAGTATTAAGATTAGGCAGCCACTCACGCTTGACTGCTTATTTTTGTCCTTCTTGTTCTTCTTTGCTTGTTCTAATCCAAAATACATGTAGTCCAAAACTCCTCGAGCCCAATTATATTTCCCCATCTCTTCTAAGGTGTCTATTGTGGTTGTATATGTCCAAGCAAGTGTACAACCAGAGTTGCAGAAGAGATTGGTCATGAAGAGTTGTAGGATTATCAATCTTGTTACATCCATAGCACCCTCTTCTGTTTCATCTTCAAGTGCTAAATTCAAGCACTTATCAATTGAAGTCTTTGTTATCTTCTTATACCACGCGAAGTATTTCTCTACAAACTGCAATTTTGGCTTTGTTGAGGTTGTTGTGCTTGGTAACTTCTTGCCACTGTTTGGCAAGCCAAAAATTTCAGCCACATCTTGCTTTTCATCTCACTGTCACCATCATTAAACTTGAACTTCTTTGTCTTTGTGTCATAAACTTGTATGAGTCTCACAATGTCGTAGTTAGACTTCATGCACTCTACCTTTGTTAACTTCTCTGGATATATGCTTCTATCAATGCCCAAAAAGGTGTCTTTGATAGCAGTGTTAAGACATCGTGCCGACGTTCAAGTCTCTGTCTGATGTTGTCAATTGTTGTTGCAAAAGAGAGCATGTTGCTCTTGATCTGCACATAATTTGGGTCCTCCCATCTGCTTAGCTTCTTGTTTGTTGTTGTTTTGGATGATGACTGTTGGCCTTTTGTTTTGGAGTTTCTTCTGGCTCTTTCTTTCTTCATCTTTTAATTGGTATACCTGCATTAGAAATAGGAACACGACAGTAAAGTATCGGTGTTTATACCCCATACTGGAACTTGACAGTGGTAGACATGCACTAGAAATAAGATTTCATAGGGAATTAGCAGTGTTATTACCCTACACTGGAACTTTACAGTGGCAGACATGCCTTAGAAATAGTATTTCATAGGGAACAATTAGTGTTATTACCATATACTGGAACTTTATAGCCATTAATCAACATGAAAGCAAACTAGCGGCTAAATTAGTGACTAGAATAATGGTCCTATGCAGTCAGTCCTATAGTGAAATCCAATATAGTTTCAAGATTTTGTCTTTCATTCGAATCTAAAATACTGTTATTACCCAAGACTGGATCTTTATAGCAAATAGTCAATATTACAGTAAGGTTTGGTTTGTAAATGTCTTACCTTTGAAGCATTTTCTTGTTGAAATGGTTCTCTGAAATTTTGTCTTGGTCAGTGTCTGGTGTTTGTTTTTTAAACGAGATCAATCTTGGTGGTGGTTATGGAGTCTCGGTTTGGACGACGATGAAGATGAATTGATGAAGACAATTTGACTTGATGAAGACGATGAGTGAAGAGACGTTTTGCAAAGAAGGTTTAATGAAGGCGCGCGTGCTGGAAGTTACGGTTTACTTTTTTTTAAGTTACGGTTTACTTTTTTTTTGGGATGAAAGTTACGGTTTGGGCTTGTTTATAAGTTGGGCTGGGTTTGTTTTGGGTGTCTTTTGAGTTTGTTTGGTGTTGGGCTTGATAGTGGCAGACTTGTAATTTATAAGAACTTGAACACTAATTTGTTATATAATAAATGGATTTTGGGTGTGTTTATAAAGTGTATTCTATGTGGGGTTTTTTTTATAAATTCGGGTCCCATTTTGGGTATATTACTGAAGCTCCATTTATTTATTGCTATTTTATTGCGTATATGATTCTGCTATTCTTCTTATTTTCCGTTTTCCATATGCTAGCAAAGAATTTTTCCTTTTGATTTTTTTTCTTCAGTATAACCTTATAACCTACATGTGTTATAAGCCTAGCCCCAAATTAAAAAAATTAAAAGTAAATCCTACACATATAATGCTCATCCAGGTGGTCTCATATCTTCTCTCTCCTTTTCTTTTGGCTATTAGACTTATTGTTTATCTCTCTCTTTGCTACCCGACAGTAACAACTTGTTTCTCCCTCTCTTATTTGTGGGTCAAATTCTCCCTCTATTGGCTACATCTTCTATATATTATCTTGAGTGGGCAACTTGGCAACAACATATTCTCCTATCCTTTTGTCAACAACAAGTATTATTATCATTCTCCCCTTTGCTATATATCTTTAATTTAAAATTGAATATTGTAGGGTTTAATTAGGGATGAATTATAATTTTGGGATTTTATTGAATTTAATTAGGGCTTTTATTAGGGATGAATTATTATAGGGCTTTGATTTGGGATTTTGTTAAAATTGAATGTTTAATTAGGGATGAATTAAGTTTATTAATGAAAGTCACATATATCGTCGAGTTTAGTATGTAAGTTTTGCCCAGCCGGTTTTTGAAACCTGGAACTGCCACTGAATGCATACAAAGATCATTGCCACGCAAACCAACAAACTATGTTTACTGATGATTTATCTTCTCCAGTTGTGCTTTTAATTTATTCATTATTTTCTCCAAGTTATGCAAGACGTACCAAGCTCGTTTCTTTATACATTATATATATATATATAAACACAAGATTTATGGATTCCATGTAATGCAGAAGTTCTGCTGCACATGGTCAATAATAAAATTGTAATGAAAAAAAATATTACAGAATCAATCAACGGCACTTGTTCTTTGTATTTATTCGTTCTTGAATTGGAATACCCTTTTTAATAAAGTAATATATAGTCATCAACATCAATGTCTTACACAATAATAAAAGCACAAAATATAAAACTTCAGATCAGAGGTCACAGAGAGAGAGAGAGAGAGAGAGAGAGAGAGAGAGAGAGAGAGAGGATGAGCAGAGAAGGGAAGGTGGTGTGTGTAACAGGAGCATCTGGTTTCATAGCATCGTGGGTGGTGAAGCTCTTATTACAAAGAGGTTATACTGTCAAAGCCACTGTTCGTGAACCAAGTCAGTATTTTACGACTTTTTTTTTTCTTTCTTTCTCTAAACTTGCTCTAATATACTTCAAAACAGGTATTGGAATAGTTTTCATTCTAAAACTTTTTGTTTTGATGACAACAATAAAAACTTCTGGGCTTTGATTGCTACTTTTCATTTATTTTTTGCTATTATAAAATTTTTATTGGACATGAACTCTTATTTTCTTTTTGTATTTTAAATTAAACTATTGTTGTACGTATTTGTAAATATGTGCATGCTACAGATGATCCAAAGAAAACAGAACACTTACTCACACTTGATGGAGCAAAAGAAAGGCTACATTTGTTTCAAGCAGATTTGTTAGTTGAAGGATCTTTTGACCTTGCAGTTGATGGATGTGAAGGTGTTTTCCATACAGCATCCCCTGTAATATTTTCTCCCACTGACCCCCCAGGTTCATTCCTCCCACATATACTTCAAATACCATTCTTGTCTTGCCGATTGCTTAATTACATGTGTCGCCATTTGTGTATTTTCTTAGAGAATAAAAAATAACTTCCAAATGTTTATATTTTTTTTAATGTAAAAACTACAATGATGCTTTTTCTCTACTTCTCAGGAAGAATTACTATACCCTGCAGTGAAGGGCACACTAAATGTTCTGAAATCGTGCGTAAAATTCCCGACTGTCAAGAGGGTAGTTTTAACATCTTCAATGGCTTCAGTTCTGAACAACGGAAAACCTTTGACCTCTGATGTGGTAGTCGATGAAACATGGTTTTCAGATCCACTTGTTTGTGAGGATTTGGAGGTATGCAGTTTATTCTTTTGTTGCAAGTATATACGGATCCAATTTTGTGCATCAGTAGTTGCCTTCAAAATTGCTTTAACGGCTCAGTTTGTTTCAAAATCAATGAATTTTATTCAAATCAAGAACTACCTTTTCTTTCTATATGTCCAGGCATGGTATTTTCTTTCAAAAACTTTAGCTGAGGAGGCTGCTTGGAAATTTGCTAAAGGAAATGGGATTGACTTAGTTACACTAAATCCGGCATATGTGATTGGTCCACTCTTGCAGCCAACTCTTAATGCCACTGTGGAAATGGTTCTGAATCTCAAAAAAGGTACACTTAGGCAAAACTATCTTTTTCACTTGCTGCAGGCCAGTTTCTAGCAACCAAAACTTTATTCATTTTTTAAGTAGCTAGGAACGTCTATTGAAAACTAATATCTAATTGTTGCTTATAAACATAACAAATAAAATTTAAAGTTTTAAGTCGTTTGAGAACAAAATTAATCTGTCCATAGCTTCTACAATTGTAGTTGCATAGTGAATTAAGGTAATTAACTACTTTTTTGAATTCTTTAGATGATTCTTGTGATGCGCTAACAATCGATGGTATTTCTTTTTATTTTTTTGTATCTCTTTGTTTTCCATGCAGATATGCAAGAAGCAAACAAACCAAATTATATATCTACTGATGTTAGAGATGTTGCCTACACCCATATACAAGCATTTGAAGTTCCTTCAGCTAATGGAAGATACTGTTTAGTTGGACATGTTACACCCGTTTTCGAGGCTTTGAAGATTTTACAACAGCTTCATCCCATTTTTTGCCCACCTGAAAAGTAAGTTATGCTTGCCAAATGCCACAATTTGGGGATATTATTAGTACTCAAGGTTTTACTTATCCCACATCGCTCCATTAATGCTCGTTTGGTGGCTCTGAATGGACAAGATCGGGAGTGAACCTAGTCCCGTCTCATACAACTCAGGAGATGACTTGTTGCTTCTCCAATTTAATAAGTGCAGTCCGGATTGTTAATTAAGTTCATTAAGCATAAAACTTCAAAAAGTTAATAGTTCATTTTAATTGGTCTTGTCTTGTCTAGCCCTAGAAACTTTTATTTTTCTTTCTCATACAAGTGATGGTCTAAACTACAAGGAGAAGGGGTTTCTTACACACACTATCAAAGTGTTATGGGGATTCAAACTTGAGACCAATATTGGTTTGCAAGTCAAAGCCCTTTCTCACTCGGTCTAGCCTTATAAAATACTGCTTTGGATCAAATTCCTATTTTCCTATAAGTTAAATATACACATCACCGGTGAAATACAATGTGGCAAATTTCTAAGGGAAATATTCGTTTCTTTCCTTGACAGCAGATTTGAGGATGGCAGTCCTTCTGAACCGACGTTTCAAGTATCGCAGGAAAAAGCAAAAAGCTTGGGAGTTAGTTTCCTTCCATTGGAAGTAAGTCTTAGGGACACTGTTGAAAGTCTCAAGGAGAAGGGCTTCCTCTCAAGATAGAAACTTCCTAATTTAATGCACAAGTTGGTCACATTTTGGCATTTTGTAGTTTGTCTTCAGACTGTTCAGTTTTGTTCTTGTTCAGACTGTTCTCATTGACTAGGCAAATTCTTAGAAAGTTGCTTTCAGATCTTTATATATGGCTCAATCTTCCTGTATATAATTATTCCTTTTGTCTCTTTTTATAAGTTGATCATTTTTTTAAATAACTATAAATAATTAAAAAGCTCAAGTTGGCATTGTGCTGCTTCACTATCTTTAAATTAATTCTCAATAATATTGTGTCTTTTTTAATATTTGTTCGAACTATTGTGAATCAGTTAATTAATTAGTGCTCAAAACGATCTCCTCTACACGCCTCTAACTTAGGAACCTTAGCCTGGGCCTGCTAAATGGCTGGACCTGGAGTGGCTTTCAAACTCTCAAAACCGGCCCTATAAATATAATACAACATGGTGTGTGACCAAGTACATGGTCTGAAAATATGAAATATTTTAAGTTAGATGGAGAAGTGGTAGTTGGTGGAAAGTGGAAGAAATGTGACATAAAATGAAAATTAAAAGCTACGGCACTAACCTTATAAATATATTTTTTCTTATCCCACTAGTCAATGCGCACAAAGATCTTCTGTAATGCACAAGTTCTTAAACTACAATAGGCAAATCTCTACCACATAAAAAGTACTTTTAATAAATTGTAGAAAAATGATAACCAACGACAACATTCGTTGTACTTCATCTTTCCATTTCTGTCGTTGTTGAGAGCAGTCGCCGACTTGGACATCTTTAGCTGACTTTGCCTCCATGGACATTTTTGTCGTTATTCAGCTCATTTCTCTCACCGTAAAAGCCCACCAACGCCATATATATTAATACTAAAAGCTTCACATATACACAGAGAGAGAGACAGAGAGAGAGAGAGAGAAAGAGAGAGAGAGAGAGAGAGAGAGAGAAGATGAGCAGAGAAGGGAAGGTGGTGTGTGTAACAGGAGCGTCTGGTTTCATAGCATCATGGCTGGTGAAGCTCTTATTACAACGCGGTTACACTGTAAAAGCCACGGTTCGTGACCCAAGTCAGTATATATATCATTCCCTAATATTTTATTTCTTCTTTTTTCTTCATTAAAATTTGCTCATATAATAATTTGCAATTCTTAAATAACATATAGTATTCATGATTCTTCAAGTCAAGGTATATATTAAACACGGGTGCATGTTGGAAAGAATATTTCCATTTTGGCATCACATGTAATTGGATATGAAATTTTAAATTGTGAATAAACTTATGATTCAAAAAATAAAAATAAACTTATATTCAAATTGAAACTTGGAAAGTATCCAAGAACTATTTTTTTTTTTGGTAAACTGGAAGGGATAAACCCCGAACACAACAACAACTAAGAAGAATCAGAACAAACTAATCTAGCTTTCGCTACACCAAGAATATCATCAAGGAGAAGAGAACCAATCCAAGCAGGAGCTTCGTCAAAATAAAGGATACCCAGGTCAAATTATTACACTTGGTGAATAGTGACCTTTCTAATTAACATCTAACTCTTATAAATCTTAAATGGTGAACTCTAAACTTAGTATGACTTGTTTGGTATTCAACTTGAATTCAACTTTTTAAACTCAAAAACAGAATTTGAGTCCAAAACAAAGAAAACCTATTTGGTAGCTCTATTTTTAAAAACTCAAACTCAAGAACAACTAAAAAACACCACAATTATTAAAAACAAAAAATATCTGTTTTTTCAATTTTTTTTCTAACAACCCATAAGTTCTCAAATTTTTAAGATTTGAAAATAGTTTTCAAGTTGCATACCAAACAAGTTTTTGAATCTTAAAAATAGATTTAAGAACGGGTGGTGATTTTCCCACTCCTCTTTTGTCTACTTACAGTCCCTTTTATTTATTTATAATGGTTTTTACTATAATAAAAAAGGGAGTGTAAATGGACAAAAGATGAGTGGGAACATACAATTTTTAACAAGGGAGTGTAAGCGGATAAAAGAGGAGTGAGAAAATCAGCTCCCTTAAGAACTCCTTGTTTTTAAGAAAAATCGAAGTTTTTGAATTCTCTATTTGAATAGGATACCAAACGCCCCCTAAATGTGTTGTTGAGTTCTGTGTTGACATATTGTCACATGATAGGTTACACTTATACCATATTCTCTACCACACAATATAGAGAGAAATTTTGATATTCCTCATTTGCAGCTTGGAAAGTATTGCATCAATATACCCTTGTAAATTATTGAAAAAAAGGAATAAGTAAATTCTTTTTATTTCTTTATTTCTATCTCTCTCCTCATTGAGTTGTGATTAGAGGTGTCAAACGAACCAAGTCAAGTTGTGCACGGTATGAGGCCAACCTAATTAAATATGGCCCGGCACGACACGAGCCCAATCAAAGTCGGGCTTGACACTGGCTGACTCGATGAATCGGCTTATTAAAGCCCCATATATTATATTATATTTGTTTTTAAAAGAAAAATAGTACATCATAATATTAAAGTTGTGCCCATTTTTTAAGTAACACATGTTAAAAATTAATGATTTCTTTATAAATTAAATAATGACACTGTTTTTTAAATTTCAATCTTTTAAACCAAAACAATAGTCTAGCCCTTGGGGCATATCGAGTTTTTGAAATTTTAATGTTTTTTTTTAATAAATAGACACGCTTGGCTCGGCCTGTTTACTAAGTGGGTTGGCTCGAAGTCTTAATGCCCGACTCTAAAAGGGCCTGTTCGGTCCGTTTGACACCTCTACTCTAATCAACCTACATCCATGTGTCCTATTACATAATGTTGGCGTATGTCTATACTTGTGCCATAAGCACTTAGAGCATCCATAGTGGTGGGGTGTATAATAGTGTGTATCTTAAATATACACCATTTGTGATCGGAATCACTCGCAATGGGGAGGTGTAAACAAGTGTAATTTGCATCACCACCATGAGATGCAAATTTAGATGTACATGTACATCTTTTTTTTACATCTCTTGCAGGTAGGACCCAGCTGAAAAGAGGTGAGATAAAGTGGAGAAAAGTCAGCAAAAAAGTTGTAGGACCAAAATTCATATGTGGGCCCAATTTTTGGTTGTCATTTCCCCCCTCCCCAAGGCTACATTGCTAGACCAACCCCTTTAATTTTCAAAAACAGCCAGCTTTAATTTTTTTTGGATGAAATCATATCTTCTCCGAATTTAAATATTTTTAGGTTTATTTGTTTGAAAAAATTTAACCTAATACACAAAAAATTAATTTTATAAAGTTAACACAAAATAAAAATTTAACACAAAAACGAATTAAGACAAAAAATCCATTATACATCTTTAAATTTACATCTTTCTCATTGGAGTAAAAACTACATTTACAACCCTTGAAGGTATAAAGGGGGATGTAAAAGTGGCTTTACACCCTCGAAATTACACCCCCGAAAATACACCCCCCTACTTTGGATGCTCTTAAGCTTCTTCACCAACCAAACTACAAATTGAATATCATAGAAGCCACCGACCAGCAGAAGCAAAAAATAATAAAAATAATAAAAATCTTAGCCTATAATGGTATATGGAATGAACAACTGGATTCATAATGCTTTCGGGTATCACCAACACAACATATAGGTAAGTGATCATTGCCAATATGATAGTGAAACACATAGCGGTTAACAAGAGCCACATAAATAAAAGATGCTTTAGATAGGATCCAGTAGCAAGCAGAAGGGTTACTGTCATAGAAGCAAGAGAAAGACTTCTGATGACCAAGGTGCACAGCCTAACACTGCAGTTCCAACATAACATGGTTTTTCTTAGGAGCAACACACATCTCCTCGAATGTTATGGCTACAAGGGTATATTGATGCAATACTTTTGTAGCCATAGCCATCATCATGTCTTTTGCTCTACCGTCGTCGTTTTCTGGTCGTCTTTTTCCCTATTTGTAATAATGTATCATTAAAATTTGTGTTGAAGTGGTCATCATCGACCGAACTAAAAATAATTAAGCTCACTTAATTTTTATTTATTTTTTTCGGGAAAATTAAGCTCACTTCCAACTGTAAATCTTAATGTGATGAGAGAAGAAGGATGAGCCAAGAAAGGAAGGCGGTGTGTGTAACAAGAGCATCTAGTTTCATAGGATCATGGCCTATCAAGCTCTTGCTAGAATGAGCTTAAATTGTCAAAGCCACTGTCCGTGACCCAAGTCAGTATACTTTCGAATATGAGCCGAACCCTGTGCGTGTCCGACACCTGGCCAGGTGCCGGGCACACTTAACTAAATTGCCTGTCTAACAAAACTGAAGTTAACCTAAAGTTTGACTTCAGCTTAAAATTCGGCAAAGTCTCCCTTATAAATAGTCGTTTCCCAAAATCTTCCACCTGTACAAAATGCAATTATAATTCCAACCGTTCAACAGCAAGTTCCAAATCATGAGTAGGATAATTCAACTCATGCTTCATATGCGCCTTTTGAATTTTAGAATATACAAGAATATCGTCTATGAACACAATCACAAAGCAGTCCAAGTAACGTCGGAACACTCTGTTCATGAGATCCATAAATGTTGTTGGCGCATTAGTCAGCCCAGAAGGCATCGCCAAAAATTCATAATGACCATATCTTGTTCAGAAAGTAGTCTTAGGCACATCCTCTTCTCCGATCGGCACTATAACCTTATTCAACTGTCTATAATCAGTACATAACCTCATGGTGCCATCATTCTTCACAAATAGAACTGGTGCACCCCAATGAGAGAAACTGGGTCGGATGAAACCCTTGTCCACCAACTCCTACAACTGAGTTTTCAACTCCCTTAATTCAGCTATTGCCATTCTATACAGTGCCTAAGAGATAAGGTTTGTCCCTGGAACAAGCTCAATGGTAAACTCGATCTCCCGATGAGGAGGTAATCCAGGAAGATCCTCAAGAAACACATCCGGAAATTCTCGTACCATCGGAATATGCTCTAACCTCAATCTATTATCCCGGGTGTCAATTACGTGAGCCAAGTATCCTAAACACCCCTTTCTGAGCAACCGTCTCACCGTCATAGCTCATATGAGGCAAGATGAAAGAACTCTATGCTCACCACAGAAAGTCACCTCAGGTCATCTGGGACTACGAAATACGACCTCCTTCCGGAAACAATCGACCGAAGCACGATGCTTAGCTAACCAATCCATACCCAAAATAACATCCAAATCCACCATATCTAAAGGAATTAAATCTGTCTCCAGAATTACATCCCCTACCAAAACCATGCTACCCCTATACACTACGCCAACTGTAAAGACATCTCCCATGGGTACAGAAACAGCAAGTTCCTCACACAAGGCCGTTAGTCTCACATTCGCATTGTGGGCAAAACTATGTGCAACAAAAGAGTGCGTATCCCCAGGGTCAATTAAAACTCTAGCAGGAATCCCAAAAACTGGTAATATACCTATGATCACATTAGGCGACGCCTGTGCCTCCTGCTGAGACATGTTGTATACTCGTCCGATAGCTCTAGAACGTCCACCACGTCGCCTTTGCTGTCTGCCACCTATGCTAGCCATACTGGTCTGGGCCCCATTACTAGACGAGGCCCCCACAATCTGTGATGTACTCTGTACTCTGCTCTATGCACCCGTCCCCTGGGTTGGCCCAGCAGAGATTTCTCTACTTTACAGAAGCATCGGGCACTCCCTCCGAAAATGCCCCGATTGACCACAGCGATAGCACCTAGTGGTGCCTTGCTGACAAGGCCCGGTATGGAACCTGCCGCATAAAGCACACTGGGAGAGATTCCTCCCCCTAAAAACTGGCTGCAGCTATCTCCCTGAACCTCTGGCTATGCTACCTCTGGAACGGCTGTCTCCCCTCTGTTGATTGCCACCTCTGCTAGCCATATTGGTCTAGGCCCCACTACTAGACGAGGCCCCCACAATCTGTGATGTACTCTGTACCCTGCTCTGTGCTCCCGTCCCCTGGGTTGGCCCAGTGGAGATTTCTCTACTCTGCAGAAGCATCGAGCACTCCCTTCGAAAATGCCCCGACTGACCACAGTGATAGTACCCAGTGGTGCCCTGCTGACAAGGCCTGGTATGGAACCTGCCGCATAAAGCACACTGGGAGTGATTCCTCCCACTAAAAACTGGTTGTAGCTGTCTTCCTGAACCACTGGCTATGCTATCTCCGGAATGGGGTCCAGAACTCCCACTCTGGTTGGACCCTCCGCTGGAGCTAACTCCAGCTCGAAAACCTCCACAGCTATGACCACTAGACGATCCAGAGCTGAAACTACCTCACTTGGATGACCCATGACTGGGACCACCCATGTCATATTGTCATTTATTGAAATCACTTCGTCCTCAGACCATCATCTGACTGCTTTCAACCAATGAGGCAGACATCACCAAATCTCTGAAATTAGCCAAACGCTGTCCTACTACGATGTCACGGATGGATTTCTTTAATCATCTGGTAAACAGCTGACACTTCTTTCTTTCATCCGCCACAAGTGGTGCACAGTACTTGGATAATTCATTGAATTTCTTCTCATACTCTTAACACCGTCATAATGCCCTGTTCAAGTTGAAGGAACTCCTCCATCTTCATATTTTGGTAGGCTAAAGGATAGAACTGCTCAACAAAGGCATTCCGAAAAGCTTGCCACGTGATGGTTGATGGGTCCTGATATTGTCTTCTGACTGACTCCCACCAGTACCTTGCATTTATGGAAAGGAAAAAGGTAGCCAGAACCACTATGCACTCCTGTGGGACATCCATCACATCCATAATTCTTTACATCTCTATCCATTCTTCAGCCATGGCGAGATCACCATCACCATTAAATTCCACTGCCCCTATCTTTCTAGCCTGGTCTGTATATGTCAAAGATGCATCTCTGGGTTGCCCGGTCCTAGATAAGGCCTGAGCCAATAACTCCAATGTCTGCTGAAAATTAGGATCAATCGGTGGAGTGAGCATCACCGGTACAACTCCTGCTAGACCTCCTACATAAGACTGCTCAACCTGTTCCGGTACCGGACCTGGAATCGGAGGGTTCTCCGGCTCAAGAGAAGGATCCTGCCCTCTTAGTTGGGATGGCCGTCGAATTCCCCTATGAGTGACACAACGTTTAGGGCCCATGATTCTGTCACAAGAAACATGAATTCATTAAAACCGGAATGCACACAAGGTGCGCAGTCTACATGAATTTAAACCTAATGCTCTGATACCAAGTTGACAGGACCCGACCCAAATTTCACTTTCGAATCTAAGCCGAACCCTGTGCGTGTTGGACACCTTGCTGGTGTCGGGCACACTCGACTAAATTGCCCGTCTAACAAACCAAAGTTAACTTCAAGTTTGACTTCTGCCTAAAATTCGGCAGAATCTCCCTTGTAAATAGTCGTTTCCCTAAAATCTTCCACCTGTACAAAATGAAATTATAATCCCAACTGTTCAGCATGCATCAAGTTTAAATTCAAGCAATCCAACAACAGAACTATGTGGCCTCAGGCCTTACAAAAATCCTAGGGCAATTTCAAAGCAATACTAATTAGTTTAATTTACAGGAGTAGTTCGATTACAACAGAAATCCTACTTAGTGGAAAGGATGAGTGAAGAGTTGTGACTGCCCTGTGGTGGCGCTCTAGTAGACGACTACTGCCTGGGGGCGCAAAACATTTAAAAATGTGAGTTGACAAAAATAAAGTTTTGGAAAATAGAATATGAACATACTAACCCCACTGTTAAAACATTTAGAAAAATTCAATTATCTCAATATTCTATATTCGTAATAAAATTCAAGCATGCATAACTACATACATATAACTGATCAAGCATTCAAACAAATCATCGAAAACGTTTGAAAGCATTGTAAATAATTAATTCCTTTCCACCTAGGTGTACCCATTATATATCCGTCAATTCCTTAATTTCCGTTAATTCCCACATTATACCGTCAATTCCTTAATTTCCGTCAGTTCCCACAGTATACCGTCAATTCCTCGTGTCACAATTTGTGACATGTCCTTGCAGGTCTCGGTAACACAAAGTCAACCCAAGCCGCAATCCTCGCAAGATTCAAGAGACATTTAGTCAGCCAGATCCACATTTCTCGCTCCGCACGATGCGGGCGTCCTCGAAACTCATGGGGCATTGTCAAACACGCGCTGACTCAACCGAAGGCAACTGTAATGTCTGTTCACATTATTATAACTGAACGCAACAATTTATCTGAAGGCAACATATTATCTGAGGCAACATTCATTCCTAAGGCAACATTTATTCTGAAGGCAACATGGGTACCTATCGTGGTTAAAAAAAAACATTTCTTGGAAAATCATAAAAACTATTTCTCATCCATCCTTAAATTATGTTGCCACTATACTTCCTACTTTCCAAGCCAAGCTCAACTTAAATATAAACAGAATATAATAAAAATATTCGAAATCAAACAATCATACTTGGAAAGGAAAAATTCATAATAACTCATTCAAGGTCAAATAATAAAACTTTAATTGCATAAAATCATTTATAAAATAAAAGTCCACTCACTGAGCGCCCAAGTTCACTTGACCATTTGAGGATCCCTCCTGCGGGTCCGCTGGTGCTCGAGTACCTATTTATGCCATTACAAATATTAAATTAATAAAATTATTCAACATAAATATTTAATCCAAAACCCTGACCCCCGGCTTCTAAAAGGCATGTACTTATTTTAGGACCATTCCTATGCCCACTTAAACATTTTTAGACGATTAGAACGGTCCGAAAAGACCTGAGACTCGATAAACGATAAATTCGTCATATTGGTCAATCCGAGACCCCGTGGGGTCCACGACCTCCAATTATCAATCCGAGAGTTCCTATTGGTTCCTCACATTTAAATAACCCTATCCTGCAAGTCTGGTCTGCATCCGATACTCGGATTGCTCACGATCGGACGGTTACGGCTTATTTAGCCCTATGGTTAGCAATTTCGGAGTATCCAGGACTCCGATTCACGATCCGTCGAATCCTATACGATCCTAGAAATACAAGATAAAACATACGTGAATTTGAGCTCGATCCAAAGGTCCGAACATATCGAACCCGACAATAAGCGAAATCCGTTCGAGGCTCAAACGATAACCAAATTGAAATCCGAGCACACCTACGCACTCGTGACAACCTAGAGATCATTTTAGGACAAATTGTAGCACCACAATATTACCCACGCGAGTGCGTGGGTGGCTTGATCAATTCTAGCTGCTGGAAAACTTCAAAATCGAGGGCCAAGATTCCTAGCATAGGCTCAGGACGTCGATTGGAGCCACTTTTGTTCTGGGACCTATCTCGAAAAACGATTGGAAATGGCTGGAATTTCAAATTGAAAACGGGCCAAACTTTGGACTGTGATTTGATCTACCTAGGCTAGAAATCGTTACAATCCTACCCAACCATCAGCTAGAGCACGAAAAATAGGTGAGAAATCATACCTCAGTCGTCGGAAACAATGGCCGGAAGAGGGAGAACGAGCGGATGGAAATTTTGACCGGAAATTGGGTGGTTTTTGGCAGATTCCGGCAATCCCAGAAAACGGCTGCAGCTGAGACTGGTCGGGAAAGGACGGGGCAAGGAAGGCGGTTCGAACCGGTCCGGTTTCGTGGCCAGTGGTGCAGCGTGGCGGCGACTGGAACGAAAAAACCAGTCGGATTTGAGCCCACTACATGTCTACGAACTCATCTCGACATGCTCTACACAATGGTACAATTGAAATTTCCAAATTCCTTCCCGATCAAAAAGTCAACTTTTAACCTAATAAAATATTCTAGGGGCAAAATAGTCTTTTATTAGAATAAATTAATAATTAAAAATTGATTTAGGATCGGGTTGTTACATATTACATATTTCTTCACCATTGGATTGTATGTGTGTTGCGTATTAAATCAACCAATACATTTAATAAATGTAATCCAACAGCAGAGATTAGAAATATGTAATCAATTATTTTCTCCCTAAACTTGGTATCAAACTAATTACCTGCTTGCTAATCACTTCTTTTTCAATTTTTTTTTTTACAGTTTTCTTTTTTCTTTTTTTTCTTTTTTTTTGAAAAGTGCTGAGAACATGTTTGGTAACTTTTTCATCTTCAATGATTTTCATCTTCAACTTCGGTTGTTGTTTTCATCTATAATCATGTGATTAATGTTAGACAATTATGAATATGGACTAATCTTTCAACACATGTCATCATCTAAATGTCTCTAACAAGTACCATGATAAAAAATCATTAGGTTCCAAAAACATAAGCTATCAAAGAAATGTGAGTGAACAATATTGTAGATCAAGCCAACAGTGTACAAGTTTTTTTCTCCACGCTCATGACCAGCATAAATAGATAACACCCTAGTGTTAGCTAAGAACTTCTTATCTCGACCATCCATTAGAAGTGTTACTGAGTTTAATATGTACCATACATGCAATCAAATGATTGTGATTATAAATCGTTAACTGCCTTTCACATAAAATTCTTAATGGACCATCTCCCGATTATATATATGTCAAAAACAGTTCTTAAATGTTTTCATGAGTTAATATTTTTACCATTAGGATTTATACTGGAAAGATAATGAGGTTAGAAAAGAACTTTGGAAATAAACAAATATCATCACCCAATAAAAATAAATTAATAAATGATGCATATGTTTGCAGAGGCCCTTTTGATGAACTACTTACTTTTGCATTTACGCCTGTGATGCCACAGATGACTCAAAGAAAACAGAACACTTATTGGCACTTGATGGGGCAAAAGAAAGGCTGCATTTGTTCCAAGCAGATTTGATAGAAGAAGGATCTTTTGACGCTGCAGTTGATGGATGTGAAGGTGTTTTTCATACAGCATCCCCTGTTCTATTTTCAGCCACTAACCCTCAGGTAGTATATAATAGCATTCATCCCTTTACTTTCATTTTTTATAGAGTTCAAAACTGAAATGGTTCTTTTGTCTACACAATCTCAGGCAGAATTAATTGACCCTGCAGTGAAGGGAACCCTTAATGTTCTCAAATCGTGCGTAAAATTCGCTACCGTCAAGAGGGTAGTTTTAACATCTTCTATGGCTGCAGTCATTTTCAATGGAAGACCATTGACCCCTGATGTGGTGATTGATGAAACATGGTTTTCAGATCCTCTTGTTTGTGAGAATTTGAAGGTAAGTGTGTAGGCTTCCATGCTTATTATCTTCTTCCAAGTTACACCTTTTATTCATGAAATTCATTATCATTTGTTATTTGGCATCTTCTGTTGCTTCAATCATGGCAATATATCTTGGTTTAGTATGAACTTCATTTCTTCTCTATGTCCAGGAATGGTATTTTCTTTCAAAAACTTTAGCTGAGGGGTCTGCTTGGAAATTTGCTGAAGAAAATGGGATCGACTTGGTTACCATAAATCCATCATATGTGATTGGTCCACTCTTACAACCATGTCTTAATCTCACTGTGGAGATGATTCTGAATCTCAAAGATGGTACACTTCAGCAACTATATATCTATATTTTAGAGCAAGAGAATGACGGAGACTTAGAATTAACTTAGTTAGGGCCGCAAGCAAGATTGTTTTAGATGCAGGCAATTTTTTAGCAGATTAGATGTGTACCAAAACATTTGCTTGGAGTACGAATGTTCATCGAATGTTAAAGTAACCAAATCTTGATTCTTGTGGTGCAAGATTCAAATGATTCTTGTGATGGAAGTTTGTTTCTTTTCTATGCAGATATTGAAGATGTAAACAGTTCAATTTATACATCTACTGATGTTAGAGATGTTGTCTCAGCTCATGTTCAAGCATTTGAGGTTCCTTCAGCTAATGGAAGATATTGTTTAGTTGGACATGTTACACCCATGGCCAAGGTTCTGAAGATTTTACATGAACTTCATCCCTCTCTTTGCCCACCTGAAAAGTAAGTTATAATTTGCAAAATGCCACAAATTGGCAATTTTCTTTTTCGAATATGACAAATTTCTAAGGGAAGGAAAGATTTATTTGTTTCGTTGTTGGCAGATATGAGGAGGCCAATCCTTCTGAACCCACATTTCAAGTATCACAGGAAAAAGCAAAAAGTTTGGGAGTAAATTTCCTTCCAGTGGAAGTAAGTCTTAGGGACACTATTGAAAGCCTCAAGGAGAAGGGCTTCCTCAAGGTTTGAATTATGCAACTAACAGCAACTTGCTCATTGCACAAGTTGATCGCGTATTGCCAAATTCAAGTGTTTTTTTTTCTGCTAAATTTATCCGAAGAGATTGTGAAAGTAATATTGTTCATGCTCAGACTTTTATCTGCAATTGCCCAGAATGGTCAGGAGTTGCTTTCAGCTCTTGATAGCTCAATTGAAGAAACCCTTGTTTGAAAATGAACCAAACCATGTAACTTTTCATTTCTCTGGTGTACACCAACCAAAGTGCCTTTAATTTTTCTGCTTTCTAATAACAATTTCTATTAGCTTTTCATTTGTTTATATGGCCTGATTGTGTTATGAATTAATCATGTATTTCATTACTATCCCCAGTAAAACAAGAGTGTAAACAAGACTATAGAGTTTGAAAATCACAATAACATGTATAGATCTCGACAGAGTTCACGTACGTCTTTCCACCTTCTTTATTTTTGTTTTAGTACAAGCGATATGAATGAAATTTCTCACATACACACAACTAAGACATTTTTCCACACCTTCTTTATTATATATGTAGTATATATAATATAAAGCATGTGGCCCCATCAAACTCTACATCCGTCACGCGTAGAGAGAAACTTACCTACCCACACTAACTAGTGTGATCCCATCTCATTTAATCATTTGTACTACTAGGTCTCAATATATTAATTCCCAAACTTTTTAAAGTTGCTGCCTGCCAAGGGAAAAACTCAACCAAGTGAAAAGCCCAAAAATCCAACTCAACCATCCAAGAGAATAATAACTAAGGGTTCAACATTAAAATACCACAACATGAATAAATAAGAGTGTTACTAAATGAACCCTAAAATTAACTGAGTACACCCTATGATATGAGTATACCCTAATATTTAAATTAAAATATAAAATTAACTAAGTACACCCTGTTTAATTACTAAAAATACCCATGGTACACCCTAATATAAGTTCTTGGCTTGTGGTTGCATTGTGAAATCCTGCAATATATGACAAGAACAATGTGAATCCACATAATCGGCTGGAATTCACCAGACGAGGAAAGAGCTTTTCTGCTGGAATTCACTTGGATGTTTGCTCGTTGAAGATTCAAACTTTCAAAATCAAATCAAAGAAGGTAGAGTTTTTAGGAAGGAAACGAACCCGAGTGATCCTGAAGTACTTTCAACAACTTCATCTCATCAAATATATGCTTGATTGTGCACCGCTAAGCCAAAAGTATATTCTCCCCATTATCATGAGTTGCTGCAAGTCCCTCTCTACCTCAGCCAAAAGAAGCAAACTTTAACATCTTTAATGCAAAACAGAGACCCCAGATACAAAAATTCGTTACATCCTAGCAAGTTAGTCATTTTGGTCATTTTATATTAGGGTAAATTAGTAATTCAATAAATAGTTTGGTAGTAGGGTGTACTTAGTTAATTTTAGGGTTCATTTAGCAGCACTCATAAATAATTATCAAAACCCCTCGCCTAAAAGAAAAACCAAGAAATATATATAGTCAAGGGTTAATCCTGTCACAAAAATTATCTCCATTATAGGCTTTATTGCACTTTATCATCTAAAAATTTGAATCAATTTGTCATCTCAATTAAAATTTTGTTACAATGTGCGTATCTAGGATAAACTTCATCCGTTTTTTCATTTTAAAAATTTAATTGCACTTTGACTTTTTTTTGTTTTTTTGTTTTTTTTTTTTTTGTTCTGTTTTTTTTTTTTTTTTTTTTTTTTTTTTTTTTTTGTGGGAAGTAGTAGTATAACCAAAAAAAGTGGCCAATGAGGGTTTACAAAACTACTTGCAAATGTGTACAGAGGTTTTAAAGACGTGTATTATTGGCCCCAAAAGAGTAAAGCTAGTTCACCTATCTTACACGCCCCCCTCTCCCTAAACCACCAGTCACGAACTAAAATATTCAGCTCACTTCTCAAGTACATAAAAAGCTGAAGCAAAAACTTCCAACTAAAAAGCTTCTTCTGATCAGGAGGATGAACGAAGCAAGGAAGGTGGTGTGCGTAACAGGGGCATCTGGTTTCATAGCATCCTGGCTGGTGAAGCTCTTACTGGAACGAGCTTATATTGTCAAAGCAACCGTCCGTGACCCAAGTCAGTGCATATATATATATAGATATGCCACTACTATTTAATCTCTTCTCCCTTTTTCTCTCTCCCGAAAGAAGGTTTTTCTTTGGATGATTTTCATGTTCAACTTCTTGGTTTTGATGACATCAACAGAAACTTCTGGATTTCGATTATTGTTCTCATCCATAATCATGTGACATCAACAGAAACTTTTGTAATTATGCATATGCCACAGATGACCCGAAGAAAACAGAACACTTATTGGCACTTGAGGGGGCAAAAGAAAGGCTCCATTTGTTCAAGGCAGATTTGTTAGAAGAAGGATCTTTTGATGCTGTAGTTGATGGATGTGAGGGTGTTTTTCATACAGCATCCCCTGTAATGTTTTCATCCACTGACCCACAGGTTCTAGCATTCATCCCTTTACTTTCATAAATACTTCAAACCTAATTGACTATTTTTGTCTTCTTGATAAGGGATTGGACTAGCCATTGGACATTTTTAAATATAACAATGATCACCTTTTTAAACTAAAAAAATACAAGCGATATTGGGGAAGGGGGGAATCGAACATAAGACCTTAGTGCAGGGTAAATGTTCTTAACCATTGAGCTACAAGCCCCTTAACAATGATCACCTTAAGGTTACAACAATGCCAAATTTCGAGTCCAATCCCTTAGAAAAACATGAACAAGTGAAACTGTGATTGATTGCAACCTAATGTGAGCTACTTGACCAAATTAGAAACCGTTTGAAAATTACAGGGACTAGAAGTGTCTTGTGATACAAATTACATTTCCCTCTTTGCAGAATCTACATACTTTTTTTTATGCAGAAACTGAAATGGTTCTTTGTCTCTACAATCTCAGGCAGAATTAATTGACCCTGCATTGAAGGGAACCCTTAATGTTCTAAAATCGTGCGTAAAATTCGCTACCGTCAAGAGGGTAGTTTTAACATCTTCTACGGCTGCAGTCATATACAATGGAAGACCATTGACCCCTGATGCGGTGGTTGATGAAACATGGTTTTCAGATCCTTTTGTTTGTGAGAATTTTAAGGTAAGTTTGTAGGTTCCCTTGCTTATCATCTTCTTCCAAGTTACACTTTTTATTCGTGAAATTCATATTCATTTGTTGTATTTACATGACATTAACTAGAATGAATTTGTCACCTTTACAAGTATCTGCATCCAATTATGTAGGAGATGAATAATTATCCTTTCTTCTTTCCTTTTATTCTCCCCTCTTCTTCATTTGTTCTACAGAAGTAGCTTCCAAGTTTTTGTCCATCTTCTTGAGCTCAAAATGTCTAAGTATTTGCATTAAACGATGAATTAAACGATCTCAATTGTTTTTTTTTTTTTGTTTTTAAAAAAATATAATAATAAATCAGTTGTTCATGTGATTCATTGCATTGAGGTATGCTTAACATAAAACAAGGCAGGAAGTATATCTTGGTTTAGTACGAACTTCTTTCTCTTCTGTGTGTCCAGAAATGGTATGTTCTTTCAAAAACTTTAGCTGAGGAAGCTGCTTGGAAATTTGCTGAAGGAAATGGGATTGACTTGGTTACCATAAATCCATCCTATGTGATTGGTCCACTCTTACAACCAAGCCTTAACATCACTGTGGAGATGATTCTCAACTTCAAAAACGGTACACTTCAGCAACCATATATGATTTTTCTTTTTCAATCTTTGCTTGGTTAGAGCAGACTATGATGGAGAGTCAGAATTAACTTAGTTGAGGCAGCTAGCATAATGATTGTTGAGTGTCAAAACATTTTCTTAGAGTAGTAGGTATGTTTATCGAACGTTAAGGTAATGAAATGTTGGTTCGGGTAACAAAATAACATTTAAAGTTAGTCATTTGATGTTAGATGATTCTTGTGATGCAAGTTTGTTTCTTTTCTATGCAGATATTGAAGATGTAAACAGTTCAATTTATTCATGTAGTGATGTCAGAGATGTTGCCTCAGCTCATGTTCAAGCATTTGAGGTTCCTTCAGCTAATGGAAGATATTGTCTAGTTGGACATGTTACACCCACGGCCAAGGTTCTGAAGATTTTACATGAACTTCATCCCTCTCTGTGCCCACCTGAAAAGTAAGTTATAACTTGCAAAATGCCACAAATTGGCAATTTTCTTTTTCGAATATGACAAATTTCTAAGGGAAGGAAAGATTTATTTGTTTCATTGTTGGCAGATATGAGGAGGCCAATCCTTCTGAACCCACATATCAAGTATCACAGGAAAAAGCAAAAAGTTTGGGAGTTAATTTCCTTCCACTGGAAGTAAGTCTTAGGGACACTGTTGAAAGCCTCAAGGAGAAGGGCTTCCTCAAGGTTTGAACTATGCAACTGAAGGCAAACTTGTTCATTACACAAGTTTATCCAAAGAGATTGTGAAAGTATTATTGTTCATGTTCAGACTTTCTATATTTGTCTGCATTTGCCCCCAATGTTTCAGCTTGACTGAAACTGAATTAAAATGAAGTAACTTTTCTATTATCTGTTTTTATAATAACTTATGGCCTGCTTGAATTCAATCAAATGAAATGAAAGACTTTATTAATCCACAATCAGGGTTAAATCAGTGGTACAAAAGAGTATAGAGTTGGAAAATTACAATAACCACCATATGAATCATAAAATTAGAACCATTTATTGATGAGGATTTCAAAGAACATGTACATTTTTAACAGGGTGTTTCTATTATACAGTGTACACCTTTAAGATCTCTATAACCTCAAAAACCTCTCTCCTTTGGTTATTAGGGGAAAAATAATGAAAGACACGAGTAATTGCCTGCAACTACCAATAATCCCCACATGAACAAACCCCATCACGGAAATGGTGAAAGCGATTCACATCTCAAAGCAGAATCTCTCTATCAGCAAACTTGGAAATGAACTTCGTAACATAGTGACAATCTTCGCATATCCTCAAGTTCTTGGAAATCCGAATAGTTTCCCCCCTTTTGGTATTTATGAGTCCGAATGCTACTGCTAATTTTTCATTATGGCCTAATACTATTCGTTTCTTCTCTTTTTCATGGGACAACTTTAGTTTGCGGCTTATATCCTCTGTCCATCTCTGTTGACAATTCAGTCAACAATGCATGGAGCTTCTCCATCTGTGGGTTAAACTCATCAACCGAAATGAATGAGTATATCTTCCTTTTAACTTCAATCCAACTCCGACCTGGGACCTTTTGTAGTTCTCGAGCTTCTAAAAGCTTCTTTACTCTTTTTACCTCATCCCACATCTTGGCTTCAGCATAAATAGCAGCTAGAAGTACGTCATTCCCAGCATTCCTAGGCTCAAGCTCAAATAGCCTTTCACTTGCTCTCTCCGCCAGCTCAACATTACAATGTATTCTACATGATCCAAGAAGAGCACCCCCAAACTTTAGCACCTGGTTCAATCCGCATATATTTTATGACTTTGGCTGCTTCATCGAACCAATTGGCACGACCAAGCAGATCCACCATACAAGCATCGTGCTCAACTCTGGGATATATACCATGTTCTTTTACCATAGAATTAAACATCTTCCCCTCTTCAACAAGACCAGCGTGACTACACCCACCCAAGACACTAACGAATGAAATGTGACTCGGTGATACTCTATGATAGACCATGTCTTCAAAAATTCGAATTGCCTTCTTTAGTTTTATATTTTCTCCCAAGAGATTTCCAAGCTTCTCTAGCCGTCTTGAATGCTGCATAAACATCATACAGTGTGTCATCGTGGCCATTCAAGATATACTTCATGCACAGGAAATCAGATTGTGTCAATGCATCAATTGCAGCATATATATATTGTTTGTACAAATTTCCTCACGGAATATTCGTCTAAGATTCCTTCGTCTTCTCCACTTCTCTTTCTCCCTGCAAAACAGATCGGGGTAAAAAGGACCACACCCGGGGGGTGTTGGCCAAAGGCCCTCCGATGCCTAAGTTAGGTAGGGTATTTCAAGGAAAACCGGGTGGCCGGAGCCGTGTGTGGTGGCCGGAGCCTTGTGTCAGAGAGAGAAAGAAAGTGGTGGCTAGGGTTTGTGAGAAATAATTTCTGCAGAGTTTCAGTAGGAATTTAGACGTACCTTGACCTTTGTGCGTAGCCAAGTATTTATAATGGTCTCGGAGATTAGGGTTTCAGAGGAATAATTCCGTAGTTGGTAAGGAATTATTCCTCCCCTGATTTGGCATTGATTTGATTAATTAGGGATTTGATTTATTTGGGTAAATCAAATCCCTAATCGTGGTAGGTATCAGATCAAATCCCAATCTAATTAGGTAACTCCTCATTTAATTGGGAATTGGGGTAGGAATCAAATCAATTCCCAACTTAATTAGGTAATTCTCAATTTAATTGGGTAACTCCCAATTAAATTGAGTAACTCCCAATTAGGTTGAGTAATTCCCAATTAGGTCAAATAATCCCCAAATGGAAGGAATTATTTGACCTAGGGTTTTGATTTAATTGGTTCCCACAAATGCCCCCCAGCTTCTGCATGGCGCGTGGTGGCATGTAGGAGATGTGAATTGTCTGTTGGGCTTTCCAGCTGTAACTGGACTTCCTTCTTTAATTTGGGCTCCTGCGTGGAGGAGGCTTTTTACTTGCTAATTTCCTGAACACCTGACTGGAAAGTGTTTGAAATTCCTTGTAGGTCAAGGAATTTTGATCCTTATAAATATAGGGCTCCCTCAAACTATTTTCACGTCACAATCTGATCCTCCAATTTCGTCAGTGAGAGAGAAAACTTTAGAAAATTGCTTCAGCTGGCTTTGTCCTCGTCACACACCCAAGGTAATTTGTCTTGGGCAGCATATATATTTTTCCTTTTGTTCTGACTTTTGGCTGCAAGGAGGTGGTCCGTGCCTTGTGATTGGACTGGGGTATGATGGGAGGTCTGGAAGGCTGGCAGGATCAGGCCTTGCACGTGTTGGGCTCGAAGCAGGGGCATGGAGGCGCTGGACCAAGAGCTGGAGCAAGGGGGGAATTGGGCCATCGCGCGACATGGGCTTGCGCTAGGCAAGCTGGCCACGTGCTCGATTTGGGGCGGTCTGGCGCATCACCTGGGCCTCGCATGCGAGCAGCCTCGCTGGGCGCTCGAGCTGGGCTGGAACTCGCGCTGGGCTGGAGACGCGAGTTGGGCTGCGCGCGCTGGGCAGTTCATGCGGGCTGCTTCCTTTTTTTTTTTTTTTTTTCTGCTGCTGTTTTTTCTTTTCTGATTTTTTTTTGTTCACGAGCTAGGAATTTTAACCTGCAATTTCCTTTGTTATTCTTTGCAGCTACTCAACGACCATGTCTTCTGAAAGAAGGAGCCGATCACCAAGCTCGCAAGTACCCTTGTACCTATGGGGTGGCTCTCAAGTTCCCAAAGAGAAGTTTGTGGGCCAATCTGCACCGTGTCACCACCGAGGCCCAGTTCAAAACATGGCGTGCCCTTTTCAATTTCGCCATTCCCAAGGACGTACATGTCAAGTTAGCAGAGCCCTCATCCGACAGCGTACCACGGGTGGATTCGAACAATCCAGGTGCCAGGATCATCACGTTCCGCCCCTTCTATTTCTCGCTAGGCTTCACGTTTCCGATGTCGAAATTTTTCAGGGATGTGCTTTGCGCCATGGAGTGTGCCCCGAGCCAGTGTACTCCAAACGTTTATCGAGCGGTCATCTGCTTTGAAAATTTGAGTCACTTCTTCAAGCTAGATTTGACAGTGCAGGAATTCTTCTATTTCTTCGAGGTGAGACGCTTCGAGAAGTATGCCCAACTTCGTGCGCGCAAACCCAAGTTGTTTGATAGTTTAAGTCAAGGCGATCATGTGTGGAGCAAGGATGTGCTGGAGGTCAGTGGCAGATGGGAAGGGGAGGTTGGCGACGGTCCGCTCGTTCCTCTCACCTACTGTGACGGTAAGTTGCATCCCTTTGGTCTGCTCTGTTTGTTGAGGGATTTTTCATGTCGTGTGTCTGACCAACTTTTGTCTTCTGCTTGCAGATGATGCCATCCGAAAGAAGCTCGTCCTCGACCCAGACATGATGAAGGTTCGGCAGGCTTTGAGCATCCCTGCCAAGTTTCGTGAATGGCGCTGGCTGTTGAGCGAACATCGGAAGAAAGTCGGTGGCCTGCCCCCTGCTGAAGATATTGAAAGATGGAAGTTGCACTGCCTGAAGCTAAGTGACTTGCCAGTTGAGCAGGATGAGTCATCGACCGAGTCCCCCGAGGATAGAAAGGCGTGCAGTGGACCTGCCCGTGACGGAGCTGCAGTTTCTCGATCAATGGATACGTCCCTGCAGCGGGGGCAGCCGAGATCTTCTCTTGCCGCGAACAAGTCTTCCTCACAGGAGGCCTCGTCTGCCGGGATCAAACGCCTCGTCAGCGCGAACAGCAGGAAGGCCAACGGCATGCAGGAAGTTCGGGATATGTTGTTCAAGTCGCCAACCGTATTGCCCAAAACTTGTGATCTGCCTTGTAAGGAGGCCGTTGAGAAGCAAGGTTCGGGGCGTCTGCGCCGGTCTGGGGACCAAACTGAGAGGACTGTACCTCTGCCCAGCCACCATGACTCGTCTGCAGGACCACGAACAATCAAGCGCGGAGCTGACTCGATGTTGCAAGCTGCAAGCAAGAAAGCTAAAGAGTCGTCTGCTCGAGCAAAGAGTCCTCCAGTCGCGCGAACTGCTGGTTTGGGGATTGGTGATAACTCTGTTGGGGGTGAGCCTGTGTCTGATCTGCTGAAAACGGGCTTTCTATCAAGTCCATCTGCTTGTGCTAAGCTAGCTGACCATGTGTATCGAGCTGCTGATCTTTGTGCCTTCTCGAGCCTTCCCTTGGATAACAAGAAGAAGCTGCCCTGTATCATCTTCAAAAAGGGATGGTTTTTGCTGTTGGGGCTATGCAGAACTCGCATGATGTTGCCCCCTCTTCTGCCCTGCTTGACGAGCTGGTGAAGAAGAATGCTGACCTGACTGACAAGCTCTCGAACGAGCGGATTCGCCATGACGCGAGGATTTCCGAGATGAAGGAGAGTATGTCCGCACTTAAGAGTTCTGTTGGCCAAAAAGATGACGAAGTCAAGTCTCTTATGGCTACCCTGCTCGAACGCAAGGAAGCCTACTTTAGCCTCGAACGCAAGCATGCTGCTCTGGCCCAGATCGTGATAGGCTGCTGGTCAAGTTTGACAACCATGTGGAAGCCACGGAGGTGTCCAAACATGAGATTGCTGCTAATGCGTACAAGCTGGGATACCTGGACTGCCAGAACGGTGCTCCTCCTTGCTGTCCTCTCGAAGATGACGATGATGAGCAGTCCAGTCTTGATCTGCCCCTGCTCACAGTAAGCAGATCAATGTTGTGGATGCAGAGGCAGTTGAAGAGCAGGTAGCAGATGAAGCCGCAACGGAGGAAGACAAGCCCCAAGGCGGGTCAGCTGAGGTGGGTAAGGAACAAGCGGCCAAGGCAGTTGAGTAGGTGGTGATGGTTAAGCAGAGTGAGGCCGTTGCCAGCGCAGCTGAGGATGTGATCGGCTAAGGGTCACCTGCTGAAGTCCCCTAGTAGATGTAGTTCATTTTTGCTATTTTTGAACTTTGTAATTTTTCTTTCAATAAGTGGTCTTTGGTTGACCGCCCTATTTGTTTGTTGAATTTGGCTGGTTGGCCGCTTTGCTATGAAATTTTCAGTTATCTTTCAAACTTCAATTCTCATTATCTTGTAAGTGTACGTCCGAGACATAGCACTTGAAAGAGATTCCATTGAGTTTGTACTCGTGAAGTAGCTTGCCCACAATGGAGGTAAGGCTTGTCGCCTACGAGCGTATGTCAGGGACACAATGCTCGAAATAAAAAGATTCCATTTTTTTTTTTTTTTTTTTTTTTTTTTTTTTTTTTTTTTTTTTTTTTTTTTTTTTTTTTTTTTTTTTTTTTTTTTTTTTTTTTTTTTTTTTTTTTTTTTTTTTTTTTTTTTTTTTTTTTTTTTTTTTTTTTTTTTTTTTTTTTTTTTTTTTTTTTTTTTTTTTTTTTTTTTTTTTTTTTTTTTTTTTTTTTTTTTTTTTTTTTTTTTTTTTTTTTTTTTTTTTTTTTTTTTTTTTTTTTTTTTTTTTTTTTTTTTTTTTTTTTTTTTTTTTTTTTTTTTTTTTTTTTTTTTTTTTTTTTTTTTTTTTTTTTTTTTTTTTTTTTTTTTTTTTTTTTTTTTTTTTTTTTTTTTTTTTTTTTTTTTTTTTTTTTTTTTTTTTTTTTTTTTTTGGGGAATGGGCTTGGATGTGGCGCGGGTGTGCCTCGATACCTCGTTGCGTCACTAAGTACCCTAGGAACCGGCCAGACGATACACCGAACGTGCATTTACTTGGATTCAGCTTCATGCGATATTGGCGGAGTAGGCTGAACGCCTCGGTGAGGTTTTTGAGGTGGTCTGCCCGCTTGGGGGCTTTAACCAGCATATCGTCCACGTACACCTCCATGGTTCTGCCGATCTGCTCCTTGAAAATTTTATTCACGAGCCTTTGGTAGGTTGCTCCGGCGTTCTTCAGCCCAAAGGGCATGACCTTGTAGCAGTAGGTCCCTCTTTCGATGATGAAAGAGGTCTTCGCCTTGTCATCATCGTACATCATAATTTGATTATAGCCGGAGTAAGCATCCATGAAGCTGAGCAGCTGGTTGCCGGAAGTTGAATCCACGAGCTGGTCGATTCTCGGCAGTGGGAAGTTGTCTTTAGGGCACGCTTTGTTGAGGTCGGTGTAATCAACGCATACTCTCCATTTTCCCTTTTCTTGTTTCGCCACCAGAACAACGTTAGCCAGCCATTCCGAGTAGGAGACCTCTTCAATGAAACCGGCAGCTAGGAGCTTGTCGATCTCGGCTTCAATGATCGCGACCCGCTCGGGAGCAAAGTTGCGTCTCTTCTGCACCACGGGCTTGCTAGCTGGGTTGACATGGAGCCGATGGCAGATGATGTTTGGGTCAATGCCAGGCATGTCAGATGGTGACCACGCGAACATGTCTTTGTTGTTCTGGAGGAAGATGGTCAGCTCCATCTTCTCGTCTGGGCTTAGGCGCGAGCCGATCCGCGCTTTCTTGTCTGGCTGGTGAGGATCGAGGGGTACTAACTCAACGTCTTCCTCAGGCTTCCAACCTTCTTCAAGGGAGCCTTCCGGGCGGATTCCCTCATCTCGATCCTTCTTGGTTGAATTCTGGCGCGAGCCGATCTGCGCCTCCTTCTCTGGCTGATCAGGATCGGGGGGTACTAACTCAACGTCTTCCTCAGGCTTCCAACCTTCTTCAAGGGAGCCTTCCGGGCGGATTCCCTCGTCTCGATCCTTCTTGTTTGGATTCTGGCACGAGCCGATCTGCGCCTCTTTGTCTGGCTGGCCAGGATCAGGAGGTACTAACTCAACGTCATCCTCAGGCTTCCAACCCTTTTCAGGGGAGTCTTCCGGGCGGATTCCCTCACCTTGATCCTGGTTCCTTAACTGCTATTGTGAGGCAGCAACTTCCTTCCCTTTCAGTTTTGCTTGTCTGCTAAGAGCGCTTCCTGCCTCGTTGGCAGCTTGCATTACTGGTGTGAACTGCAGCTGCTTGCTCTTCTTGAGCCCTTGGGCGGTGCATCTCCTTGCCATGGCTTGGTCACTGTTGATCTGCCCGATCCCGCCCCCAGGGATGGGATAGCGGATCTTCTGATGTAGAGCAGATGTGATGGCCTCGATCTTGCTGATCCACGGTCGGCCCAAGATTCCGTTGTAGGGGGAAACCTCGTCGATGACCATGAAGGTCTGCGAGCAGACCACTGGGGGTGAGTGGACATCCAAGTCGATCGTTCCAACAGTGATTGATGTGGCCCCATTGAAGCCGGTGAGCGATCTGGCAAGTTTGCTAATCTTGGGCTCGAACCCCATCTGTTGGATAACAGATAGTTGCAGGATGTTGGCTGCGCTGCCCTCATCTACATGAACTCGCTCGATCACAGCTTGTTCAATTTGGATGCAGATGACTAGGGCGTCATTATGTGGCAGGTCAAGCCCGATCAAGTCCTTCTTCTGGAAGCCGATGATAGGTGTATCCCCAATGGCTGGTACTCCCGTTGTGACTTGGGAGACATAAGTTGCCTGAGCGATCTTTCTCTTGCGCTCCTTGGTGGTCAGCCCGGACTCTTGGGAGTCGGCTAGAATGGTGTTGATTCGAATGACCTTTTGGGGAGGTTCCTTGGCAGCTGCATCACGATCCTCGATCTGCTGGATAGCCTTCTTTGCAACGAACTCTGTGCAATGGCCCTCTCTGACCAGCTCCTCAAGGTGCCTTTTCCAAGCGTTGCAGTTGTTGGTGTAATGACCGTGCTCCCCGTGGAATGCGCAGTATTTGCTGGTGTCTCTTTTAGAGGGGTCTCCCTTCATGGGTGGTGGTCTCCTCACCCACGGCTTATCCTTCACCTGAGCTAGGATCTGGTGGATTGGGATAGCGAACTCAGTGAAGGTCCCTGTTTCTAAGCTTCCCTCTTGGGGCCGCGATCTGCGCTTATCTCGGGCTTTTTGCTCGAACTTGTTGCTCTTTTGGCTTGCCTGCTTCGTCGGGTGGTCAACTTGCTTGCTAGCTTTCTTTGCGGCGATACGATCATCGTCCCAAAGTGCGTAGCGCTCTGCCGTCGCGAACACTTCTGCCAAGGTTTGACTTGGAGTTATGGCCAGCTCCCGGTATAGCTCGTGCTCGGTTGGCAAGCCCTTTTTGAATGCTGAGGATGCAACTTGGTCGTTGCATCCTATGATGTTAGCCTTCTCAGCCTTAAACCGTCTCAGGTAGTCTCGTAGAGACTCGTCTGGCTTCTTGCGCAGGTTGAACAGGTGGTCTGCATGCTTTCTGACCGTCTTGTAGGAGGTGTACTCCTTTGTGAAAATGATGGCGAACTCCTTGAAGTTGCCTATTGACGCGGACGGTAGAGTGTGGAACCAATCCTGAGCTGCTCCTCGCAGAGTCATCGCGAACACTTTGCACATCAGGGCGTCGTCTGCCTTGTACAGGATCATGGCGCTCTTGAAGTGCCTCAAATGGCTCTCAGGGTCAGAGTCCCCCTTGAATGGAGTGATGGATGGCGTTGTAAACCGCTTCGGCGGCGGAGCTCGTTCCACCTCGTCGGTAAAGGGCGAGCAGTCAACTCGATCAATTTCCTTGCACAGGGCCTCCTCCGCGCTTCCTTTGAGTCGGAGACCTCGGAGTTGGTCATTTACTAGCTTTGCGACATCCTCTGCTCGCAGGGTTGGAGTCTCGGGCCGACGTCTTCGGTGCCTCGAGCGCGACTGGCTAACTTCTTCCTCGGTTCCCAAGGGTCGATCCCCTTGGGTGCTCTGCCCGTGAGGCAGATTAGGAGATTGAGCTTGTGAGGATTCCTCTGCAGCTTGTCGCCGCGTGTTGGTCCTCGAGCGGGCTGGTGGGCGTCGATCGTCACCCTCTGCTCGCAAGGAAGGTCGTTCAGGTCGGCGTCTTCGGTGTCTCGAGCGTGACTGGCTAACTTCTTCTCCAACTCCCAAGGGTCGATCCCCTTGGTTGCCCTGCCGGTGGGGCAGGAGAGAAGGTTGAGTTTGGGAGGATCCCTCCACAGCTTGTCGCCGCATGTTGGACCTCGAGCGGGCTGGTGAGCGTTGATCGTCATCCTCTGCTTGCAAGGAAGGTCGTTCAGGTCGACGTCTTCGGTGCCTCGAACGTGATTGGCTAACTTCTTCTCCGCTCCCAAGGGTCGATCCCCTTGGTTGCCCTGCCGATGGGGCAGGAGAGAAGGTTGAGTTTGGGAGGATCCCTCCACAGCTTGTCGCCGCGACCGCTCACGAACTCGAGCTCCTTGTGGACCTAAGCGAGCACGAACATTGGATTGTGGGCCTAGCCTCTCGAGCACATTGGTCCTGGGTCCTAGCCTCGAACGGCTCAGAGTACGGCTCGCAGCTGTCTGCGTCTCGTCTGCACGATCTCGCTCTCTTCCCCTGCCGGTTTGCCCTTGTCTGACTAGCCTGGGACCTCTCGAACTGCTCGCCAGCATGCTCGTGTGCCCTCCTCTCCTCGTCACGGGGTCCAAGGTTGGGGCCTTGATTCAAGTTGATCTGCCTGAGTAGCTGGCCAATCAGGTTGTTTTGATCATCGACCTTCTGTGTGAGTTGATCAACCCGCGAGTTAAGGTCCACCTGACTGCCCGGGTCAAGTAGAGTGGTGTGCATTGGGCCCAACGGCATGTGGGCTAGGGCTCCATTAGACGCGTACACAGGTGCATATGTCAAGTGTGATCGCAGAGGAGGGAGAGAATGGATCTGCTCCAAGACTGGGACGATGTCAGAGTAGCCATGGGGCTGTGCAGCAAGTCCAGTAGTTAAGTGGTGTGGCTGCTGCTGTGCTCCGACGGCAGGACAGCGAGGCAGAGCAGCTCCGGTAATCGGCGCTGGCGACTGCAAGGCTGTGGAGGTCCCAGGGTCATGTGGCGGCTGTTCTGCAATTCCAGCAGCTGAAGGCGGCTGCAAAGCACTAGAAGACGGCTGCAGGGCGTTGGCAGGCATGATTCCGTGCTGTTGCATTGAGGTTTCCACCACGAAACCATGAGATGGGCCCGTCGTGGTGGCGTTACTCTTCGTACGTCTTGTATCAACCATGGTTGTTTGAAAAAAATGTGTGAAAGATGGATTTGGAGCACGCTTTGAATATATCTCGTGCTCTCAATGAAAGCACCAATTTGTTTGTACAAATTTCCTCACGAGAATATTCGTCTAAGATTCCTTCGTCTTCTCCACTTCTCTTTCTCCCTGCAAAACAAATCGGGGTAAAAGGACCACACCCGGGGGGTGTTGGCCAAAGGCCCTCCGATGCCTAAGTTAGGTAGGGTATTTCAAGGAAAACCGGGTGGCCGGAGCCGTGTGTGGTGGCCGGAGCCTTGTGTCAGAGAGAGAAAGAAAGTGGTGGCTAGGGTTTGTGAGAAATAATTTCTGCAGAGTTTCAGTAGGAATTTAGACGTACCTTGACCTTTGTGCGTAGCCAAGTATTTATAATGGTCTCGGAGATTAGGGTTTCAGAGGAATAATTCCGTAGTTGGTAAGGAATTATTCCTCCCTGATTTGGCATTGATTTGATTAATTAGGGATTTGATTTATTTGGGTAAATCAAATCCCTAATCGTGGTAGGTATCAGATCAAATCCTAATTTAATTAGGTAACTCCTCATTTAATTGGGAATTGGGGTAGGAATCAAATCAATTCCCAACTTAATTAGGTAATTCTCAATTTAATTGGGTAACTCCCAATTAAATTGAGTAACTCCCAATTAGGTTGAGTAATTCCCAATTAGGTCAAATAATCCCCAAATGGAAGGAATTATTTGACCTAGGGTTTTGATTTAATTGGTTCCCACATATATATATATATATATATATATATATATATAAGTTGGAAGCAAATGTATTGGTTACTCTGTGTTTGCTTGAAAAATACTTCCCACCTTCCTTCTGCAGTCAGCATCTGAGTTGGTTAGGCAAATTCTCTGAAGTTGCTTTTAGATCTTTATATATGGCTCAATCTTCCTGTATGTAAAGCACGTCCACCTCTTTAGTGTTGCTTTACAAGTTTGTCATGTGTAAATTTTCGGAATATAATAACTACAAATAAAAAGTTCAAGCTGGATTTGTTTTACAAGTTTATCATGTGAAATCTTAGTCAAGGCACTCTTAGTATTTCCTGCAAACATTTTGAATCAGTTAAATAAGTGCTTCAGAAGTTTCCTGTCTAGAAGCTTCTAACTCAAGTAGCCGGTTAATATCATGTATCTCTTTTTGAAATCCATTTCGACTCGTTTTTTTTTAAATTTTGGAATTCCTGGAAAAACGGTTTTGTTGAATCATTCCAACTTTGAGATGTCAATTGTAAATGAAGTGTTTAAGCCAAGGAGAATATGATGATTGATCCCTTCGTAGTAAAATAATGACTGCCAACATAGTTATCCTTTTTTCTTCTCAACTTAATAATATATGTTGACGTGAGTCTCCTAATTAATTAAGGATATTTATTTCCTTGATTAATTAAGGGATTTACTTTCCTATTCTATATAGTTGACAAATCATTGTATAATTAGGAGATACTATTCTAATTGATTTTACTGTATCTATTTTCTTGTAAAACACTCATGTAAACTCCTATATATACCTCCTTACGGAGAAGAATAAAACCTAACCCAAAGTATTCAAACCATATTCATATTTTAGCATGGTATCAGAGCAATTGATCCTAGGTTGTCTCTAAACCCTTATCTCAAATTTCTTATATTCAAATCCAAAACCCTAAATCAAATTCCTCATATTTTTCCCCAAATCCAAATCCCTCAAATCTAATTTAATCCTCAAATCCTCTTATCAAAATCCCTAAACACATACCTCTCAAATCCAATTCCTACATCAAATTCATACATCAAATTCCTCAAATCAAATTCCTCCAAACACAATTCCTCACATTCTCATGTCACATCTTACTTCCACTGCGATGTCAGGAACACCTACGATTCTCCCCCTTATTGCAAACTCACAAAAGCATGCGATCAATCCTGCTGACCCGGCTACCCGGACTCATGCTTCTATCGCCACCACCAAAGGTTCTACTTTTCATACGTCCTCTCAAAAATCTGCGTGGATTATCGACTCGGGTGCTACGGATCACATGACATTTGATCCTGACCAACTTATTAGTCGCCATACATCTACTCCGTCGGTGGTGTCTAATGTTAATGGTACCCCCTCCCCTGTGGTTGTGGAGGGCTCTCTATCTCTCTCTACTTCCCTACATATGGATTATGTATTACTTCTTCCATCTATGGATCATAACTTGTTATCTGTTGCACAACTTACTACTACTTTGGGGTGTACTGTAACATTTTGGCCGAATCATTGTGTTTTTCAGGACATCCTCACAGAAAGACGATTGGTATCAAACTAATTACCTGCTTGCTAATCATTTCTTTTTCAATTTTTTTTTACAGTTTTCTTTTTCTTTTCTTTTTTTGAAAAGTGCTGAGAACATGTTTGGTAACTTTTTCATCTTCAACTTCGGTTGTTGTTTTCATCTATAATCATGTGATTAATGTTAGACAATTATGAATATGGACTAATCTTGCAACACATGTCATCATCTAAATGTCTCTAACAAGTACCATGATAAAAAATCATTAGGTTCCAAAAACATAAGCTATCAAAGAAATGTGAGTGAACAATATTGTAGATCAAGCCAACAGTGTACAAGTTTTTTTTCTCCACGCTCATGACCAGCATAAATAGAGAACACCCTAGTGTTGGCTAAGAACTTCTTATCTCGACCATCCATTAGAAGTGTTACGTGATTATAAATCGTTAACTGCCTTTCACATAAAATTCTTAATGGACCATCTCCCGATTATATATATGTCAAAAACGGTTCTTAAATGTTTTCATGAGTTAATATTTTTACCATTAGGATTTATACTGGAAAGATAATGAGGTTAGAAAAGAACTTTGGAAATAAACAAAATATCATCACCCAATAAAAATAAATTAATAAATGGTGCATATGTTTGCAGAGGCCCTTTTGATGAACTAATTACTTTTGCATTTACGCCTGTGATGCCACAGATGACTCAAAGAAAACAGAACACTTATTGGCACTTGATGGGGCAAAAGAAAGGCTGCATTTGTTCCAAGCAGATTTGATAGAAGAAGGATCTTTTGACGCTGCAGTTGATGGATGTGAAGGTGTTTTTCATACAGCATCCCCTGTTCTATTTTCAGCCACTAACCCTCAGGTAGTATATAATAGCATTCATCCCTTTACTTTCATTTTTTATAGAGTTCAAAACTGAAATGGTTCTTTTGTCTACACAATCTCAGGCAGAATTAATTGACCCTGCAGTGAAGGGAACCCTTAATGTTCTCAAATCGTGTGTAAAATTCGCTACGGTCAAGAGGGTAGTTCTAACATCTTCTATGGCTGCAGTCATTTTCAATGGAAGACCATTGACCCCTGATGTAGTGGTTGATGAAACATGGTTTTCAGATCCTCTTGTTTGTGAGAATTTGAAGGTAAGTGTGTAGGCTTCCATGCTTATTATCTTCTTCCAAGTTACACCTTTTATTCATGAAATTCATTATCATTTGTTATTTGGCATCTTCTGTTGCTTCAGTCATGGCAATATATCTTGGTTTAGTATGAACTTCCTTTCCTCTCTATGTCCAGGAATGGTATTTTCTTTCAAAAACTTTAGCTGTGGGGGCTGCTTGGAAATTTGCTAAAGGAAATGGGATTGACTTGGTTACCATAAATCCATCATATGTGATTGGTCCACTCTTACAACCAAGTCTTAATCTCACTGAGGAGATGATTCTGAATCTCAAAGATATATATATATATATATATATATATATATATATATATATATTTTAGAGCAAGAGAATGATGGAGACTCAGAATTAACTTAGTTAGGGCCACAAGCAAAATTGTTTTAGATGCAGGCAATTTTTTAGCAAATTAGATGTGTACCAAAACATTTGCTTGGAGTACCAATGTTCATCGAATGTTAAAGTAACCAAATCTTGATTCTTGTGGTGCAAGATTCAAATGATTCTAGTGATGTTAGAGATGTTGCCTCAGCTCATGTTCAAGCATTTGAGGTTCCTTCAGCTAATGGAAGATATTGTTTAGTTGGACATGTTACACCCATGGCCAAGGTTCTGAAGATTTTACATGAACTTCATCCCTCTCTGTGCCCACCTGAAAAGTAAGTTATAACTTGCAAAATGCCACAAATTGGAAATTTTCTTTTTTGAATATGAAAAATTTCTAAGGGAAGGAAAGATTTATTTGTTTCATTGTTGGCAGATATGAGGAGGCCAATCCTTCTGAACCCACATATCAAGTATCACAGGAAAAAGCAAAAAGTTTGGGAGTTAATTTCCTTCCACTGGAAGTAAGTCTTACGGACACTGTTGAAAGCCTCAAGGAGAAGGGCTTCCCCAAGGTTTGAATTATGCAACTGAAGGCAACTTGTTCATTACACAAGTTTATCCAAAGAGATTGTGAAAGTATTATTGTTCAGGTTCAGACTTTCTATATTTGTCTGCAGCATTTGCCCCCAATGTTTCAGCTCGATTGAAAATTAATTAAAATGAAGTAACTTTTCAATCTCTGGTGTACCAACCAAAAGAGTCTTTAATTATCTGTTTTATAATAACAATTTCTATTAACTTTTTCTTCATTGAGTTTTATCCTAATAACTTATGGCCTGCTTGAATTCAATCAAATGAAATGAAAGAACTACATAAACACATAGCAGAAGGGTTACTGTCATAGAAGCAAGAGAAAGACTTCTGATGACCAGGGTGCATAGCCTAACACTGCAGTTCCAACATAACATGGTTTTTCTTAGGAGCAACACACCTCTTCGAATGTTATGGCTACAAGGGTATACTGATGCAATACTTTCCAAGCTGCAATACTCTTGTAGCCATGGCCATCGTCATGTCTTCTGTTCTACCGTCGTCATTCTCTGGGTCTTTTTCCCTTTTTGTAGTAATGTACCATTAAAATCTGTGTTGAAGTGGTCATCATCGACCGAAATAAAAATACTTAAGCTCACTTAATCAAGTATATAAAAGGCTGAAGTACCATGACTTCCAACTGTAAATCTTAATGTGATGAGAGGAGAAGGATGAACCAAGAAAGAAAGGTGGTGTGTGTAACAAGAGCATCTAGTTTCATAGGATCATGGCCTATCAAGCTCTTGCTAGAATGAGCTTATATTGTCAAAGCCACTGTCCAGGACCCAACTCAAATTCCATTTTCGAATCTGAGCCGAATCATGTACGTGTTCAACACCTAGCGGGTGCCGAGCACACTTGACTAAATTGCCCATCTAACAAAACCGAAGTTAACCTCAAGTTTAACTTCTGCCTAAAATTCGACACAGTCTCCCTAGTAAATAGTCATTTCCCAAAAATCTTCCACCTGTACAAAATGCATTTATAATCCCAACCGTTCAGCAGCAAGTTCCAAATCAGGAGTAGGATAATTCAACTCATGCTTCATATGCACCTTTTGAATTTTAGAATATACAAGAATATCATCTATGAACACAATCACAGAGCAATCCAAGTAACGTCGGAACACTCTGTTCATCAGATCCATAAATGTTGCTAGCGCATTAGTCAACCCAAAAGGCATCACCAAAAATTCATAATGACCATATCTTGTTCAGAAAGTAGTCTTAGGCACATCCTCTTCTCTGATCCGCACTGTAACCTTATTCAACTGTCTATAATCAATACATAACCTCATGGTGCCATCATTCTTCAGGATGAAACCCTTGTCCACCAACTCCTGCAACTGAGTTTTCAACTCCCTTAATTCAGCTGTTACCATTCTATACGGTGCCTGAGAGATAGGGTTCGTCCTTGGAACAAGCTCAATGGTGAACTCGATCTCCCAATGAGGAGGTAATCCAGGAAGATCCTCAAGAAACACATCCGGAAATTCTCGTACCACTGGAATATCCTCCAACCTCAATCCATTATCCCGGGTGTCAATTACGTGAGCCAAGTATCCTAAACACCCTTTTCTGAGCAACCGTCTTGCCGTCATAGCTGATATGAGGCAGTTGGAAGAACTCTACGCTCACCACAGAAAGTTGTCTGGGACTACGGAGTACGACCTCCTTCCGAAAACAATCGACCGAAGCACGATGCTTAGCTAACCAATCCATACTCAGAATAACATCCAAATCCACCATATCTAAAGGACTTAAATCTGCCTCCAGAATTACATCCCCTACCAAAACCATGTTACCCCTGTACACTACGCCAACTGTAAAGACATCTCCCATGAGTACAGAAATAGCAAGTTCCTCACACAAGGCCGTAACTCTCACATTAGCATTGTGGGCAAAACTATGTGCAACAAAAGAGTGCGTATCCCCAGGGTCAATTAAAACTTTAGCAAGAATCCCAAAAACTGGTAATATACCTATGATCACATCAGGTGACGCATGTGCCTCCTGCTGAGACATGTTGTATACTCGCCCGGTAGCTCTAGAACGTCCACCACGTCCCCTCTGCTGTCTGCCACCTATGCTAGCCATAATGGTCTGGGCCCCACTACTAGACGAGGCCCCCACAATCTGTGATGTACTCTGTACTCTACTCTGTGCACCCGTCCCCTGGGTTGGCCCAGCAGAGATTTCTCTACTCTAGAAGCATCGGGCACTCCCTTCGAAAATGCCCTGACTGACCACAGCGATAGCACCCAGTGGTGCCCTGCTGACAAGGCCCGGTAGGAACCTGCCGCATAAAGCACACTGGGAGCGATTCCTCCCCCTAAAAATTGGTTGCAGCTGTCTCCCTAAACCTTTGGATATGCTACCTCCGAAACAGTCGTCTCCCTTATGCTGTCTGCCACCTATGCTAGCCATACTAGTCTGGGCCCCACAACTAGATGACGCCCCCACAATCTGTGATGTACTCTGTACTCTGCTCTGTGCACCCGTCCCCTGGGTTGGACCAGTGGATATTTCTCTACTCTGCAGAAGCATCGGGCACTCCCTTCGAAAATGCCCCGACTGACCACAACGATAGCACCCAGTAATGCCCTGCTGACAAGGCCCGGTATGGAACCTGCCACATAAAGCACACTGGGAGCGATTCCTCCCACTAAAAACTGGCTGCAGCTGTCTCCCTGAACCACTAGATGTGCTATCTCCGGAATCAGAACTCCCACTTTGGTTGGACCCTCCGCTGGAGCTTACTCCAGCTCGAAAACCTCCACAGCTATGACCACTGGACGATCCAGAACTGAAACTACCTCGCTTGGATGACCCCTGACTGAGACCACCCATGTCATATTGTCGTTTACGGAAATTACTTCGTCTTTGGACCATCATCTGACTGCTTTCAACTAATGAGGCAGACATCACCAAATCTCCGAAATTGGCCAAACGCTGTCCCACTACGATGTCACGGATGGATGTCTTTAATCCTCTGGTAAACAGCTGACACTTCTTTCTTTCATCCGCCACAAGCGGTGCACAGTACTCGGACAATTCATTGAATTTCTTCTCATACTCTAACACCGTCATAATGCCCTGTTCAAGTTGAAGGAACTCCTCCATCTTCATATTTTGGTAGGCTAAAGGATAGAACTGCTCAACAAAGGCAGTCCGAAAAACTTGCCATGTGATGGCCGATGGGTCCTGATATTGTCTTCTGACTGACTCCCACCAGTACCTTGCATTTCTGGAAAGGAAAAAGGTAGCCAAAACCACTCTGCGCTCCTGTGGGACATCCATCACATCCATAATTCTTTCCATCTCTATCCATTCTTCAGCCATGGCGGGATCACCATCACCATTAAATTCCACTACCCTTATCCTTTTAGCCTGATCTGCATATGTCAAAGATGCATCTCTGGGTTGCCCGGTCCTGGATAAGGCCTGGGTCAATAACTCCAGTGTCTGCTGAAAATTTGGATCAATCGACGGAGTGGGCATCACCGGTACAACTCCTGCTAGACCTCCTACATAAGACTGCTCAACATGTTCCAGTACCGGACCTGGAATCGGAGGGTTCTCCGGCTCAGGAGAAGGATCAAGTCCTCTTAGTCGGGACGCCCGTTGAATTCCCCTATGAGTGCCACCACGTTTAGGGCCCATGATTCTGTCACAAGAAACATGAATTCATTAAAACAAGAATGCACACAAGGTGCGCAATCTACAGGAATTTAAACCTAACACTCTAATACCAAGTTGACAAGACCGGACCCAAATTTCACTTTCGAATCTGAGCCAAACCCTGTGCATGTCGGACACCTGGCAGGTGCCGGGCACATTTGACTAAATTGCCCATCTAACAAACCAAAGTTAACTTCAAGTTTGAGTTATGCATAAAATTCGGCAGAATCTCTCTTGTAAATAGTCGTTTCCCAAAAATCTTCCACCTGTACAAAATGCAATTATAATCCCAACCGTTCAGCATGCATCAAGTTTACATTCAAGCAATCCAACTACAGAACTATGTGGCCTCAGGCCTTATAGAAATCCTAAGGCAATTTCAAAGCAATACTAATTAGTTTAATTTAGAAGAGTAGTTCGATTACAACAGAAATCCTACTTAGTGGAAAGGATGAGTGAAGAGTTGTGACTGCCCTGTGGTGGCACTTTGGTACACGACTACTGCCAGGGGGCGCAAAACATTTAAAAATGTGAGTTGACAAAAATAAAATTTTGGAAAATAGAATATGAACATACTAACCCCACTGTTAAAACATTTAGAAAAATTCAATTATCTCAATATTATATATTCATAATAAAATTCAAACATGCATATCTACATGCATATAACTGATCAAGCATTCAAACAAATCATTGAAAACGTTTTGAAAGCATTGTGAAACATTAATTCCTTTCCACCTAGGTGTACCCATTATATATCCGTCAATTCCCACATTATACCATCAATTCCCACAATATACCGTCAATTCCTCATGTCACAATTTGTGACACGTCCTCGCAAGTCTCGGTAACACAAAGTCGACCCGAGCAGCAATCCTCGCAGGATTCAAGGGACATTTAGTCAGCCAGATCCGCATTCCTTGCTCCGCACAATTCGGGCGCCCCCGAAACTCATGGGGCATTGTCAAACGTGCGCTGACTCAACCGAAGGCAACTGTAATGTCCGTTGACATTATTATAACCGAACGCAACAATTTATCTTAAGGCAACATTCATTCCTAAGGCAACATTTATTCCGAAGGCAACATGGGTACCTATGGTAGTTTAAAAAAAAACATTTCCTGGAAAATCATAAAAACTATTTCTCATCCATCCTTAAATTATGTTGCCACTATACTTCCTAATTTCCAAGCCATGCTCAACTTAAATATAAACATAATATAATAAAAATATTCGAAATCAAACAATCATACTTGGAAAGTAAAAATTCATAATAACTCATTCAAGGTCAAATAATAAAACTTTGATTGCATAAAATCATTTACAAAATAAAAGTCCACTCACTGAGTGTCCGAGTTCGCTTGACCCTTTGAGGGTCCCTCCTGCGGGTCCACTGGTGCCCGAGTACCTATTTATGCCATTACAAATATTAAATTAATAAAATTATTCAACATAAATATTTAATCCAAAATCCTGACCCCCGACTTCTAAAAGTGCGTGTACTTACTTTAAGAACATTCCTATGCCCAATTAAACATTTCAGACGATTAGAACGGTCCGAAAAGACCCGAGACTCGATAAACGATAAATTTTCCATATTGGTCAATTCGAGACCCCGTGGGGTCCACGACCTCCAATTATCAATCCGAGAGTTCCTATTGGTTCCTCACATTTAAATAACCCTATCCTGCAAGTCTGGTCGGAATCGGACGGTCGGATTGCTCACGATCGGACGGTTACAGCTAATTTAGCCCTAGGGTTAGCGATTTCGGAGTATCCAAGACTCCGATTCACGATCCGTCGAATCCTATATGATCCTAGAAATACAAGATAAAATAGACGTGAATTTGAGCTCGATCCAAAGGTCCAAACATATCGAACCCGGATATCGCACAATAGGCGAAATCCGTTCGAGGCTCAAAAGATAACCAAATTGAAATCCAAGCACACCTACGCGCTCGTGACAACCTAGGGATTATTTTAGGATAAATTGTGGCCCGCACAATATTACCCACGCGCCGACGCACGCGCCGGCAGCGCGTGGGTGGCTTGATCAATTCTGGCTGCCGGAAAACTTCAAAATCGAGGGCCAAGATTCCTACCACAGGTTCAGGAAGTCGATTGGAGCCACTTTTGTTCTGGGACCTACCTCGAAAAACGACTGGAAATGGCCGGAATTTCAAACTGAAAACGGGCCAAAGTTTGGACCGTGATTTGATCTACCTAGGCTAGAAATCGTTCCAATCCTACCCAACCATCAGCTAGAGCACGAAAAATAGGTGAGAAACCATACCTCACTCGTCGGAAACAGTGGCTGGAGGAGGGAGAACGAGCGGGCTGGAAATTTCGAACGGAAACCGGGTGGTTTTTGGCAGATTCCGGCGATCACAGCAAACGGCAGCAGCTGAGACTGGTCGGGAAAGGACGGGGAAAAGAAGGCGGTTCGAACCGGTCCGGTCTCGTGGCCTGTGGTGCAGTGTGGCGGCGGCTGGAACGAAAAAACCAGTCGGCTGCTACAGTCGGGGGGGAAGCGGATCGCGCACCGGAGAGAGAGAGAGAGAGAGAGAGAGAGAGAGAGAGAGAGAGAGAAATCTGGTTTTTAAAACCAGTTTTGTAAAATTACGGTTTTGCCCCTACGTAAGTTTTGATGGTACATTTCTCAATACAACTCGGATTTGAGCCCACTACGTGTCTACGGACTCGTCTCGACGTGCTCTACGCAATGTTACAATTGAAATTTCCAAATTTCTTCCCAATAAAAAAGTCAACTTTTAACCTAATAAAATATTCTATGAGCAAAATAGTCTTTTATCATAATAAATTTATAATTAAAAATTAATTTGAAATCGGGTTGTTACATATTACATATTTCTTCACCATTGGATTGTATGTATGTTGCGTATTAAATTAACCAATACATTTAATAAATGCAATCCAACAACATATTAGAAATATGTAATCAATTATTCTCTCCCTAAACTTGGTATCAAACTAATTACCTGCTTGCTATCATTTCTTTTTCTTTTTTTTTTTTTTTTTTTTTTTTTTTTTTTCTGTTTTTTTTTTTTTTCTTTTTTTTGAAAAGTATTGAGAATATGTTTGGTAACTTTTTTTTCTTCTATGATTTTCATCTTCAACTTCTTGGTTTTGATCACATCAACAAAAACTTGTGAGTTTCGGTTGTTGTTTTCATCTATAATCATGTGATTAATGTTAGACAATTATGAATATGGACTAATCTTGCAACACATGTCATCATCTAAATGTCTCTAACAAGTACCATGATAGAAAACCATTAGGTTCCAAAAACATAAGCTATCAAAGAAATGTGAGTGAACAATATTGTAGATCAAGCCAACAGTGTACAAGTTTTTTTCTCCACGCTCATGACCAGCATAAATAGAGAAAACCCTAGTGTTGGCTAAGAACTTCTTATCTCGACCATCCATTTGAAGTGTTAGTGAATTTAATATGTACCATACATGCAATCAAATGACTGTGATTATAAATCGTTAACTGCCTTTCACATAAAATCCTTAATGGACCATCTCCCGATTATATATATGTCAAAAACATGGTTTTTAAATGTTTGCATTAGTTAATATTTTTACCATTAGGATTTATACTGGAAAGATATTAAGGTTAGAAAAGAACTTTGAAAATAAACAATATATCATCACCCAATAAAAATAAATTAATAAATGGAGCATATGTATGCAGAGGCCCTTTTGATGAACTAATTACTTTTGCATTTATGCATGTGATGCCACAGATGACTCAAAGAAAACATAACACTTATTGGCACTTGATGGGGCAAAAGAAAGGCTGCATTTGTTCCAAGCAGATTTGATAGAAGAAGGATCTTTTGACGCTGCAGTTGATGGATGTGAAGGTGTTTTTCATACAGCATCCCCTGTTCTATTTTCAGCCACTAACCCTCAGGTAGTATATAATAGCATTCATCCCTTTACTTTCATTTCTTATAGAGTTCAAAACTGAAATGGTTCTTTTGTCTACACAATCTCAGGCAGAATTAATTGACCCTGCAGTGAAGGGAACCCTTAATGTTCTAAAATCGTGCGTAAAATTCGCTACCGTCAAGAGGGTAGTTTTAACATCTTCTATGGCTGCAGTCATTTTCAATGGAAGACGATTGACCCCTGATGTAGTGGTTGATGAAACATGGTTTTCAGATCGTCTTGTTTGTGAGAATTTGAAGGTAAGTGTGTAGGCTCCCATGCTTATAATCTTCTTCCAAGTTACACCTTTTGTTCATGAAATTCATTATCATTTGTTATTTGGCATCTTCTGTTGCTTCAGTCAAGGCAATATATCTTGGTTTAGTATGAACTTCTTTTCCTCTCTATGTCCAGGAATGGTATTTTCTTTCAAAAACTTTAGCTAAGGAGGCTGCTTGGAAATTTGCTAAAGGAAATGGGATTGACTTGGTTACCATAAATCCATCTTGTGTGATTGGTCCACTCTTACAACCAAGTCTTAATGCCACTGTGGAAATGGTTCTGAATCTCAAAAATGGTACACTCCACCAACTATATTTTTCTTTTTCTTTTATCTTTTCTTGTGATGTTAGATGATTCTTGTGATGCAAGTTTGTTTCTTTTCTATGCAGATATACCAGATGTAACCAGTTCAAATTATTTGTCAACTGATGTTAGAGATGTTGCGTCTGCTCATGTTCAAACATTTGAGATTCCTTCAACTACTGGAAGATATTGTTTAGTTGGACATGTTACACCCATGTCCAAGGCTCTCAAGATTTTACATGAACTTCATCCCACTCTTTTTCCACCTGAAAAGTAAGTTAGAAATTTTAAAAATGCTACAAATTGGCCAAAAAAATTAAAAATTTCCAGTATGTGGTTCAATCTTCACAATACTGCTTTAGATCAAATTCCCAGTTTTCCTGTTAGCTAAATGCATTTTACATCACTGATGAAAATGCACTGAATATTGACAAATTTCTAAGGGGAAGATTTGTTTGCTTCATTGTTGGCAGATATTGTTATAAAAAAATATAGTTTTCCTCTTTCCGTAAAGCCAAATTCAAAACATTTATATTATAAATAACATATAAACAAATTGGAAAGCTTTAAAGGTATAATGAAAATGAAGAAAACAAAATAATAGGTAAGTAAAAGGAAAATAAATAGTAAGTAAGAAGGTGAGTTTGGTATGGTGAAGCACGTCAAAGACGCTGTACTAAAGCCTTTGTAGCCTCTACGTACAGGTACTGACGGTCTACAAGACTCCAAGATACGACCCCTTGTACACAAACTCAAGATCCGCTATGAGCACGTTCATAGACATATATAGGTATCCAAGTCACATAACCATTGCCCAAAATAATAATATAAAATAGATAATATATATGTAAAAGTAGAAAATGAGAGAATTAGAATGTGTATGTGATACTCTGATAGTGTATTGTGTGTCTTGTATGTGTATCAAATGTGAAGGAAGAGTGGCCCTTTATAGGCATCCGAAACATGTAACCTTCACCAACCATAAAAGTTCACCAACCAAAAAATTAAGGCATTCACCAACCAGAAATAAAGCCTGAATATTAAATATTTATAACCCCCACAATAAATAAAATAAAAAAGCCAAAATAATTAAATAAATAAAACGGTTAAATTTTTAAAACCTTTTAAAATTCCAACAGATATGAGGATGGCAATCCTTCAGAACCCACATATCAAGTATCACAGGAAAAAGCAAAAAGTTTGGGAGTTAATTTCCTTCCAGTGGAAATAAGTCTTAGGGACACTGTTGAAAGCCTCAAGGAGAAGGGCTTCCTCAAGGTTTGAATTATGCAACTGACAGCAACTTGCTCATTGCACAATTTGATCGCGTATCGGAAATTCAAGTGTTATTTTTCTTTTTCTTCTGCTAAATTTATCCTAAGAGATTGTGAAAGTAATATTGTTCATGCTCAGACTTCTATCTGCAATTGCCCAGAATGGTCAGGAGTCGCTTTTAGCTCTTGATAGCTCTATTGAAGAAACCCTTGTTTGAAAATGAACCAAACCAAGTAACTTTTCATTTCTCTGGTGTACACCAACCAAAGTGCCTTTAATTTTTCTGTTTTCTAATAACAATTTCGATTAGCTTTTCATGTATTTTATTACTATCCCCAGTAAAACAAGAGTGCAAACAGGACTATAGAGTTTGAAATCACAATAACATGTATAGATCTCGACAGAGTGTGCATCTTTTCACCTTCTTTATTTTTTTAATACAAGCAATAGTCTAAACTACAGGGGAATGAAATTTCTCATATACACACAACTAAGATGTTATGGGATTCGAGCATAAGATCTCTTGTTAAGTTAAGACATTTTTCCACACCTCCTTTATTATATATAGAGTATAAGCATAAATTGCAGAAAAAAAATCATATAATATAAAGCTTGTGGCCCCATCAAACTCTACATCTGTTACGCGTGAAGAGAAACTTACCTACCCACACCAACTAGTGTGATCCCATCTCATTTAGGAGGGACAAACTCTACACATCTGTCACGCCTAGAGAGAAACTTACCCACCCACACTAACTACAGTGATCACATCTCATTTAATCATTTGTACTAGGTCTCAAAATATTAATTCCCTTTTTTTTTTTTTTTTTAAAGTTGCTAGCTGCTGCCAACTTGCCAACGGAAAAAACTCAACAAAGTGAAAAGCCCAAAAATTCAACTCAACCGTCCAAGAGAATAATAATTAAGGGTTCAACATTAAAATACCACAACACGAATAAATAATTATCAAAACCCCTCGCACAAAAGAAAAACCAAGAAGTATATATAGTCAAGGGTTAATCCTGCCACAAAAATTATCTCAATTATAGGCTTTATTGCACTTTATCATCGAAAAATTTGAATCGATTTGTCATCTCAATTAAAATTTTGTTACAATGTGCATACCTAGGATAAACTTCATCTATTTTTTCATTTTAAAATTTTAATGCACTTTGACTTCAAGTTTTGTTCTTTTTTTTATTTTTTTATATAAAACCAAAAAATGATGGCCAAGGAGGGTTTAACGACGGAACCCCACAGCGACGAAGAACCACCCTCCAAATCCCTTCGCAAAATTGGCACTTAAAAAAAAAAGTGGTCACGAGATTCCACATCCATCCCACTTTGACCTCAAGTTGCCGTGGCAACGAAAGCCCCGTTAAGTTTACAAAACTACTTGCAATTGTGTACAGAGTTTTTAAAGACGTGTATTATTGGCCCCAAAAGAGTAAAAGCTAGCTCACCTATCTTATACGCCCCCCTCTCCCTAAACCACCAGTCAAGAACTAAAATATTCAACTCACTTCTCAAGTATATAAAAAGCTGAAGCAAAAACTTCCAAATATAAAGGTTCTTCTGATCAGGAGGATGAACGAAACAAGGAAGGTGGTGTGCGTAACAGGGGCATCTGGTTTCATAGCATCCTGGCTGGTGAAGCTCTTACTGGAACGAGCTTATATTGTCAAAGCAACCGTCCGTGACCCAAGTCAGTGTATATACATAGATATGCCAGAAAAATGGTTTTTCCTTCGATGATTTTCATTTTCAACTTCTTGGTTTTGATGACATCAACTGAAACTTCTGGATTTCGATTATTGTTCTCATCCATAATCATATCGAAATAACACTTTTCTTCAGATCCAGCCATATCATCATGTGCTAAAAATATGTCAAACTAGATTTTGGACCCAACACCGTGAGGAGAGAGGAAAACAATTGTGTCAAACTAGATTGAATGAGAGTTATATCTCCCTAACATATAACTAACTCGCTAACTGTATTCTATAACAATACAATTAGTGACTAATCTTGTACGGTGAGACCTTTTTTGTGAACTAATTACTTCTGTAATTATGCATATGCCACAGATGACCCGAAGAAAACAGAACACTTATTGGCACTTGAGGGGGCAAAAGAAAGGCTCCGTTTGTTCAAGGCAGATTTGTTAGAAGAAGGATCTTTTGATGCTGTAGTTGATGGATGTGAGGGTGTTTTTCATACAGCGTCCCCTGTAATGCTTTCATGCACTGACCCACAGGTTCTAGCATTCATCCCTTTACTTTCATAAATACTTCAAACCTAATTGACTATTTTTGTCTTCTTGATAAGGGATTGGACTAGCCATTGGACATTTTTAAATATAACAATGATCACCTTTTTAAAATAAAAAATACAAGCGATATTGGGGAAGGGGGGAATCGAACGTAAGACATTAGGTGCAGGGTAAATGTTCTTAATCATTGAGCTACAAGCCCCTTAACGATGATCACCTTAAGGTTACAACAATGCCAAATTTCGAGTCCAATCCCTTAGAAAAACATGAACAAGTGAAACTGTGATTGATTGCAACCTAATGTGAGCTACTTGACCAAATTAGAAACCGTTTGAAAATTACAGGGACTAGAAGTGTATTGTGATGATACAAATTACATTTCCCTCTTTGCAGAATCAACATACTTTTTTTAATGCAGAAACTGAAATGGTTCTTTGTCTCTACAATCTCAGGCAGAATTAATTGACCCTGCAGTGAAGGGAACCCTTAATGTTCTAAAATCGTGCGTAAAATTCGCTACCGTCAAGAGGGTAGTTTTAACATCTTCTACGGCTGCAGTCATATTCAATGGAAGACCATTGACCCCTGATGTGGTGGTTGATGAAACATGGTTTTCAGATCCTTTTTTTTGTGAGAATTTTAAGGTAAGTGTGTAGGTTCCCATGCTTATTATCTTCTTCCAAGTTGCACCTTTTATTCATGAAATTCATATTCATTTGTTGTATTTACATGACATTAACTAGAATGAATTTGTCACCTTTACAAGTATCTGCATCCAATTATGTAGGAGATGAATAATTATCCTTTCTTCTTTCCTTTTATTCTCCCCTGTTCTTCATTTGTTCTACAGAAGTAGCTTCCAAGTTTTTGTCCATCTTCTTGACCTCAAAATGTCTAAGTATTTGCATTAAACGATTTCAGTTGTCTTTTTTTGCCATTAAAAATAATAATAATAATAATAAATCAGTTGTTCATGTGATTCGTTGCATTGAGGTATGCTTAACATAAAACAAGGCAGGAATTATATACTTCTTTCTCTTCTCTATGTCCAGCAATGGTATGTTCTTTCAAAAACTTTAGCTGAGGAAGCTGCTTGGAAATTTGCTGAAGGAAATGGGATTGACTTGGTTACCATAAATCCATCCTATGTGATTGGTCCACTCTTACAACCAAGCCTTAACCTCACTGTGGAGATGATTCTCAACCTTAAAAACGGTACACTTCAGCAACTATATATGAATTTTCTTTTTCAATCTTTGCTTGGTTAGAGCAGACTATGAGGGAGAGTCAGAATTAACTTAGTTGAGGCAGCCAGCACAATGATTGTCGAGTGTCAAAACATTTTCTTAGAGTAGTAGGTATGTTTATCGAACGTTAAGGCAACGAAATGTTGGTTCGGGTAACAAAATAACATTTAAAGTTGTCATTTGATGTTAGATGATTCTTGTGATGCAAGTTTGTTTCTTTTCTATGCATGCAGATATTGAATATGTAAACAGTTCAATTTATTCATGTAGTGATGTTAGAGATGTTGCCTCAGCTCATGTTCAAGCATTTGAGGTTCCTTCAGCTAATGGAAGATATTGTTTAGTTGGACATGTTATACCCATGGCCAAGGTTCTGAAGATTTTACATGAACTTCATCCCTCTCTGTGCCCACCTGAAAAGTAAGTTATAACTTGCAAAATGCCACAAATTGGCAATTTTCTTTTTCGAATATGACAAATTTC